ATTGTAAAATCTCATTGTAAAATCTCATTATTAAAAATCCCGGTTTCCCCCTCATAAAGCTCCGCGTATTGTAAACAAGCTATGATGTAACCTTGGCACGCATGCGCAGATTGACCCTCTCCTGTGAGCAGGTCTAAACACTTGAGGAATATAAATTAATTTAAACTGTTGGATCGATTTTTTAGTTAAAGTAGTCGGACGTTGTTGTCGCTGTAACTATGTAGTATCGTGTTGTGTCGTAGGTCTACGATGTATCGTGGTCTGTGTTAAAATTTCGAGATATTAAAAAACTTCAAAAATTCACTTCACCTAGCTAAATATTAATCATACAAGTAATATATCAAATACATTATCTAACCAAAGACCTTAGCTAACAAAAGACCTTAGTTAACCAAAGACCTTTGCTAATCAAGGACCTTAACTAACCAAAGACCTTAGCTAACCAAAGACCTTAGCTAATCTAAGACCTAAGTTAATCAAAGACCTTGCTTTCAATATTTGAATAGCGTTTCATATATTGTACGTAGCCTGCACAATTATCTTTCAATTTATCGTCTAAGCTTTGTATGTTTTAAAGTTTGAGTCATGAATGTTGACATAATTAACTTAAAGTTATGCTGATGTAAACAATGACTTATTATATGACATCTAATGTCATGTTTGGCATTAGAAATGTCAAGTTGACATCACGGGCTTACACGGTGTACTCACGGCCAACAAGTTGTATACAGGGGACGGGAAGGGGAGGGGGTGCGGGAACTTATTTTCTTCATCTGCAAAAAAAAAATGTGTCGAGGCTGTTGCCATGGCAACAAAGTGACGATGGCGTTTAATCCAAAGCCGGTGCCCGCCCGTCAGCAGCCATTTTCTACTTCCGGCCGAAACAGTAACTTAAAAACCTAACACACAACACAGCGGCTTAGCTAGAGAACAATACAAGTGTCTGCTGGGATGTGCTTGTTGTATATCTACTCTAGTCCGCGCCATTGCAGGTCCCATGTATATATATATATATATATATATATACTAGGCATACTGCCTAGCTTCGCTTAGGTTTTTAAAAGGCATTTGAGAATTTGAATACTTAATTATTTAGCGATGGATTGGGTGTGGAGTGCTTTAATAAGTTTAATAAGTTTAATTTAAACAGTAATGCTAACTTTAGAAAAAATGTTTTTGTTAGTCATTTACATGCAGATGCGTAGAGTATTTTTTGAAAGTACGCAATGTATAGCTAAAATGGAATTAGAACTACACAGGTTTCATGAACAGTATATCTCATAGTTTATATTACATTGCCTTTTGAAATTAATTAATTAATTTAATTAACATACTTAGCTAAATTAACAACTTAATTTTGTACTAAAACAAATGCTATACTTCGTCATTTTCTGTTTCTGTTTAAAATAGTATACAATTATTTGAAAAATAATAATTTTAAAAACGTTCCCTCCCTTGAAAACTGAACGTATGACGTATGTCATTGTTTACTTATATTGTTTGCTTATATAAGAAATTACGTTATATGAACTTATTTAACGACTATAATGGCTGTTTCCGACGGGAATAAAGTTTTTTTGTTACCCTCCAGGGTCGGTCTACGACGTCACATAATATTAAGGGGATCGTTCGTCAATTTATTTATATATTATATATATATATATATATATATATATATATATATATATATATATATATATATATATATATATATCTCATATAAGGAGAATTTCACTCAAGATCATCTTTTAGCCCTCGTCGAGGGCTTTGAGTCTGACCAACAGTTTTTCCATACGGCCTAGTCATCTATAGTAGTGTATGCAAAAACTTAGCATGATGTACAGACATTAAGTAACCTAAAAATTGTGTTAAAATTTCCCTGTTTTTCCCATAAAATACAAAGATTATATAGGGAAATACAACTGGTCAGTTTTGACCGCTTTACGAAGTTTTCCCAGAATTGCCGAGTTTTTTATGAAACCCCTAGGTGTTCTTCTACCACCTCACAAAATATCAAGGGGGGTCGTCGGAGGAAATTTTTTTTCGTAATAGAGCTCATATAAAGAGAATTTCACTCGCGGTCACTTTTTAGCCCTCGTCGAGGGCTTTGAGTGTAACCGACAGTTTTCCCTAAAGGTCAAGCCATTGACCTAGGAGTATGCAAAAAATTAGCCAGATATACTGAGGTTAAGTACCCTAAAGTCTGCGTTGAAATGACCCTCTGTTTTTCCCATAAAATACAAAGATTATATAGGGAAATACAACTGGTCAGTTTTGACCCCTTTACGAAGTTTTCCCAGATATGCCGAGTTTTTTGTGACACCCTAAGGCGTTCTCCTACCACCTCACAAAATATCAAGGGGGGTCGTCGGAGGAAAATTTTTTTCGTAATAGAGCTCATATAAAGAGAATTTCACTCGCGGTCACTTTTTAGCCCTCGTCGAGGGCTTTGAGTGTAACCGACAGTTTTCCCTAAAGGTCAAGCCATTGACCTAGGAGTATGCAAAAAATTAGCCAGATATACTGAGGTTAAGTACCCTAAAGTCTGCGTTGAAATGACCCTCTGTTTTTCCCATAAAATACAAAGATTATATAGGGAAATACAACTGGTCAGTTTTGACCCCTTTACGAAGTTTTCCCAGATATGCCGAGTTTTTTGTGACACCCTAAGGCGTTCTCCTACCACCTCACAAAATATCAAGGGGGGTCGTCGGAGGAAAATTTTTTTCGTAATAGAGCTCATATAAAGAGAATTTCACTCGCGGTCACTTTTTAGCCCTCGTCGAGGGCTTTGAGTGTAACCGACAGTTTTCCCTAAAGGTCAAGCCATTGACCTAGGAGTATGCAAAAAATTAGCCAGATATACTGAGGTTAAGTACCCTAAAGTCTGCGTTGAAATGACCCTCTGTTTTTCCCATAAAATACAAAGATTATATAGGGAAATACAACTGGTCAGTTTTGACCGCTTTACGAAGTTTTCCCAGATATGCCGAGTTTTTTGTGACACTCCTAGGTGTTCTTCTACCACCTCACAAAATATCAAGGGGGGTCGTCGGAGGAAAATTTTTTTCGTAATAGAGCTCATATAAAGAGAATTTCACTCGCGGTCACTTTTTAGCCCTCGTCGAGGGCTTTGAGTGAGACCGACAGGTCTGCCCTACGGTCAAGCCATTTTCCTATAAACATGCCAAAAATTAGCCAGATGTAAAGAGGGTAAGTGCCCTAAAATCCGTTTTGAAATGACCCTCCGTTTTTCCCATAAAATACAAAGATTATATAGGGAAATACGACTGGTCAGTTTTGACCCATTTCCCGATTTTTCCCGGACATGGCGAGTTTTTTGTGACACCCCAAGGCGTTCTCCTACCACCTCACAAAATATCAAGGGGGGTCGTCGGAGGAAATTTTTTTTCGTAATAGAGCTCATATAAAGAGAATTTCACTCGCGGTCACTTTTTAGCCCTCGTCGAGGGCTTTGAGTAAGACCGACAGGTCTGCCCTACGGTCAAGCCATTTACCTATAAACATGCCAAAAATTAGCCAGATGTAAACAGGGTAAGTGCCCTAAAATCCGTTTTGAAATGACCCTCTGTTTTTCCCATAAAATACAAAGATTATATAGGGAAATACGACTGGTCAGTTTTGACCCATTTTCCGATTTTTCCCGGACATGGCGAGTTTTTTGTGACACCCCAAGGCGTTCTCCTACCACCTCACAAAATATCAAGGGGGGTCGTCGGAGGAAATTTTTTTTCGTAATAGAGCTCATATAAAGAGAATTTCACTCGCGGTCACTTTTTAGCCCTCGTCGAGGGCTTTGAGTAAGACCGACAGGTCAGCCCTACGGTCAAGCCATTTACCTATAAACATGCCAAAAATTAGCCAGATGTAAACAGGGTAAGTGCCCTAAAATCCGTTTTGAAATGACCCTCTGTTTTTCCCATAAAATACAAAGATTATATAGGGAAATACGACTGGTCAGTTTTGACCCATTTCCCGATTTTTCCCGGACATGGCGAGTTTTTTGTGACACCCCAAGGTGTTCTCCTACCACCTCACAAAATTTCAAGGGGGGTCGTCGGAGGAAATTTTTTTTCGTAATATAGCCCATATAAGGCGCCGGTCAGTCGAGGTCAGTTTTGACCCCTTCTCCGTAGACTTTTCGGCCAACCGTCACCGGCCTTCGTGTTCTATTGCCCGAAGGCACCATCGTGCCAAATTTGACGCGCCTGCGGCGCCGGGAAGTGCCCTATCGGGCACTTGACCACTTTGCTTTATATATATATATATATATATATATATATATATATATATATATATATATATATATATATATATATATATATATATATATATATATATATATATATATATATATGCCCTAGATATACACATAAACACACATATTTACACACACACACACGCACGCACACACATATTTTGTCAACATGTCTACTGACGGTCTATGGAGCAAGTGAAGTAGATTTCACCTGTTTCTGTGACCTCGGCATATGAAGAGATAGTGTGGTCAGAAATAAGCCCAGCCGCCTTTACACTCCCTAACGTGAGTTAGGTACCCACCAGAGCTGGGTGGACTCAGGGACTCATGCATTAAATAAAAGCATGTAAAAAGACTTCTGCTAGTAAATTAATTATGAATGTGAAACAGATCCTTAACATCACAACACATCTCTCATGAAGAGCAATAGCCGTGTGGTTGTATTAGCACCACCAAACTCTGTACGAAGCACCTTCCACATCAGTTGTATATAGAGCTTTTCTTAAAATTGTGTTTGGCTTAACTATTACAATGATGAACTGTTATACTGTTAAACTGTTATACTGTTACACTCTCAAATTGATATTATGTTAAATAAATATCCTAATGATGATGTTAAACATGTACTAAACAGAAGTGAGACAAATGTTAATCCGTTAACCCGAATAGTGTTAAACCTGTCTACCCACACGTCTCAATGTTTAACCGTTAACCCCCACAGATCTGTCAAATCAACTGTTTACCTGGGGCGCCTGCAGGTCAGCATGACATTGAGTTAACCGTCACAATGACGTCACGCGTTTGGTGCCAGCGACAAGGATGTCATTCCTACTGAGAAAGGTGAGTGACCTAGTTTTTTTTAAGGTAATTCAGACCGGTCAATGACCTCTTTTATGTAGGTCATATCCACCCTTATATACCCGTGAATGTAGCACCACCCTTATACACCCATGGATGTAGAACCAGTCTACTTTTGGAGTGTAGCTCTATTCTTCTTTTGGGGTGTAGCTCTATTCTACTTTTTCGGGTGTAGCTCTATTCTACTTTTGGGGTGTAGCTCTATTCTACTTTTGGGGTGTAGCTCTATTCTACTTTTGGGGTGTAGCTCTATTCTACTTTTGGGGTGTAGCTCTATTCTACTTTTGGGGTGTAGCTCTATTCTACTTTTGGGGTGTAGCTCTTTTCTACTTTTGGGGTGTAGCTCTATTCTACTTTTTCGGGTGTAGCTCTATTCTACTTTTGGGGTGTAGCTTTATTCTACTTTTGGGGTGTAGCTCTATTCTACTTTTGGGGTGTAGCTCTATTCTACTTTTGGGTGTAGCTCCATTCTACTCTTGGGTGTAGCTCCATTCTACTTTTGGGGTGTAGCTCTATTCTACTTTTGGGGTGTAGCACCATTGTACTTTTGGGGTGTAGCTCTATTCTACTTTTGGGGTGTAGCTCTATTCTACTTTTGGGGTGTAGCTCTATTCTACTTTTGGGGTGTAGCTCTATTCTACTTTTTCGGGTGTAGCTCTATTCTACTTTTGGGGTGTAGCTCTATTCTACTTTTGGGGTGTAGCTCTATTCTACTTTTTCGGGTGTAGCTCTATTCTACTTTTGGGGTGTAGCTTTATTCTACTTTTGGGGTGTAGCTCTATTCTACTTTTGGGGTGTAGCTCTATTCTATTTTTCGGGTGTAGCTCCATTCTACGTTTGGGTGTAGCTCTATTCTACTTTTGGGGTGTAGCTCTATTCTACTTTTGGGTGTAGCTCTATTCTACTTTTGGGGTGTAGCTCTATTCTACTTTTGGGGTGTAGCTTTATTCTACTTTTGGGGTGTAGCTCTATTCTACTTTTGGGGTGTAGCTCTATTCTACTTTTGGGGTGTAGCTCTATTCTACTTTTGGGTGTAGCTCTATTCTACTTTTGGGGTGTAGCTCTATTCTACTTTTGGGGTGTAGCTTTATTCTACTTTTGGGGTGTAGCTCTATTCTACTTTTGGGGTGTAGCTCTATTCTACTTTTGGGGTGTAGCTCTATTCTACTTTTGGGTGTAGCTCTATTCTACTTTTGGGTGTAGCTCTATTCTACTTTTGGGGTGTAGCTCTATTCTATTTTTGGGTGTAGCTCTATTCTACTTTTGGGGGTGTAGCTCTATTCTACTTTTGGGGGTGTAGCTCTATTCTACTTTTGGGGGTGTAGCTCTATTCTACTTTTGGGGTGTAGCTCTATTCTACTTTTGGGGGTGTAGCTCTATTCTACTTTTGGGGTGTAGCTCTATTCTACTTTTGGGTGTAGCTCTATTCTACTTTTGGGGTGTAGCTCTATTCTACTTTTGGGTGTAGCTCTATTCTACTTTTGGGGTGTAACTCTATTCTACTTTTGGGTGTAGCTCTATTCTACTTTTGGGTGTAGCTCTATTCTACTTTTGTGGTGTAGCTCAGTGGCATTTTTTATGAGAAGAATTGTATGAGAGGGTTATGTTGTATTGTATGTGCTAAGGTTCAGGAAAGATTCATACAAGATGAAGCTCATGAGAAGTTATGTTGTATGTATGTGATAAGGATTGCATGCGAGGGTTATGTTGTATGTATGCGATAAGGTTCATACAAGAAGCTCATGAGAAGTTATGTTGTATGTATGTGATAAGGATTGCATGCGAGGGTTATGTTGTATGTATGCGATAAGGTTCATACAAGAAGCTCATGAGAAGTTATGTTGTATGTATGTGATAAGGATTGCATGCGAGGGTTATGTTGTATGTATGCGATAAGGTTCATACAAGAAGACGCTCATGAGAAGTTATGTTGTATGTAAGTGATAAGGTTTAGGAAAGATTCATGCAAGAAGCTCATGAGAAGTTATGTTGTATGTATGTGATAAGGATTGTATGAAAGGGTTATTGTGTATGTATATGATAAGGTTCATACAAGAAGAAGCTCATAAAATGTTGTATGTATTGATCCTGGTTGATTACACAGCTGTGTTTGTTCTACGTCAACTTTGTCTGTGTTTGCTGTTGGGTGGTCCGTGTCTCGCTTTACAGATGTTACATCATGGTGTCACTTGGTGGGGTGTCATGTGGTTGGGTGACTCATGGTGTCACAGTGTGGGTTGACTTATGGTGTCACTTTGTGGGCTGACTCATGGTGTCACTTGGTGGGGTGACTCATGGTGTCACTTTGTGGGGTGGCTCATGGTGTCACTTGGTGGGGTGTCATGTGGTTGGGTGACTCATGGTGTCACAGTGTGGGTTGACTTATGGTGTCACTTGGTGGGGTGACTCATGGTGTCACTTGGTGGGGTGGCTCATGGTGTCACTTGGTGGGGTGACTCATGGTGTCACTTGGTGGGGTGGCTCATGGTGTCACTTGGTGGGGTGACTCATGGTGTCACTTGGTGGGGTGGCTCATGGTGTCACTTGGTGGGGTGACTCATGGTGTCACTTGGTGGGGTGACTCATGGTGTCACAGTGCTTAATTGTGTTGGAGGCGTGGTCGAGTCGGCAAAAAACTCATGGTTCGAACAAATTCTCGAGTTCAAACCCACTGGCAGATAAATCTCGATCCCCTTCAACACTAATAATTAAGAACGAAGAAGAAGAAGAAGAAAGAAGAAGAAAAGGGAGAGAATTGTATCACAAACTTTCAAGTTCGTAACAATGCCGTTCGTTTTTCGATAAAAAATATAAAGATGAAAAGCGCTTTGAATTAACTTTTATTTTATATAAAATAATTAAGAAAATTTTTGAGATATCGGAAATAGAATAAAGTACACCTACCGGTTAGCTGAAATCGCTCAAAAGTTGATAGAAATGTACTTACGGAAGCTTATACTCAGTGTTTCTTCCAGACTTTTTTCTCCGGGGGGGCACTTGAAATCTTCGGGGGGGGGGGGGGCGGTAAACTTTCTTCGGGGGGGGGGGGGGGGCGGACACTGTTAAAAGTATATATTTTCTATATAAATTATATAAATTTCATTTCGTTCGGGGGGGGGGGGGGGCGGTAAAAAATTTTCGGGGGGGGGGGGGGGGGCTTTGCCCCCCCGAAGAGATGCCTGGAAGAAACTCTGCTTATACTTATATATAAAGATTTCGTCCACCTGAAGTGAAACGGTTCTCAAGTTATCGGGTTTACACGGCAGAAAAAAAAATACAGCTTTCGTTTACCGGAATTCACTCAAGTTGACAGAAACTAGCATATTGTAAGGCGATTTATTATACACTATTTCAGGGGTCGGCAACCTGCGGCTCGCGGGCCGCATGCGGCTCTTTTGATATCAAGATGCGGCTCTCATGCTCCTTGCACAAATACTAATAATCTTAATAAAAAAATAAAATATTTGAAATAAAAAAATGTTAGTGGCTCTTTAAAACTAGGGAAATTTTGAAAATTGTAACTTTTGGCTCTTCCGCTTCAAAAGGTTGCCGACCCCTGCACTATTTGATTCCCCTTTAAAATGTATTATTAACAAGGGAAACAACTTAAAATTAAGAAATTTAACTTATAAAACAATGTAATTGTAAAGAGATGAAAATGTGGGTCATAAATCACCGCCATTTATTAACTAATATTTTAGTTTATACAAAATAATTTTTTTTAAATGAATCAATCATAAAGTTTTAATTACTTTAGTATATTTAAAAGTCAAAACTTATAAAAATACAAAGCACTTTATTATTTATATTTGGACGTGACTAATAATGTATTGCTTTCTATGATCTTGTTGCTGGTGTTAATAATAATTCTTAAAATGTGTGTATTCTAAAAAAAAAATTTAAAAAAAATTAAAAAAAAAATGTGTGTATTCTAGACCATGGGTCAGCAAACCGCGGCTCGCGAGCCGCATGCGGCTCATGTGATATTGAGATGCGGCTCTTCAGCTCCATCCACAAATATTTATAATTATTTTTTATTTTCAAAAGTCATAAAAATATTGTTCAGCAACACTCGGTAATGAACGATAAAATAATAAACATAAACAATAAACACTCGCTATTCCATTAAAATAGGAACTACTCCCTATTTCAATGTACTTCCTATTAACTTGTCTATCCCAAATTGAAACATTCAACTTCATGGTGGAGATCACATAGAAACTAAATGAGCTAAATATAAAAACTGCATGAAAAGGAAAACCCAGCCTATGCCTTGCTTGAAGAAGATGATTGTTTCTAAAAAAAAATACTTCAATTTTGTTGAAGACCCGGGGAGTGGTAAATTACTTTATTTCGAAAAAAATATGATAAAACCAACACCACTATTAACATGAATCACTTCAGCTTTGCTATAAACAAAAGTAATGGTGAGAGATTTGAGCAATTCAAAAGAAATGCATGTACTCTGACGTTCATAGTAGATTCTTTCAACACAAAAAGTCATATACTTTGATTACTGATTTTATTATTCTAGCAGAGCTAGATAAAATACTTTCATATTTTTTCTGCGAAACATGTGTATGCTTTTATTTGTGGGGTGACTTATGGTGACACTCGGTGGGGTGACTCATGGTGTCACTTGGTGGGGTGACTCATGGTGTCACTTGGTGGGGTGACTCAGGGTGTTAATGGGTGGGTGTGACTCATGGTGTCACTTGGTGGGGTGACTCATGGTGTCACTTGGTGGTGACTCATGGTGTCACTTGGTGGGGTGGCTCATGGTGTCAATTGGTGGGGTGACTCATGGTGTCACAGTGTGGGTTGACTTATGGTGTCACAGTGTGGGGTGACTTATGGTGACACTCAGTGGGGGGACTCATGGTGTCACTTGGTGGGGTGACTCATGGTGTCACTTGGTGGGGTGACTCAGGGTGTAAATGGGTGGGGGTGACTCATGGTGTCACTTGGTGGGGTGACTCATGGTGTCACTTGGTGGTGACTCATGGTGTCACTGGTGGGGTGGCTCATGGTGTCACTTGGTGGTGACTCATGGTGTCACTGGTGGGGTGGCTCATGGTGTCACTTGGTGGGGTGACTCATGGTGTCACAGTGTGGGTTGACTTATGGTGTCACAGTGTGGGGTGACTTATGGTGACACTCGGTGGGGTGACTCATGGTGTCACTTGGTGGGGTGACTCAGGGTGTAAATGGGTGGGGGTGACTCATGGTGTCACTTGGTGGTGACTCATGGTGTCACTTGGTGGGGTGGCTCATGGTGTCACTTGGTGGGGTGACTCATGGTGTCACAGTGTGGGTTGACTTATGGTGTCACAGTGTGGGGTGACTTATGGTGACACTCGGTGGGGTGACTCATGGTGTCACTTGGTGGGGTGACTCATGGTGACACTCGGTGGAGTGACTCTTGGGTCACTTGGTGGGGTGACTCAGGGTGTCACTTGGTGCGGTAAATCATGGTGTTATGGCCTCACTCCCCACCCTAGACTTTCACGTTGGAGTCACCCACATATTCTCAGTAGAGTTGTGTATTTAACTTAAAGTCAGGTCGAATTTTCGACCCTCAATCCACATCTCATCAAGTCAACTTGTAACTCAAGTCAATTTCTAAGTTAAATGGATAATCAAGTTTTTCCTTCGCAGTTTTTTTTTTCAATCGGTTTCACCCCCACCCCTCTATCGGTGTCTTCCCAATCGCCTAAATGGTGTCACCTCACCCCTTCTATTTGTGTCTTCCCAATCGCCTAAATGGTGTCACCCACACCCCCATAAAATAACTACATCGCTAACGAAATGCCACCCATTTCTCCAGTATCCAACGAATGTACTACATTTGAATTATAACCATAACCATCTTTGATGTGCCCAGCTTTTAACCTAACACAAACTAGATCCCCGCCCCTCGGTCCTAAATCCCCTAGCCCTGTGTCACATGACCCTAGATCTGACCCAGGGGACGGCTCGCACCAACTTAAAAGCTCCCTATTTGTCGTTAACTCAGCTCAATCTGACACCCCCGTGTTTATTGCAATGTAAATCACTCATCTTTTTTATGTCATCGGAAATTCCCGCTCTAAACACGTGAGCGGGTCTGACCCCGAATGACCCAGACGCCGCTGTTGTATGTTGGTACAGGTCATCAAGCCGTGGAACGCCGCCAAGGATGCCAGTAACACCAACACCTCCGACAAACCCGTGTGTCCACCGTCACCTGACCTCTCACACTTGACCCCGGATGAAATCAACGTCATCAATGACGTCATACGGCGCCAGGAGGAGTTTGACCGGCAAGAGGCGAACAGGGTCAAGTAAGTTGGACATTTTTTTTTTAAATCAAGGTCAAAGTTCAACATATCTGACCTTGGCCGTAATATTGCTAGCCTGTCATTTACCCCCAATTCAAATATAAACCGTTATAAATTTGACATCGATATATAGATGTCACACGCAAATTTAACACAACCAAATATAACCCTTATAAACTTAACTAAATAAATATAAAAGTAAAGTATCACCACATATTTGCCCTTCATAAACTTGATATCATTAAATATATGCCCCTAATAAACTTGACATCACCAAATATATGCCCCCCAAAAGTCTTGACATCACCAAATATATGCCCTTAAAAATCTTAACATCCCCAAATATATGCCCCTTAAAATCTTGACATCACCAAATATATGCCCCTAAAAATCTTAATATCACCAGATATATGCCCCTAAAAATCTTAACATCCCCAAATATATGCCCCTTAAAATCTTGACATCACCAAATATATGCCCCTCATAAACTTGCCACCACGAAACATTCGTCAACCGACACCTCTTTATACCGATAAATCGATGAAGAAAATCAATCACTGGCCAATACCACGCACCTTGCCCAGTTTTATGTATTACACGAGTCATCTCTCCTTTGTACCGGAAGTGGAGATGACGCCATGACAGATAATTCTCGTTCGCACGTGAGCTTCCCCACGCGAGACCTCGGCCGAGATTTGACCTGGCCACGAGATCTTGTCGAGAATTGACCTGGTAATGTGGGCTTCTTCAGTCTGAGAGATTAAAATTAAATGAAGTTGTATTGTAGTGACACATGGTAGGGAAAAATTAAATGAAGTTGTAATGGCTCATAGTAGGAAAAAAAAAATCAAGTCCTTGTCTAGTGGTACCGACAAATGTGACAGTCTAAATGTGACGTCAATGGTTTAAAAAATAAAATTAGTTCATATTTCCTGCCTCAAAAATAACTAGATGGCAACGTGAAGAACTCAGTTACATTTTAATAAGAGGTTTTTAATAAAAGATTGTGCACATTTTCAACTCAGACGGTGCTAGTCAAAAGATCTTACACACATTTTAAGTAACGTAGGATATAATGAAGTAACGTAGTGTTAGCCAAAAGATTAATGCATACAGACACTACATTAAGTACCACGGTACTAGGCTATAGGTCCAGCATACAGACACTACATTAAGTACCACGGTACTAGGCTATAGGTCCAGCACATGTATACAAGATTAAAGCACACATATACGAGCGCTACAAACTAAACCCAGTGTGACATGTACTACACCATCTTCTATGATTGGCTGGACGCCATCCTGGGCCAACACTAGACAACAGCTACAACAAAATCTGGACGCCATCCTGGGCCAACACTAGACAACAGCTACAACAAAATCTCAAGTGTTAATTCCCAATTTCCTGCCCAGTGTAAGGCGCCCGGTGGGGGGGGGGGTCTGCTAGCGGTAGTGTTTTGTTGAAGGCGGCAAATACCATTTTGTTGTGTGTCAGTCATTGGATGGTTGACTAGCTGTCAGTCAATTGGACAGCTGACTAACTGTCATTCACTTGACTTGGACAGTTGACTAGCTGTCAGTCACTTTGACAGTTGATAATGGAGAAAATATAAAATCTGTTAAATAAAAGCTTCCAACGAACCAGTTTGTAAACAAATATTTTCACAAGTAACCCTAGCTGCACATATTTTATTTTCAGACTTTCAATTAGAAAATGCAATGTTAAACCGCAAGTCATTAAAAATGAAATTTCTTTTTGGCTAATTAACTAAAGAAAAAATTAAGTTGATTTGATGTAAATAGCGGTAATAAAGAAGTTGCATTTTCCTATCTTTAAAAAAAAATCATTTTTAAAAGAAATCTTTAAAATCCACATTAGACCTACACGTGTCAGTTCCTGACGTAAGTCTCTGGTCACGTGTGTGTTCCTGACGTCTCTGGTCACGTGTCAGTTCCTGACGTCTCTGGTCACGTGTGTGTTCCTGACGTAAGTCTCTGGTCATGTGTGAGTTAATGACGTAAGTCTCTGGTCACGTGTCAATTCCTGACGTAAGTCTCTGGTCACGTGTAAGTTTCTGACGTCTCTGGTCACGTGTGTGTTCCTGACGTCTCTGGTCACGTGTAAGTTCCTGACGTAAGTCTCTGGTCACGTGTGAGTTCCTGAACTCTCTGGTCACGTGTGAGTTCCTGACGTCTCTGGTCACGTGTCAGTTCCTGGCGTCTCTGGTCACGTGTCAGTTCCTGACGTCTCTGGTCACGTGTGAGTTCCTGACGCAAGTCTCTGGTCACGTGTGAGTTCCTGACGTAATTTTCTGGTCACGTGTGAGTTCCTGACGTCTCTGGTCACGTGTCAGTTCCTGACGCAAGTCTCTGGTCACGTGTGAGTTCCTGACGTAAGTCTCTGGTCACGTGTGAGTTCCTGACGTCTCTGGTCACGTGTGTGTTCCTGACGTCTCTGGTCACGTGTGAGTTCCTGACGTAAGTCTCTGGTCACGTGTCAGTTCCTGACGTCTCTGGTCACGTGTCAGTTCCTGACGTAAGTCTCTGGTCACGTGTCAGTTCCTGTCGTCTCTGGTCACGTGTCAGTTCCTGACGTCTCTGGTCACGTGTGAGTTCCTGACGTAAGTCTCTGGTCACGTGTCAGTTCCTGACGTCTCTGGTCACGTGTCAGTTCCTGACGTCTCTGGTCACGTGTCAGTTCCTGACGTAAGTCTCTGGTCACGTGTCAGTTCCTGACGTAAGTCTCTGGTCACGTGTCAGTTCCTGACCTAAGTCTCTGGTCACGTGTGAGTTCCTGACGTAAGTCTCTGGTCACGTGTGAGTTCCTGACCTAAGTCTCTGGTCACGTGTCAGTTCCTGACGTCTCTGGTCACGTGTCAGTTCCTGACGTCTCTGGTCACGTGTGAGTTCCTGACCTAAGTCTCTGGTCACGTGTGAGTTCCTGACGTCTCTGGTCACGTGTGAGTTCCTGACGTCTCTGGTCACGTGTGTATTCCTGACGTCTCTGGTCACGTGTGTGTTAATGACGTCTCTGGTCACGTGTGTGTTCCTGACGTCTCTGGTCACGTGTGTGTTAATGACGTCTCTGGTCACGTGTGTGTTCCTGACGTCTCTGGTCACGTGTGATTTCCTGACGTCTCTGGTCACGTGTGAGTTCCTGACGTAAGTCTCTGGTCACGTGTGAGTTCCTGACGTCTCTGGTCACGTGTAAGTTCCGGACGTCTCTGGTCACGTGTGAGTTCCTGACGTCTCTGGTCACGTGTGAGTTCCTGACGTCTCTGGTCACGTGTGATTTCCTGACGTCTCTGGTCACGTGTGTGTTCCTGACGTAAGTCTCTGGTCACGTGTCAGTTCCTGACGTCTCTGGTCACGTGTGTGTTCCTGACGTCTCTGGTCACGTGTGAGTTCCTGACGTAAGTCTCTGGTTCTTGACCTAAGTCTCTTGTCGCGTGTGTGTTCCTGACCTAAGTCTCTGGTCACGTGTGAGTTCCTGACCTAAGTCTCTGGTCCACAGGAAGCTCAAGGAAGATCTGGACAGCCTCCAGCACCAACTGGCCGTCAAGTCCATCGCCGGCACCCAGAACAAGAAGGTCGTTGACCTCCGCCTGTGCCGGCTCTGCTTCAAGACCAAGTTCGCTGACGGGGTGGGGCGGGTGTGTGCCGACTGCCAACAGAGGGTGTGTCCCCAGTGTGGGGCCTTCACCAAGCCCAAGTCTAGCTCCAGGAAAAACAAGGTGAGGGCTGGATCACGTGACTTAAGACAGGCAGTGTGAAGCTACAGTTAGCACCGTGTGCTTTATTTGGTGTGTCATTCAGCTTCTTTTTCATATCTAATTTATAATGTAAGTTAAACTAGTTGACCAGGGTGTCAGACAATATGGATTGGTATGGTTAACTACAGTATTTCTTTCAGATTTTTTTCTCCGTGGGGGGGGGGGGGAGGGGCGGACATTGGTATAGGTATATATTTTCTATATAAATTCTATTTCAACAATATGGATGAGTAAAATCGACTTTGGCCCAAAGTTTCAGGCCTTGCGGTAACATTTGATAATAAGAACAAGGAATAAACCCTGTTCGTTAAAAGACGTTGGTCGTCTACTTTTTCATCGACTTAAGTCATCTGCTCATTCAAATAAGGAGTGGTTTGGGGGGGGGGGGGGGAAGGGGGTCAGCGGGCTGTGTGTATAGTTAGCGTGTGGTGGGTGGGGTGTGGGTGGTATGTTATGTGGGTACGTGAGATGTGAAAGGGCGGCAGATAAAAAAAATGTAACACTTTGGTTGCAAGCGGGGAGGATTTTTTTTCCTATCGATGACAGCTGTTGGTACTGTCGACAAGTCTTGATGTTGTAGGCAGTTGTTGACCTTGGTGGCAGTTTCCGGTACTGCCGGCAGTTTCCGGACCTACCGGCAGTTGCCGGTATCGACCCAATGGCCAATGTCAACAGAATCTGTCTAGTAACTCTAGGCGCTTCAACACGACATCAGCAATCAATGGCCGACGCCGGTCAGTGGTCGAACCTCAAGTCCACATGTGGCTAACTCGGCTAGTTATTCACACGTGGCTAAAGACAGCTACTTGACTACATGTGGCCACTTGTCCACATGTGGTCATTGGTAACTTGTCCACATGTGGTCATTGGGCACTTGACCACATGCGGTCATTGGGCACTTGTCCACATGTGGTCATTGTTTACTTGTCCACGTGTTGTCATTGGTAACTTGTCCACATGTGGTCATTGGACACTTGTCCACATGTGGTCATTGGTCAATTGTCCACATGTGGTCATTGGACACTTGTCCACATGTGGTCATTGGTCAATTGTCCACATGTGGTCATTGGGCACTTGTCCACCTGTGGTCATTGGACACTTGTCCACATGTGGTCATTGGTCATTTTCCCTGGTAGACGGTGGGCCAGTCCACCTCCGCTCACATAGCACATCACATGACAATAAATATCACACATTACCCACACACAGCTACACGCAAACACCAACACAAACTCTCACACAAACTCTCACACAAACACCACCATTACCTCCCATCTAACATCCACTTGACCCCCCTCCCCAGAGCGTGAGGGGGAGGTGGAGGTGCAGACTTTGTATCGCCAGACGTGAGGTCCTGTGCCGGACCGGGGGCTGGTACCACGGTGCCACCGACCCGTCGGACGACCTCAAGAGGAAACTCTCCCAGGTCAATGACCCGGAGGGGGACACGGACGTTGGAAGTAGCACGGTAAGTTTTGAACTGCTAGATCTACACAACTTCAGACAATTACTTACAACAGCACGGTAAGTTTTGAACTGCTAGGTCTACACAACTTCAGACAATTACTTACAACAGCACGGTAAGTTTTGAACTGCTAGGTCTACACAACTTCAGACAATTACTTACAACAGCACGGTAAGTTTTGAACTGCTAGGTCTACACAACTTCAGACAATTACTTACAACAGCACGGTAAGTTTTGAACTGCTAGGTCTACACAACTTCAGACAACAATTACTTACAACAGCACGGTAAGTTTTAAACTGCTAGGTCTACACAACTTCAGACAATACGTGTTTAATATTACTTGTACTAGCACTTAAGTTTTGAACTGCTAGGTCTACACAACTTCAGACAACAATTACTTACAACAGCACGGTAAGTTTTGAACTGCTAGGTCTACCCACTTTATCGTGCTTTAAATTCCTTAAATGAGCAATACAATTACTTCTTGATAAACATTGACATTAATTTTATTATTAAACAATAGCAGATGCAATAAGATACATTTTCAAAGTTATATAAGAAACGTGTAGATAATTCATAGGACTAGCAACTAGTTAAAAGTTAGCTCCAACTGTAAATGTTAACAGCAAATTGTATGTAGGTTGTCGTTTGATCTCTCCCAGTATCACGGTAACTACACTAACCTTGAAGACAGCGAGGCCTGCCCATCTGGGAATCGCACCGATTCCGAATTGTTGCGGCGAATGACGGGATGTTCCACCGCGAAAAATGCGGCAAACGCTAAAAAAGTTGGGCGTCGCCGCTCTCTGCCGCCCGAGTCAGGGGTGGTGGATGACGTCAGAGCGAGATATGATGACGACGATGACGACAAAGACAGTCTGGATAGTCTGATACTGGAGAGGAAAATGTCGAGACGGAGGCGACAGGAGAAGAGGCAGAGGAGGAGGATACGGGCAGGTGAGGTTTGTGGGGAGGGGGGGGGGAGGGGGAAGGGGAGGGGGTGTCATACGGGTTGTCCTTCATCCAACACCATGTCAACCATGTAAACAGCCTCATAGTCATTCAAATAACTCGGGATTTTGTTACCAGTAATAAGCACATTATAATTATGACTAATTAAAACATCATAAATTATGTTGGTATAACCTCATTTAACCACCCACAACAAACCGGATGTAAAAAGCCATGTTAAAATCAACACACATTATGTAAACACAACACACTTTATGTAAACAGTCATCTGAAACACGCCTCATGTAGTTGTTAGCTGGTGGTATAAGATCTCCATAGCCTGGTGATGTAAGATGTTCATAGGCTGGTGGTCAAGTATTTATTGTTATACACAAATAACCTCAAGCTCCCAGTGATGTATGGATGTCGCACATCTATGTGATGTTTTAACTGTTGTCGGGATGATTGACATCAGTATGATGTTTTAAATCTCGTGTGGATGTTACACAGATGCTCGTTTACTGTCTAGATGTTGCATTTCTATGTTGTCTGGATGTCGCACATCTATGTGATGTTTAAACTGTCTGGATGTCGCACCCAAGCCCTACATGATGTTCAACCAACGATGCCCATCCCCCCCCCCCACCCACGGGACACCCCTAACTAACTGCCACCAATGCCCAACCCTCCCCATCCCTCCCCACCCTCCCTTCCCCATCCCTCCCCATCCACGGGACACACCCAACTAACTACCACCAATGCCCACCCCTCCCCACCCATCCCTCCCCATCCACGGGCCACACCCAACTAACTACCACCAATGCCCATCCCTCCCCACCCACCCCTCCCCATCCCTCCCCACCCACGGGCCACACCCAACTAACAGCCGTCTTGGTCACCAGGGCAGCAGGAGCGGAGCGTCGAGTCCCTGTCCGAGCGGTCGCTGCCCGGGGGGTCAGACGATCAGACCAACGACAAGGGGACGCTGGGAAACGGAAGTGGTCAGAGGCGGGACAGTCTCACAAGGTCACTCTGGGGCCACAGCAATTCCTTGAATTCGTGTAAGCTCTTGTCTCTTCTAGTTTTGGTCAGGTTTTTCAGCTGTCAAGGTTTGTCTGGTCTGGCAAGTTTTGTCTGTCAAGTTTTGTCTGGTCTGTCAAGTTTTGTCTGTCAAGTTTTGTCTGGTCTGTCAAGTTTTGTCTGGTCTGGCAAGTTTTGTCTGGTCTGTCAAGTTTTGTCTGGTCTGGCAAGTTTTGTCTGTCAAGTTTTGTCTGTCAAGTTTTGTCTGTCAAGTTTTGTCTGGTCTGTCAAGTTTTGTCTGGTCTGTCAAGTTTTGTCTGGTCTGTCAAGTTTTGTCTGGTCTGTCAAGTTTTGTCTGGTCTGGCAAGTTTTGTCTGTCAAGTTTTGTCTGGTCTGGTCTGTCAAGTTTTGTCTGGTCTGTCAAGTTTTGTCTGGTCTGTCAAGTTTTGTCTGGTCTGGCAAGTTTTGGCTGTCCAGACAAGTTTTTCTGTCTTATTTTGTCCAAGTTTTTTCTGATCTGATCTTGCCAGATTTTTCTTATCTGCCAGATAATTATGGTCTCGTTTTGTTCAGATCTTGAAAAATTATATAAAACTGATTAGTGTGAGCAATTGAGCAATCAATCAAATTAGGTTAAAGTTATGCAAGGGGCGTGGTTTTTGTTTCGTTAACAGGGTTCGCTAATTTATCACGTGGATAGGGTTCACTAATTTGTCACGTCGGTAAGGTTCACTAATTTTGTACAGGGTTCACTAATTTGTCACGTTGGTAAGGTTCACTAATTTTGTACAGGGTTCACTAATTTGTCACGTTGGTAAGGTTCACTAATTTTGTGCAAGGTTCACTAATTTGTCACGTTGGCAAGGTTCACTAATTTTGTGCAGGGTTCACTAATTTGTCACGTTGGTAAGGTTCACTAATTTTTGTGCAGGGTTCACTAATTTGTCACATCTGTTTACACACGTATCACATTACTGTCAAGTCTTTTAGTTCACAAATATTGTCTCACTCGCTGCAGAGGCTGTCGGATCACAGGCAAAATTTGTATTTGTAGTCTTACGTTTTGTAATTTCCAAGTTGTCTAGGTCAAGTCCAAAGGATATCGTTTAATTGAAATAACATGGAATGGAAACATGAACAAATATTACCTCCATATTTGGGTACCATTGATTATGTACCATGGAGAACCCACTGATTTATCTTAGTAGCTTATTTATGTCGTGTAGCATTCTAAGACCCTTGAACTTGTAACCTTTAACCCTTAACATGTAAACCTAAGCAATTATCATACTATGCCACACAACCAAGCATGATATTTTCTAAAGCAACTCGGGCATCAGGCATAGTTTAACTACCAATAATCCTCAAAATCTTCTTCTTCATAATGTCATTTCATGTTGTTTCCATAAAACGTTATCCTTTGTTGTTGTTTTTAAGATAAATAATTTTTAAAGTATCCCAATAACATAGGATTCTAAAAGTGAAAAATAAATAAAATTAAAACAAAAACTCCGGTAACTCATCTTGGGGCCATTTCCCTTCTGTCGATGTAATTTAATTTTAATATTTTACATATCAGCATATTTACAATACTTTGGCAAGTTTAAAATCATTAGTTAGTAAAAATTAGTAAAAAAAAAAATAATTTAATAATTTTTTACAATGTAAAAACAAATGTTAATTTCAAAATTGTAAAACATAAGAAATTTTTTAAATTTGGAACTTTATAGTTCTAAACTAAGTAAAATATTTTTAAAATACCGACTGACTAGGAAAGTTAATTACTCTAAAGAATCGCAGTTCACTAATTTGTCTCGTTAGATCACTATGTGTCACTTTAGTATAACATCATGTGTCACTCTAGTTCTCTATGACATGATATCTGCTCACTTTAGTGTCACACAAGATGGCTCTTGAATTGTGAGTCCTAGTTAGTGTCACGTCAGTAGGCTAATGTGTCAACGTCAGTATGCTAATGTTCACGTCAGTAGGCTAATGTATCACGTTAGAAGGCCGATGTGTCACGTCAGTAGGCTAATGTATCACGTCAGTAGACAAATGTGTAATGTCACTAGGCTATTGTGTCACGTCAGTTGACGTATGTGTCACGTGTCGTGCAGGTGTGAGAAAACACTCCCCCATCAACGAGAGCAAGGGCGACAACTCCGAGGGGTCATCGACCTCAGTCAGCAGTGTCTTCTCGTCCTTCCGTGACAGCAGCGTGTCAGATGGGTTCAATGGCATGTCACCAATCATGTCACCAATCATGTCACCTTCATCACTCAAGTAAGTTTTTAAGTGACCTTCATCACTCAAGTAAGTTCATGTCACCAATCATGTCACCTTCATCACTCAAGTAAGTTTTTAAGTGACCTTTATCACTCAAGTAAGTTTTTAAGTGACCTTTATCACTCAAGTAAGTTTATGTCACCAATTATGTCACCAATCATGTCACCAATCATGTCACCTTCATCACTCAAGTAAGTTTTTAAGTGACCTTTATCACTCAAGTAAGTTTTTAAGTGACCTTTCTCACTCAAGTAAGTTTTTAAGTGACCTTTATCACTCAAGTAAGTTTTTAAGTGACTTTTATCACTCAAGTAAGTTTTTAAGTGACCTTTCTCACTCAAGTAAGTTTTTAAGTGCCCTTTATCACTCAAGTAAGTTTTTAAGTGACCTTTATCACTCAAGTAAGTTTTTAAGTGACCTTTATCACTCAAGTAAGTTTTTAAGTGACCTTTATCACTCAAGTAAGTTTTTAAGTGACCTTTATCACTCAAGTAAGTTTTTAAGTGACCTTTATCACTCAAGTAAGTTTTTAAGTGACCTTTATCACTCAAGTAAGTTTTTAAGTGACCTTTCTCACTCAAGTAAGTTTTTAAGTGACCTTTATCACTCAAGTAAGTTTTTAAGTGACCTTTATCACTCAAGTAAGTTTTTAAGTGACCTTTATCACTCAAGTAAGTTTTTAAGTGACCTTTATCACTCAAGTAAGTTTTTAAGTGACCTTTCTCACTCAAGTAAGTTTTTAAGTGACCTTTATCACTCAAGTAAGTTCATGTGAAGACAGCACCCATCATGTCACCCATCAATAAAATCTCCTGTACCCTCCCCCCCCCCCCCCCCCCACAGAATCACGCGTCAAGATGCCTTGAGCCTCAACAGCAGCTGTATCAGTATTACCTCGGCCAGTGACAGCAAGTTTGGGGACGGCAGACGTAGCCATCTTGGGTCATCTGACCCCCCTAGTGCCAGGTCACGTGACTCTGTCCAGTCGCCGGCAGGTCAGGACTACAAGGTCAGTGACCTCAGCTCCCTCTCTGACCCCGTATCTGTTACATCACCAAACTAAACAACATTTTTTCTGACCCCGTATCTGTTACATCACCAAACTAAACAACATTTTTTCTGACCCCGTATCTGTTACATCACCAAACTAAACAACATTTTTTCTGACCCCGTATCTGTTACATCACCAAACTAAACAACATTTTTTCTGACCCCGTATCTGTTACATCACCAAACTAAACAACATTTTTTCTGACCCCGTATCTGTTACATCACCAAACTAAACAACATTTTTTCTGACCCCGTATCTGTTACATCACCAAACTAAACAACATTTTCTCTGACCCCGTATCTGTTACATCACCAAACTAAACAACATTTTTTCTGACCCCGTATCTGTTACATCACCAAACTAAACAACATTTTTTCTGACCCCGTATCTGTTACATCACCAAACTAAACAACATTTTTTCTGACCCCGTATCTGTTACATCACCAAACTAAACAACATTTTCTCTGACCCCGTATCTGTTACATCACCAAACTAAACAACATTTTTTCTGACCCCGTATCTGTTACATCACCAAACTAAACAACATTTTTTCTGACCCCGTATCTGTTACATCACCAAACTAAACAACATTTTTTCTGACCCCGTATCTGTTACATCACCAAACTAAACAACATTTTTTCTGACCCCGTATCTGTTACATCACCAAACTAAACAACATTTTTTCTGACCCCGTATCTGTTACATCACCAAACTAAACAACATTTTTTCTGACCCCGTATCTGTTACATCACCAAACTAAACAACATTTTCTCTGACCCCGTATCTGTTACATCACCAAACTAAACAACATTTTTTCTGACCCCGTATCTGTTACATCACCAAACTAAACAACATTTTCTCTGACCCCGTATCTGTTACATCACCAAACTAAACAACATTTTTTCTGACCCCGTATCTGTTACATCACCAAACTAAACAACATTTTCTCTGACCCCGTATCTGTTACATCACCAAACTAAACAACATTTTTTCTGACCCCGTATCTGTTACATCACCAAACTAAACAACATTTTTTCTGACCCCGTATCTGTTACATCACCAAACTAAACAACATTTTTTCTGACCCCGTATCTGTTACATCACCAAACTAAACAACATTTTTTCTGACCCCGTATCTGTTACATCACCAAACTAAACAACATTTTCTCTGACCCCGTATCTGTTACATCACCAAACTAAACAACATTTTTTCTGACCCCGTATCTGTTACATCACCAAACTAAACAACATTTTTTCTGACCCCGTATCTGTTACATCACCAAACTAAACAACATTTTTTCTGACCCCGTATCTGTTACATCACCAAACTAAACAACATTTTCTCTGACCCCGTATCTGTTACATCACCAAACTAAACAACATTTTTTCTGACCCCGTATCTGTTACATCACCAAACTAAACAACATTTTTTCTGACCCCGTATCTGTTACATCACCAAACTAAACAACATTTTTTCTGACCCCGTATCTGTTACATCACCAAACTAAACAACATTTTTTCTGACCCCGTATCTGTTACATCACCAAACTAAACAACATTTTTTCTGACCCCGTATCTGTTACATCACCAAACTAAACAACATTTTTTCTGACCCCGTATCTGTTACATCACCAAACTAAACAACATTTTCTCTGACCCCGTATCTGTTACATCACCAAACTAAACAACATTTTTTCTGACCCCGTATCTGTTACATCACCAAACTAAACAACATTTTCTCTGACCCCGTATCTGTTACATCACCAAACTAAACAACATTTTTTCTGACCCCGTATCTGTTACATCACCAAACTAAACAACATTTTCTCTGACCCCGTATCTGTTACATCACCAAACTAAACAACATTTTTTCTGACCCCGTATCTGTTACATCAGATATGTTTCCAAACTTACAACACAAAGATATTGTCAAGAGAATATGTACGCCAATGTAAGGTTAATGCACGCTAGAAAAATAAATCAATAAACCAATTTTTTAACCTATTCTGTTTACACCAATAAGATCAACACCTAGAAATTTTAAAAAAGTTGATGTATCCACATGACCTGCAACTTGAGTCAACTTTCTCCGTCTTTCATCTATTGTTCCTATGACTTGCGCTTGTTGATGGTGACTTACCTTTTCAGCCGTGGTGGAATCTCTCCTATACTTACATTTCTCTATACTCTATATACTTATTGCATTACATTTCAAATTCTGCTTCTAAAGACATTGGTCACCAAACTAAACAACATGTTTATAAATTGCTTTAAAATTTCACTGACTGAAGACATTAAAAACTAAGTGTAATCTAAATTGTGAAAATTCCTTCAAACTTCTGCACTGAAGACATTGGCCACCAAAACTAAACAAACATTTTAAATGTCTTTAAATCTTCTGTCCTAAAGAGTTTGCCCACCAAAACTAAACAAACATTTTAAATGTCTTTAAATCTCCTGTCCTGAAGAGTTTGGCCACCAAAACTAAACAAACATTTTAAATGTCTTTAAATCTCCTATCCTGAAGAGTTTGTCCACCAAAACTAAACAAACATTTAAAATGTCTTTAAAATCTCCTGTCCTTACGAGTTTGGCCACCAAAACTAAACAAACATTTTAAATGTCTTTAAATCTTCTGTCCCTGAAGAGTTTGGCCACGAAGAACAGAGAGAACCTATCACCCACCGCATTAGGAGAAAAATCCCTGCAAAAATGGCGTCAGTCTGGCTTTCAAGACGCCTATTTGCTTCACCTACAGTGTACACAGTCGAAAGGTAGCAGTAGAAAATCTTTAACGTCTGCTAGACTAACACTTAGGTTCTTTATGTTTCAAAATCTCGTGATGTGAATAGGATGGTGAAGACTGTGGAGTCATGTTTTAATGTCCACATTTTCAGAGAACCTGTATGGAATCAGTCATGTTTTAATGTCCACATTTTCAGAGAACCTGTATAAAATCAGTCATGTTTTAATGTCCACATTTTCAGAGAACCTGTATGGAATCAGTCATGTTTTAATGTCCACATTTTCAGAGAACCTGTATGGAATCAGTCATGTTTTAATGTCCACATTTTCAGAGAACCTGTATGGAATCAGTCATGTTTTAATGTCCACATTTTCAGAGAACCTGTATGGAATCAGTCATGTTTTAATGTCCACATTTTCAGAGAACCTGTATGGAATCAGTCATGTTATAATGTCCACATTTTCAGAGAACCTGTATGGAATCAGTCATGTTTTAATGTCCACATTTTCAGAGAACCTGTATGGAATCAGTCATGTTTTAATGTCCACATTTTCAGAGAACCTGTATGGAATCAGTCATGTTTTAATGTCCACATTTTCAGAGAACCTGTATGGAATCAGTCATGTTATAATGTCCACATTTTCAGAGAACCTGTATGGAATCAGTCATGTTTTAATGTCCACATTTTCAGAGAACCTGTATGGAATCAGTCATGTTATAATGTCCACATTTTCAGAGAACCTGTATGGAATCAAGGTGACAGGCGGTGTCCAGGATACTCTGAAAGTCTGTAGGGCGCTGGTCAAGTGGGTGTCACAAGATGTCAGGAACAAACTTAATGCTGGTGGGTCACTGCTGGGTGGGTGGGTGGAGGCTGGTGTTGGTCACCGGTGGGTGGGGTGGGTGGGTGGTTGGAGACTTGTGGGTGGGTGGAGGCTGGTGTTGGTCACCGGTGGGTGGGGTGGGTGGGTGGAGACTTGTGGGTGGGTGACGGGTGTGTTAATGCGTGGGTGGTTAAGTGACTGGTGTTGGTGTTATACTTAATGTGCTGGATGCAGAGTGTCTTCCAGGCATCTCTTCGGGGAGGGCTGGACAGAGCCCCCCTCCCCTAAAAGAAAGTCTACCGCCCCCCCCACTAACGAAATGGAATTTATATAGAAAACATATACTTTACCAGTGTCCGCCTACCCCGAAAATATCAAGTGCCCCCCCCCCCCCCCTTAAAAAGCCCGGAGAAAAAAGTCTGGAAGAAACACTGTGTGGATGACTAATTGGTTAATGACTGGGGGTAGGTTGGTGACATTGAAAAACAAAACACCCTATTGTCGAAACTATTCCTTGATGCCATTGAGATGAAGATATCTAGAACTGTATACAACTATTACAACAAGTAATTACAAAATTTGGATTAAAATATTCATGAACGTATCTATTTAGATCTTTAATAAAAAAAATTGTGTTTCTCTGTTAAATAGTTTCGTTATTATTCTGTTCTTTTGTTCAAGTTCGAAGGATCAATCTATGTTTTTCGCCCCCATATATCCCAAAGGTGACGAGATTCTCGAGTGGAACGGCGAGATCCTCCGTGGTCAGACCTACGATTACGTCAACTCAGTACTCTCCTACGTCTACCCTCAAGTGGTTGTCATAGCAACGCCCAACTACGGCAGGTGAGTTAAGTTACCTTCACCTTGTTGAACTTTCTTATTGTTAGAGCGACTGCTTACACAGTTAATAAGGAATCATTTATATATGTGCAGAACTTGTCTTAAGCATTTGTTTGTGAGGGGCTGTAGCCTGTTGTGGTAATAGTATTGCCTTAACATCTATGTTGTAGATTTTTATCTTGCTGTGAAGGGACAGGGCTATGGGGTTCCATAGCCACAGTGTTACTTCCAGACTTTTATCTCCGGAGGGGGGGGGGGACTCTTGAAATATTGGGGGGGGGGGGGGGCGGACTAAAATTTCCGGGGGACGGACACTGTTAAAAGTATATATTTTCTATATAAATACCATTAGACTTTCTTTAGGCGATGCCCCCCCCCCCCCCCGAAGAGATGCCTGGAAGAAACTCTGCATAGCCACCGTAGAGTCTTATTGAAACTTATAAAAAAACGATACGCAGTAATTTATTTTAGTCCAAGAAATATCAGAAGACCCACAGTAATAATACTAGAAACTGCAGAAAAGATGTTTAAAGACATCTGACGTAAAAGTTTATCTAATTTCAGAAGTGACGGTCAGACACTGTGTGAGGAGCCGATTGTCATTTCACAAGGTGAGTTGGACCTCGGAATATTACAATAGCTCGTGTGTTTGATAAACATTTAGTGCGTTTGATCTTTAAAAAAAATCAGCTCTTTCGATGAAGTTCATGGTTTGCTAAACCTAAAAGTCCTGAGTTCTAATCCACGAGCAAGTTATGCCCGATAGCTGAGGACAGCCTCTCATCTTGGAGAGAAAACTCCAAAATCAAACAACTGCGTTCATTGTTGTTGTTTGTTCTTGGATTGACTAAAGCTTTGGAAGCAAGTTTAAAAGAGAAAAGCAGGATGACATAGGAGACAACAGTCTATAAGGCGCATAACATGTTGACTCGTAACATTTAATGGTGTTGGAGGAAATCACATCCAACATTACAATCAAGAACGGAGAAGATAAAGATGTTCTTACACAAAATTAGCAAATTAGAGTTTCGTTTGTTTTTTGCTTACATCCTTAAGTAGCAGCTTACTTACAGACACATTTGTTTACCTACAAAACGCACACAAACGAAAACACACAGAAACTTTTCTATCACCCACTTTTTTCCAGTTAATTTATTTCGAAAATCTCGGCCTTTTTTTCTTTCTCGCGATATTTGGCGAGACAGCGTGAGTGATGCTTTTGGAAAGTTCCATTAGGAATATCAGCCATCAACCGTCTATCTGATGGCTGCCCCATCTGGGCAATCAATCCCCCCCCCCCCCCCCCGGGTTAATCAAGTAAATTGCGAGCCAATACCTTAACCGTAAAGTGATCGAACCCGGCCAAAGTGATTCCCGTGTCCACAAAAGCGGGCAGATTTTCTTTACACCTCCGGTAATAAATTGTGTTTGTCAACAGATTTATGTTTCCCTCGAACAGATTTATGTTTCCTTGTGCAAATATTGGCCTGGAAATCATCCGTCTGTTTATTAAAGCTAGATTATTAAAAATGTTATTCTAAAACGGAATCAAAAATAGCTTTCAAACGGAAACAGTTCAAAGAGATTAAAACGCTATGTTTAAATTATCAACATCATTTAATAACTTCAAGACACAATAATTTCAACCGTTTTTCAAATCTAATAAATGCGTTGGATTCAGAAATACGGTCTTTTCTGAATGGCCTTCTTTGGTTGGTACAAAGGACGTACAAAGTGTTGCTAGCGGTATATGTAAGTTGTACCGCCCCTCTTATATAAGTTGTACCGCCCCTCTTATATAAGTTGTACCGCCCCTCTTGTCTCGGTACCTCTGATTACTGCCATCTCTGCAGTTCCGTTCAGTCAGTTCTGGTTTTTACTCTGTCGTGATATTGAGTTGATTTCATTTAGGCAGAGTCCATTATTATTATTATTATGTTTTATATTGTCTTGTTTCCTAGTCGGAGATACATTCAACCTTTTGTTTGTTTTGACCCCGTCCCGAGTCTATGTGGGCCTCTGGTCAACATCTCCTGTCTGACGTAAACCAGAGCCAGCTAACAACCGACCTCTTAAATTGTAGACTGTCAAATCTCTTTTACACAGAGTAAACTGGCTAGACACAACATTTATTTTAACACAAAAAGCAAAGACCGTTTTGGATAAAGATTACAAAATTAGGAAACTTGAATGTTTTAAATATCAAAGTTAACTATTATAGTTTATAAGAACAAACTTTTAAAGAAATTGTTAAGGTATTTTTTTTAATAATTGCACAAAACAGAAAACCATTATATTATTTTTCAAAGTTTAGAAAATTACTAAAAATAATTTATCTTCAATAGACTGTAATACAATATAACATTTTTATAATTCAATTTAATGTGATTTACAATGATAGAACCTCAAGAAAAATATCTGATATGAAAAGCCTGACAGCCATTAACATTTTTGATCACGGAGAACCCGTCAAAGGATATCCCATTAAATGTAAATAAAACGTAGTCTCATTTGTGTACCGCTGGAGGTTTTGTTTTTAATGATCGTACTTCAAGTTTTCGTCTGAACAAATTTATGATTCGCCATTTTGTTCCGTCACAAAACAAGAGAGTCCTGTCATTACATATTCATTATATATCTTTTCCTCACAGTAACTGATGTTATTGTTTCCCTTTAATGATATTTGTTATTTCCCTTTGTTGAAACAGTCCATAATGATGGGTTATTCTGTCCCTTCTTTCTGTACGTTCTTCAGCTATGATTGGACTCTGCAACCACTGATTGTTTAGTAAGCTAGTTATGTTTTCAAACAAAAAATTTTATCGAACAACAATACTCGTATATTTATGTAAAGGCCAAGTGGTCGAACTAGGGAAGACAACTTACTGCCGCTATAGTTCTCTCCCCTTTGGCCTAGTTTGTCTTAACTCTATTATGTTGGTTGGTGTAATGGTCTAAAATAATTGACCTGGAACATTTTAAATAATAGACACATACTTGACGAGTATATTATCCATGACGGATCTGATATTATCTAACATCCTTGACCTTGACCCACAGATCGTCCACCCAGCCACAGCCCCGATCTGCAAAGTAAAGGCGGGAAAAGGCGGATGTTGCCGCGAACTCCGGTAAGTTGAGCTCATTGGGGCAGTAAAGGTCATTGGGTCAGTTGAGGTCATTGTGTCAGTTGAGATCACTGAGTTAAGTCAGGTCACAGGGTAAGTTCAGGTCACTGGGTACGTAGAGTTGACTCAGTGACCCAGTCAGTTGAAATCGCTCGGTAAAGATTGAAATAATGCGGGCATCAATGGAGGGGGCAGCTAGGTCGGCTGTTGACCCGGTCACACAATCTCTGGTCTTATCATCTCTACGTCACTGCCGGCTCTGGTTATAGGAAGTCTACGTCACTGCCGGTTCTGGTTACAGAAAGTCTACGTCACTGCCTGCAGGAATTACAGAAAGTCTACGTCACTTCTCGCTCTAGTAACAGAAAATTTACGACTGCCGGCTCCGTTTACAGGAAGTCTACGTCACTGCCGGCACTGTCCACAGGAAGTCTACGTCACTGCCGGCTCTGGTTACAGGAAGTCTACGTCACTGCCGGCACTGTCTACAGGAAGACTACGTCACTGCCGGCACTGTCCACAGGAAGTCTACGTCACTGCCGGCTCTGGTTACAGGAAGTCTACGTCACTGCCGGCTCTGGTTACAGGAAGTTTACGTCACTGCCGGCTCTGTTTATAGGAAGTCTACGTCACTGCTGGCTCTGTTTACAGGAAGTTTACGTCACTGCCGGCACTAGCTACACAAAGTCTACGTCACTGCCTGCAGTCATTATATGAAGTCCATTTTATCAAATATGGTAAACAGCTAAACCGAGACCAAAGGGAATCTTCAAGCTTCCAGCTTTCTTATGGAAAAAACAAAGAACAAAAGGATTCTATTGAAATCAGATAGGCCTACAAGATTACATCGACTAAATTTTTATAAGGTTTATCTGAATTTATTCCGAATTTATGAGGTATTATCCCCATCTCTTATTAACAACAAACACGGCAAAAATTAAAATAAAAACACGATTTATCATAATACTGTGTGTTTTTATCAGCCATCTTAAAACCCAAGTTGAAGGGGGTTACAAAATACACACGTTTTTTTTGCCTAATTATGGACACGCTAATATTGCGATAATTAGAATCACCACACAAGGGACAGGAGTAACTAGGACAGCAGAAGTCTACGTGACCAGCTCCGTCAAGTCGGTGGTATTGTTGATACGACTGATCCCAACAGAAGTCTATGTGACCAGCTCCGTCAAGTCGGTGGTATTGTTGATACGACTGATCCCAACAGAAGTCTATGTGACCAGCTCCGTCAAGTCGGTGGTATTGTTGATACGACTGATCCCAACAGAAGTCTATGTGACCAGCTCCGTCAAGTCGGTGGTATTGTTGATACGACTGATCCCAACAGAAGTCTATGTGACCAGCTCCGTCAAGTCGGTGGTATTGTTGATACGACTGATCCCAACAGAAGTCTATGTGACCAGCTCCGTCAAGTCGGTGGTATTGTTGATACGACTGATCCCAACAGAAGTCTATGTGACCAGCTCCGTCAAGTCGGTGGTATTGTTGATACGACTGATCCCAACAGAAGTCTATGTGACCAGCTCCGTCAAGTCGGTGGTATTGTTGATACGACTGATCCCAACAGAAGTCTATGTGACCAGCTCCGTCAAGTCGGTGGTATTGTTGATACGACTGATCCCAACAGAAGTCTATGTGACCAGCTCCGTCAAGTCGGTGGTATTGTTGATACGACTGATCCCAACAGAAGTCTATGTGACCAGCTCCGTCAAGTCGGTGGTATTGTTGATGGGACTGATTCGTTGGTTTTTGGAATAGTCGCCGTGGAAGGATGTAATACTGGGGTGGAGGAGGGGTCGGGTGCTTGTTATACTGTGTCTTCAAAGTGGGGGAAGGGTTCAGGTTAAGAAAATACGATGTAACACACTTATTAATTTTCAAAAAGTATTTTTTAATTGAGTTTTAGCTTTTATTTAAATTTAAAAGAAGAAAACAATGTTATGTTGATTTTTAGTACTCTTTGATCAATATACCCAGTTAGTTAAAAAAAATTTAAATCTCTTTCACAAAAATGAAACTTAAGTTGAGATGTATGGTAAGCTGAAGTGTGACATCATTTTAAGAAAATAGAAGGCAGGGCGTCGGATGTTTTGTGGTGTGTGACTTTGTGGGATGCTGAGGTAGACATTGGACTAGAGTGTTGTGAAGTTATTTGTGGACAGTCTCTGAAGTTACTCAATTAATTTTTACTCACGTGACCGTCTCCACAGGTGGAGATCAAGCGTGGCACACGGCAGATTAAAGGTGAGTTACAGGTGAGAATTTGCTACCAGCCACACCGGATGTCCCTGGCTGTGACGGTGCTACGTGCCAGGAACATTACGTCACCAAACCACGCGGACAGCTCGCCACCCAACCCGTTTGTCGTCATCAACCTGGTGCCAGGTCAAAGGTCAGTGGATTGGGGTGGGGTGATATAAGCCTAGTTGTACGTGCGTGATTTTTTTTTGGGGGGGGGGGGGGTGATATAAGCCTAGTTGTACGTGCGTGATTTGGGGGGGGGGTGATATAAGCCTAGTTGTACGTGCGTGATTTTTGGGGGGGGGTGATATAAGCCTAGTTTTACGTGCGTGATTTGGGGGGGGGGGTGTGATATAAGCCTAGTTGTACGTGCGTGATTTGGGGGGGGGGGGTGATATAAGCCTAGTTTTACGTGCGTGATTTGGGGGGGGGGGGTTGTTACAAGCCTAGTTTTACGTGCGTGATTTGGGGGGGGGGGGTGTTACAAGCCTAGTTGTACGTGCGTGATTTGGGGGGGGGGGGGGGCTTGTTACAAGCCTAGTTGTACGTGCGTGATTTGGGGGGGGGGGGATAGGTAATACAAGCCTAGTTTTCTATTGTGTGTGGGGGGTGATACAAGCCTAGTTTTGTTTGCATGATTGGAAGGGGGGGGGGTGTTACAAGCCTAGTTTTATGTGCGTGATTGGGGGGGGGGAGGGTAAGGTAATACAAGCCTAGTTTTCTATTGTATGGGGTGGGGGGTGACCCAAACTTGTCGGCACCAATTAATATTCATGTATGATGATGCCCCGAATTCTGAAATTTCATTTAAAATGAGATGTTACCTTACTCATACTTGAATATACACGGATACAGCTTATTGATGTTATCACTAACCCTAAGCCTGTGCTAAGCCTGAACCTCTACTATATCCCTTAATCCTAATCTCTGGCGTGACCTTAAACTTGATATATCAAAACTAGAGTATCTTTCAGATATCTGTGCTGAGGGGTGGTGGTGGGGGGGGGGGAGCACTGCACCCGGGCAAAATGAAAAAATATAATTTATATAGAAAATATACACTTTAACCCGGAAGTTCTTTGTGCGCCCCGAGTTTTAAGCACCCTACATTCCCCCCTACCCCCGAGAGAAAAATGTTTGGAAAAATAAACCCTGACCGTAAGGTTTCGGTAATTAAATTGATCTGGCATTGTAAAGCTGGCACCAATCAAACAAACAAACGTTCCTGTATTTGTACACAGAGATACTTTGGAGACGGAACTTCAGACGTCAAACTGCCATCCAGAATGGGAGCAGACGTTTCTCATAGATGGCGTCACAACAACCGAGGTCAACTTTAGTAGTAGTTATCTACCCTTGTCCTTTTGTAAACAATAAACATAAGATTTTAGAATTATCTCATAGGCAATCAAACAATATTTAGTATTATTTAGAGCTCAACTAATATTTTTAAAAATTTAAACATTTGATATAATGTAATCATAGTAATTATAACCCTTTTTCTTTTGTAAATGATCATTCTAAATTGCTAAATTAAATAATTAGCAAAAAAAATAAGAAATAAGCAAATCAAACCCTTAACTATAATAAATAAAATAAGTCATAGGCCCCTAAATATTAAATAACATAGCCAACTTCTTTATAGATCCACCATTCCCTACCGAAGATAAAACACTATACAAATATAAATAAACCATCCTCTGACCCTGTGTTATCTAAAACCAATATGTACACAATCTTTGGCATGATTTAATCTGAAATTGATGTATCAAAATTTAAAATCATTTAAAGTTTTTAAAAAAATTAGGGCCTAGACATTAAAACATAGATCTATATTTTAGTCAGATAATGATAAAGTTATTGCTAAAATAGTTTAAAAATAATCTTTGTAATGAACGTATTTGATGGTTGACCTAAAGCTGGTGTCTTACCATGTCACTTTGTGTCTAGCTGGTAGCCAAAGCCCTGCAACTGACTGTGTGGAGCTACGAGGACAGATGTGACACATTTATTGGAGAAATATTGTTAGACCTAGCACACACACACTTAGACAATCAGGTCAGTGGGCCAAATCAGCTCTATTTATAAACTGGCTTTTGTTATTTCAACACGGAAATAATAATTTCTGCTCGCTTTTCAACTTAAATTGATTAAAAAAAATATTATTTTAATTAAAATTAAAGGCCTACTGCTGTATACCATACAATTATGACCTTATGCTATTCATCAAATGAAAAAAAAAGTTGATGATAAAAATTAAATATAACGTTAGCTTCTAGTGTTTTTGTTTATTCTCTGACTTTAGCCTCAATGGTTTAACTTGGAAGAACATGATGAAAACAGCGCCCCCTTGCCCCACCGCAGGAGCAGCCACTCTGCCAGTCTCTCCGCCAGTTTGACCAGTGGATCTTTTAAAGACTCCGCCCTCTTTAGTCCTGCAGTATCTCCGGAAGTGCCTTCACACCGCCAGCACCAACACTCGCCTTCTTCTATTGGTTGGTTCATGACATCATCCAAAGCTTCCTCTCTATAGAATATTTTTATCACAAGCTTAGCTTGTAGCTTTATTCTATAAAATGTATGAACTGCCATTTCAGACCTGATGAAGTAGAGTTTATCTGTTTGATTGACCCCAGCATAATAAGGGACTGTCAGCACTAAAGCTCCCTTTTCTAATCTAACGGCAAGTGAAGTAGAGTTCATCTGTTTCTGTGACCTCAGCTTATGAAGGGATAGTATCCAGCCACTTTTACTTTCCCTAACCTGAGTTAGGTACCCATCATGGCTGGGTGGACTTTCAGATTAGCAGTCTAGTGCTCTACTGCTAGGCAACGCCATCCCACATCAGCTCTAAGCTCATTTGTTTTTATTCCCCCCCCCCCCCCCAACAAAATTCAGGTATGCAATAGAGCTGTAATTTAAAATAAACTAGGACATCCAATTTCTTAACACTTACAAAAATATAAATATGTATGTAAAGATTTTAATGCTACATCATTTTATTTTTAATATGCAGGCTTTAAAATATATTAAAAGGATTCAAAACTTTTATTTAAATTTTAATTTCTTCATATAAATAATTTAAATCTGAAATTATCATTGAAATTTGAAAAAAGCTCGAGGTTTTTTAAAGAGGAAAACTGGAGAAAGGAAAAAGCTTTTAAAATTTAGTTTTGTTTTTAAAGCAGTTATTGATTGTGCACAAGCTAATGTATAAAAAAATGAAAAGATAAGTTGTTTCCAGAAGTTATTAAAATATTTTAAACTGCTGGCCTCTGCAACATGTCCACAGGTTCAAACAATGTTTCTCCTGTGCCTTCTGGGCCTTCGCGAGTTGGTTCAAGGGAGTTTCACCTCAACAGTGGTAAGGGGGAGAACTTTCTTAGAGTTCATTGGGGAAGGGAGATAATGCTAAAGCTGTCGCTTGGTTAACTCCTTAGAATTAAAATTTAAAAAATTTAAATTATTTTAATTTTTTTTAAATCTTGTTATTATTAAGCCTAAAAGTACATTAAATATTTATGAATTTATAAACTCAAATAATCCCATTCTTTCATTATTATATTTGAGCATTCTGTTTCTAAAATAAAATTTAAAAATGTGGCTATTGATTATTTTTTTGTCAGTATCTCAGCCTGATAGCTTTACTACAAAAGTCAGAAAGAAAATGAGAACAACAGTTTCAAAAATGGCTTCATTAACTCTTATAGAGAAGAGGGACACTGCAGGTATGCAAAGAATCCAACTAGACAACATTTATGTAGTTACTTTAGGCCTATATATCTTTTGGAGAATCTTGTTACTCAAATTCACAGTATTCAAGCAAGCATTGAACTTGATCAAAATTTGCTTTATGTTCTTACAATTTCCTAAAACTGCACCAGGTTCTGATGAAAGCACACACAGTGATATACACAGAAGGTCCTCTGACAAAAGTGACAAGGGAATGCCACTATCCAGAAGTCCTAACGCCATCAAAAGAAGACAAAACTCACGTAAGTTTACACGCAATTAATTTACTTAATTGTTTTTTGTCGCATGATTGGTTAAAAGTGATTGATTTTATTGTTGCTGCTTCTAATTTATTGTTCTTTTGTTAATTGTTATTTGATTCAATATTTCTATTTTTAATACTATACAGCTCTCTTAAATAATAAGTAAATTGTATTTAATGTGTAAATTGATTCTTAATTTTGGGATTATTAATGGCGTTACAAGAAACATTCATAAAAATATTTTAAAATGAAAAAGGCCTCCAACTATTCAAACTACTTTATTTACACAAATTTCTGTAACTATTCTTTTGTACTGTTTTTGTGGCATGTAACAAGATTATGTTCTTTCAATTAAATTGTTTAAATATTTACAAAAATATTTAATTATTCAATTAGCCAAACTACAATTATTTTAAATGGTATTTTGCTTAGTTTGAAAAACATTGAATGCAAGAATTTTATCTCAAATAGTTTATATGACATATTTCTGTTTTTTTTTCTCCATATAATCTAATAATGTTGGCTTATATTTTTATGTGATAAATTAAATTTGTCTTAAAATAATTCATTCTATATAGTTACATAATTGACCAGAATATTGTGGTCCTGTCTAAAAGAAATGTTGAATGTTGTTATGTTTGAGCTTTCAATAATTCCTACTTATCAATGAACAAGTTAGACCAAAATATTGACATGTAACAAGTTTAAGATGTTGTTACACATTGAGTCAATGTCTTGATGTTATTTGTTACTACTACCAGCCCACCCCAGAGAACTGTTACGCCACAAACAGGAAGTGACCAGCTCATTATCAGTGTCCAGTGGTAATTCATGTTTTCTTGTACAGCCTTTGTTGTGTGTTGCTTTAGTTGTGAATAAAACAAAAACAATATAAGGCTTATGTATTTTATTGCTCTCTGATGAAAGATTTTGAAAGTGCTGTTTACAAAATAATAAAATATTATGTTTAAATTAAAATTCTCTACATCAAGCCATTATTTTTGGTAATTTTTTTTTTTTGAAATATAATCAAAAATATTTTACATTATAATTACTGAGTTATTTTTTTTTTTAAAAATGTGTGTAAAAACATCACATTTATAAACACCTTAATTACTGCATTTTAAACTATTTTTATTAGTTACATTTTTTTTAAGAAATCAAATTTTAAAATATTTTTAGAAACTATTTAATTTTTTTCTTGTAAAATTTGATTTTGTTTTAGAGAAGTATTATAGCTTAAGTCCAACTGCATATATTTTCATTAACTTATTCTAGATCATAGCATGGATCTTCTAGCACCTCCCCAACCTCCCAGCAGAACTAACAGTAGCTCTAGTTTTTTCTTATCTGATGATGAGGAGACTCAAGGAAGGTAACTCTTCACTTTTGGAATAGTTAAAATATGGTTAAAAAACCTTTTTTTAAAAAGATGTTAGCTGTGAATTATACATTAATTTTAAGATACTACAAATGTGGTTTTAAAATGAAATAAATTCAAAAGTAATTTTTTTCTAGTGTGTCTTCTGCAACACCAGATCGACCTCCACCAGAAGGCGATGACATCACATCATTGCTAGGACCTGGACAGATTCCACCAAAGCCGTCTGCGGGTAAAATCACAAATACAACTTTTTATGTTCAACACCTGTGGGTAAAAATCACAATTACAACTTTTTATATTTAACATCTGCTGGTAAAATCACAAATACAACTTTTTATATTTAACATCTGCTGGTAAAATCACATATACAACTTTTATATTTAACATCAGCGGGTAAAATCACAAATACAACTTTTTATATTTAACATCTGCTGGTAAAATCACAAATACAACTTTTTATATTTAACATCTGCTGGTAAAATCACATATACAACTTTTATATTTAACATCAGCGGGTAAAATCACAAATACAACTTTTTATATTTAACATCTGCTGGTAAAATCACAAATACAACTTTTTATGTTTAACATCTGCTGGTAAAATCACAAATACAACTTTTTATATTTAACATCTGCTGGTAAAATCACAAATACAACTTTTTATATTTAACATCTGCTGGTAAAATCACATATACAACTTTTATATTTAACATCAGCGGGTAAAATCACAAATACAACTTTTTATATTTAACATCTGCTGGTAAAATCACAAATACAACTTTTTATGTTTAACATCTGCTGGTAAAATCACATATACAACTTTTTATATTTAACATCTGCTGGTAAAATCACAAATACAACTTTTTATATTTAACATCAGCGGGTAAAATCACAAATACAACTTTTTATATTTAACATCTGCTGGTAAAATCACAAATACAACTTTTTATATTTAACATCTGCTGGTAAAATCACAAATACAACTTTTTATATTTAACATCTGCGGGTAAAATCATAAATACAACTTTTTATATTTAACATCTGCGGGTAAAATCACAAATACAACTTTTTATATTCAACACAGGTGTCAAATTGACATGACACAATTTACTCTTCCCGTCTACATTAACTCAACTGACACTTTGATATTTGTGTTGGAATTTTAGTACAATTGTAGAGAATTAAAAAGAGATTTTTGTTACAAAAATGACGATGTGTGGACAAATTTAGGACAATTTTAGAGAATTGTAAAAAGAATTTTGTTACAGAAATGACTGTGTGTAGACACATTTAGGACAACTTTATGGAATTAAAAGTGGTTTTTGTTACAGAAACGACTGTGTGTAGACACATTTAGGACAACTTTATGGAATTAAAAGTGGTTTTTGTTACAGAAACGACTGTGTTGACACATTTAGGACAACTTTATGGAATTAAAAGTGGTTTTTGTTACAGAAACGACTGTGTTGACACATTTAGGACAACTTTATGGAATTAAAAGTGGTTTTTGTTACAGAAACGACTGTGTTGACACATTTAGGACAACTTTATGGAATTAAAAGTGGTTTTTGTTACAGAAATGACTGTGTGTGGACAAATTTAGGACAACTTTATGGAATTAAAAGTGGTTTTTGTTACAGAAACGACTGTGTGTGGAGACATCAAGCTGGGGTTCATGGTGTCCAAAGGTCAACTGGAAGTGGACATAATTTGTGCTGCTGGACTCCACAGATCAGGCCAGACCCAACCACCAGGTGGGCTAATGAACTTTTTTCTCTAGAAGTTTAAAAAAAGATTCCTAAAAATCTGCCAGATTTTTTATGTATTAAAACTTTTTTGTTTTGCAGATACCTATGTAAAAACTTATTTAGTGGAGGGGAAGAAAGTGATTCAAAGAAAGAAAACACTAATTGTCAAGTCATCGTTTGACCCCATGTACAGGAAGAAGATCAAATATTCTGCCTGTAATGTTCATGGGAGAATCATGAAGGTACAGGTTTAAACCAATCTGGTTGTGTTTGGGGGGTTTTATGAATATTATTATATGAACTCTATGAACTATACTTTAATGACTTCTGTGAAAAGGACATAGGCATCTGTTCTATTTCCACATAATCAAATTTACAATCAAATCTTAGTTGACAAAGATTAATTAAGCAGTAAGATTTTTTAATGAATTCTTAAATTAATTCCAAATTATTTTTTTTATTTGATTCCTTTGATTTGTTGTTAGGCTATTAACTTAGGTGTCTTCAAAAAATTAGACCTCTGTTTAAGTTCACAGCACTTTAAGTGTTACGGACATTGGACATCTTAATTAATAATGTTACTTTTCCAATCAAACTATTAAATCTAGCTGCTGGTAGAGCCTAATTCACATATTATTTGTCAAACAGATTCTTTTTTAAAATGTTTATAAACATCTGGATTTTTTACAAAACAGGCTATAACTTTAATGTGTAACATTACATTTTTCTTCCAAAGAAATAATTTTCCATTTTAAAAATTTCTCTGAATATTATTATAGATTGTTGCTTGTAAATGAAATCTAAATACAACAGTGAACTCATCTTTGTTTCTTTTCCAGATTGTGATTTGGGAGAGAGCAAAGAGCTTTGAAAAGAAGTTATGTAGAGGGGAGGTGTTGGTCCGCTTGGATGGCCTTGACCTCTCTAAGCACACTATGGCCTGGTACAAACTTTTCCAGATCAATTCCACAGATTATGGATCTGATGAGTTTTTGAGTTCCTGGTGAGGCACAAGCTACTCCAGATCAAAATATTTTGGTCTGTCAAGTTGTTCAGCTCTTGGTGAGGCACAAGCTACTCCAGATCAAAATATTTTGGTCTGTCAAGTTGTTCAGCTCTTGGTGAGGCACAAGCTACTCCAGATCAAAATATTTTGGTCTGTCAAGTTGTTCAGCTCTTGGTGAGGCACAAGCTACTCCAGATCAAAATATTTTGGTCTGTCAAGTTGTTCAGCTCTTGGTGAGGCACAAGCTACTCCAGATCAAAATATTTTGGTCTGTCAAGTTGTTCAGCTCTTGGTGAGGCACAAGCTACTCCAGATCAAAATATTTTGGTCTGTCAAGTTGTTCAGCTCTTGGTGAGGCACAAGCTACTCCAGATCAAAATATTTTGGTCTGTCAAGTTGTTCAGCTCTTGGTGAGGCACAAGCTACTCCAGATCAAAATATTTTGGTCTGTCAAGTTGTTCAGCTCTTGGTGAGGCACAAGCTACTCCAGATCAAAATATTTTGGTCTGTCAAGTTGTTCAGCTCTTGGTGAGGCACAAGCTACTCCAGATCAAAATATTTTGGTCTGTCAAGTTGTTCAGCTCTTGGTGAGGCACAAGCTACTCCAGATCAAAATATTTTGATCTGTCAAGTTGTTCAGCTCTGTGAATGCAACGAAAACTTTTTTTTTAAAAATGACAATTATAAAACAGCGTTGGACCAAAGAGAACACATTTCTATTTTTATCTAATTTAATATTTCTTGCTTTTTTTTAAAATCATGTGTGTAGATTCTAAAGTGACCTTAAGGTCATAAAAGTGTTTTATTTTATACTGTTTGCAGCCAAAAAGATAAACACTCAATTATATATTGCAACTTATTTAATGAGTGTGATTATGTAATGATTGCATTTATATTAAATTATTCTTTAATTTGCGAATTATGTAATTAATATTAATTATTACTTTTACCACAGGGGTGATATGCATTTAGAAATCTCTATGTGTTTGCTTATGCAAGTAATTTTATGTAGCTTTTTCAAGTTTTGCATGTGTTAAGCTTGCTTGATGGTTTAATGTCTGACACCATTTGTTAAACTTGATTGATGGTTTAACATTTGTCTCCATTTGTTAAACTTGCTTGATGGTTTAATGTTCGACTTCATTTGTTAAACTTGCTTGATGGTTTAATGTCTGACTCCATTAGTTAAACTTGCGTGATGGTTTAACATTTCACCCCAACTGAGCCTTACCTTAAAACATTTGTATGTGCAGATATTTCCGCTTGTTGATCAACATTGATATGTAATTATGATATATAAACTTGGTATATTTACTACTGATGGACTTAGAAGATTATTGAATGAGAATTTTACATGGATCACCCTAGTCATTTAAATTAAACTGTTTGTCTGTAGACTGATTGAGGGTGCTGGTAGTGCTTCTAAAAATTCATGTAGTGCTATTTTTAATAAATGCAGTAGCGTAACAAAGTAGGGGCTGGGGGTGTGGTTGGCTCAGGGGGGTGGGGGTGGGGGTGTAGTTGGCTCAGGGTGATGGGGGTGGGGGTGTGGACTGCTCAAGGTGATGTCATTTAAGGGGAGACACCTATGGAAAAAATTTTAAATTCTTTGTCGAAACAGTTACATTCAGGTAAAATAATAAAATGGTAAGGGGTACAAGAAATGAAAGATGTAACCTTGTTGGAAGGTGTTGGGATGGTACCCTCAGTCATTACACCTGGTGATACTCGACCAAGAGACGCTACTGAATAAAATTAACAGGAACCTAAAGACTCTTTGGCATTGTCTAAAAACCAACTGGGAAAATTTAAGAGATTGCTTAAGAGACGAATAGAATGAAAAAAATGTGATAATTCTTTAGAAATTAATTCACACCTGAAATGTGTTTCAGCAGTTTGACAAAAAAATTAAAATACAAAAAGAACATGAATCTTCTAAATACTGCACATTTCATTTAACTATATTTTAATACAGATAATTAACTTCATGTGTTCATTCATTAAAGAAGACATTTTTATTATGCTAATATATGGTCGTTTGTTATGAAATTTTAATTTACAAATTTTGATTAACCCTAGTTTATTGAAAGAATGAAATGTTTGGTAATCAGGCTAATTTAGTGTACAGCAGTATTAAATGTACAGCAATATATTTTGACAAAAGCTTTTTTAAATTTTTAATGTAACAAAAACATCTTTATTGACATTTTCAGCATAAAACAATAACTATATAAAAGATGGAATGTATACAAATTACAATTTAAAAAAATCCAGCACATTTTTTCTGGTAAACCAGTTTAATTTAAAAAAAAAAATGACACAAACTTAAATAAATCACAAGCCAGTAACAGTGTTTCATCTTCATTGTTTATCACAATCATGGAAAAACAGGTCCACATTTCCAAATGAGTAGCAATAACAAATGGCTTATATTTATATAGAAATATCTGATTGCTTTGGCTAGCTTCTACTAAACCAAAATATTGAAGAAAATATAACAAAATATAACAAAACTTTACTAGCAAGATTTAACTAATAGCATATTGTATAACAGGCAGTAAAATTTGTTACAATAAATTCTGTAATTAAATAGAAACTAGGGTTAAATGATCCACTCAAACACGAAAATAAACATTAAGGTCTAGAGAACAGCCTGTGCTAGGAGTGTTGAACACATGGCCCCATAAAATGGGCCATTATGGCACCCCTGATCAGCTGTTTACACAGAAAACAAAAGTTGCTCTTGCAGTTCCAGCACTTGATGTGATTGTTGTGGTCAGTTTTCTTCAAGTTGACCTGCTTGCAACCAGGGCACAGGCACCTGTTGGCTGAAAGATCTGGGTTGACCTCCAGCTGGGCCTGGATGCGCAACAGCTCCTGTAGACGCCAGGAAAAATATAACAGTTTAAGAAACTGATGGCAGCCCTACACCCCACATGGAGTAAAGCGAATTAAGTATAGTAAGTCAATGCTTACTTTACACATGGTTAAAAATACTAGATAGGCCACAGTGGTTTTGTTAAATTTAGAATTGAAATTTAGTCATATATATAGCTATATTGATAGGTATGTCAAAAAAGACTTCTATGGTTTGTTGTGTGGTGACTCAACTATGATTTTAGTGATGTTTACATATAATTAATTATTTTAATATTAGTAAAAAAATTTATTAGCACACAGCACAGAAGACAGCACATTAAAGAGCACACTACACAGTATATTAGCAAACTACACAGCACACTACAAAGAAAATCAGACTGCACATTAAACAGCATACCATACAGCACACACCACAACACATTAAACAGCACACTACACAGCAAATCAGACTCCACATTAAACAGCATACCATACAGCACACACCACAACACATTAAACAGCACACTACACAGCAAATCAGACAGCACATCAGACAGTACATTGAATAGCACATCAAATAGGAGAATACACAGCACATTTAACCGCACATCGATCAGCACATGTGTGAACTAACAGAGCAACGTACATCAGGTGGCATCCTCTTCACTGGATTGGGTGGGTTAAGATTTTCAAAGGTGGGAATTAGCAAACATCCAGATTGCGTGAAATGTTCGTACCCATCAATTTTTCTACCACACACCCAACAGAAACTAATACCACATCTGCATGTCATCTTGTTGCACCTGCAGAAATTTGTATACATTGTTACATATACTTAAAGGCTGCAGTAAATGTTTAAAAGCTGACAAGATTAGAGTGATCTCTGTCATGCCAAAACTCCAGATATCATTCAAGGGAAAACCACCACTGTATTCTCACTAGTAAACAATAGCAACTGTGTACCTTTTTTTTAATTTATGGAAACTTTTGTGTATTTAAATTACCTACTGAATAAGAGAGTTACAGTATTCTAAAAATAAATCAAATTATAACATAACAACCCATGACAATAAAAATCTGATCTTGTATGAGAAAAAATAACAGATGAAACTAAAATAGAAAAAAAAAATGATTAAATACCCGTCAATTTTTTCAATACGAGCTTTACAACTGGGACAGGATCGAGTTTTCTTAACAACAATTTCTTTATTTTTAATTTCTTCTTGAAGTTTTCTCTTCATTTCAAGAAATTTGCCATGTTCTGCCACACTGAGACCTCCCCTCTTGACTCGTTTATTCAGATCCTGCAGCAGTTCATCATCCGTTTGACATGGTCGTCCCTACAAGAATAATGTAGACTATATTTATAAAATCTTAATCAAACAATCAGAAAAAAAGAGATATTGACGGCTTGAAATAATTGGTGCCTGATACAATAACAAAGTGCTTTTCTGACATTTTTTTAGCAAAGAGTAAAAAATGTAACAAGAATAGAAGCTTAGTTTTTAAAAAACAATATAGACAGTAAAATATGGCATATACAAGCTATAGTTTAAAGAACAAGGATATGAATGTAAAAAATTTAAACCGGAAGTGATCTCCCCTAAACTTTCTCGAATATTCTAATATAACACTACGTGAATGGCAACTTGAGATATAGACATGATTTTGAATCCATTTTTAATTACTTAAACTTTTTAAAATTGAATAGAATCTCGCACCAAGTGAACGCCAAACAATATGCGTATAATAGTGCGGAATATTATTAGTACTTAATAAATTCACATGCGTTTTTTGAGAAATCTGAAATAGTGTAAATTACTACTTCCAGTCAACGGAAATAACTCAAAATTGGACAGAAGGCAGAGAATTAGATCTTTTACTTACATGTGTATTTCATTTATCTATCTGAAATAGTACTCAAGTTATAGGCTTTTAAAAAATTTAAGTAGAATAAGTTCCACTTCCGGTTACCGGAAATCGTTGAAAAGTTGATACAGAACTACAAATTTGATATAATACTTATATATGAAATTTCATAAACCTAGATGTAATGGTACTCAAGTTATCGCGTTCACAGACACACATACACACACACAGACAAATGGACAAAATTTCCAACTCAGGGAGGTGTAAAACGTCAATATTTTTTTGGCAAAATACAATACTTCCTCTATACTTCGCAGAGGCTTAGTAAGGGCGGGGTGGAGGAGTGCAGGCCGCACCAGGTGACACTATTTAGGGGGATGAGACCAAGGTAAAAAATTGCAAAATTTACAGAAGAGAAATGCTTTTTTGCCATTTCAATTGGTAATTAATAAAATCTAAATAGCCTTTAAATAACTAATCAATTATTATTATATGATTTCAGGGTGTCACCATGACGTGAACACGCTAACTAGTAACTATACTATAGAGAAAACAATGCTACATCAAACTATTTTATTAACAGGCTATAAATAAACATCAATATTACTTCTGCAGTGATTAATACTTATAAACACACATGTACATATATATACTTTGTTTCTTAAGGGTGGGGGTGACACCACTTAGTGACACCACTGATACTTCGTATACGACAAAGTAATAAAGAATGAGGTGAAGTTAATGCATAATTACCAAACATTGATTTAAAATTCTATCTTAAATAAACTAAAATAATTAAGCTTTTACAAAAAAATATTTTACTGTATTGTTCATTTTGTTTAAAAATAGAGTAAATTGGGAGAAGATGAAAAAAAACAACTTTTACCTGATGCCAACATCTCCTGCACTCAGTACAAAAAGAAAACAGACAAACAGTGCAGTGAGCAAGATGGAGACTCTCTTCTGCTTCTGCTATAACCAAACTGTTGCATCGTGGGCAGTAGTCAGTATCAGCCATAGCATCCAGTGTTTTCTGGTGAGGGGAGAGTTACAAAATAGGTTCAAATCTATAAGTTAGATTTTAAGATGATTAAAAGACAACTTATACAGTATCAGCCATAGCATCCAGTGTTTTCTGGTGGGGGTAGAGTTACAAAATAGGTTCAAATTAATAAGTTAGATTTTAAGCTGATTAAAAGACAACTTATACCCAGTGTTTCTTCCAGACTTTTTTCTCCGGGGGGGGCACTTGAAATCTTCGGGGGGGCGGTAAACTTTCTTCGGGGGGGCGGACACTGTTAAAAGTATATATTTTCTATATAAATTATATAAATTTCTTTTCGTTCGGGGGGGGGCGGTAAAAATGTTTCGGGGGGGCTTCGCCCCCCCGAAGAGATGCCTGGAAGAAACTCTGCTTATACCGCTCAATGATAAAATTAGTTTTAATTTTTTTTAAAAATTTAATTTAATTATCAATAAAACCAACTAGGATTAGATATTAGCCCTCAAACGTTTTTGCACTTAGCAAATATTCTAAATATCTATGTTAAATAGATATGTTACTGAAAATAAAACAGCAGCCATGACAGTACCTGCAACAACAACACCTCCCATCTGTTGTAAGCTTCTGGTCCTAAAACAGCCTGGACAATATATGGTGGTAGAATTGTTTTACATTTGATGTCTGGACACCTGGGAAATTAAAGGTAGATGGACACAAAATTCTAAAAAAGTTAAAACTGTAAGAAGGTGCTTTGAGAAATTGTGTCATGTAAACTTTTACTTAAAGTACTCTAAGTAAACCTGAAGCATAGCTTACTTCAATGCCTCGACAGTGCCATCTCTAACATGCAAGTCACAAAACTCCCTCATACAATCTGTACAGAAGAAATGCTGACACTCCTGGAGTTTGTGGAAATGGATGCCAGGTTTCTCCATCAGGCAGACAGGACACTCCTGCATTGACTGACAGAACTCAAGTCTCATCTGCTCATGGTTGTACCTGTGCCAGGATCATAGGCATACACAATAAAGTTAAAAATAAACCTAAATTATTAGCAGAATTTTAAAAAATTATTTGAGTTTTAATGATATTTTTTTAGCTGATTTTTTTCTTTTCATTATTCCATTAAGCCTTGTATTATTTTACAATGTGTAAATCTTGACAAGTCTTAAGCCAGAGTCAGGTACATATTATATTTAGGTTGGACCTTGTTTTAATAACAAAATTTAGGGCTACAGCTAGGTTAATATTATGTTTAGGCTAGAGTAAAGGCTATATATTTTATATTATAAAATTGTGCTAGTCTTTTCATTTTTTCTGACTATAGCCTACAGAGGGCACCAATACTATTTTTACCTCATGCAGTATGGGGCTATTTGTTTTTCTAATTATTTTCTGACCTTATCATATGAGCAATCACTTCCCCTAGGCCATCACTTGCTGAATTCTTCTCGTCTCCATCATCAGGGAGAGTAGATGACAACAAATGCAAAACCAGATGATCAGTGATCCCCAAATAACTGTAATTTGAAAAAAAAATATTTTAAGAAATATTTGAATCCTAATACATTTACAATTTACGATGAAAATTAATTCAGTTGTTTAAATTATGTTCTAATCAAACAACCAAAAACTAAGTAGTTAAAATCCTGAAAAAACAAAATACAAAAATATTTGATTTTCCAAAGAAAAACAAAAAGACAATTTTACCTGAGCAGGTTATTTTCCAGCCAATCAATCCAGGTGAATACAATAACCATTGGCTTCCCCTCTTGCCAAAGATTGTCCAGCATTTGACCAGTGCATTCAAGCTGTGTGCTGGTCAGCCATGGACATGACAGCTGGTAAGATGGGGGGTCACTTGATGGGTAGGTGGGTGGGAAGGTGATGTCCAGGTACAGAGGAGATAAATATTTCACATCAAACGAGCCTTGCCATTTACGACCTGGTGTACAACATAGAATTATTTTGATGGAAAATATCACAGTGTGGTTTTATGAGATAAAAGTAAAGTAAGGAGGGGGATAGGTAAATGATGTGAGATATTGAGGGTAAAGTGACATGTCTAATTTTGTGTTAATTTCTAATCTAATTTGAAGTTTTTAAAACACCAGCAAAAATAATATAAAAATTATTTTGAAGGAGGACAAAGTGTAACCTGAGGTTGATCTGTTGAGTGGGAGGTTTTTCAAGGTGGTGGGTGGAGCTTCCCAACCAGCAGCTGTGGCTCCATATTGTGTTTCTTCTTCAATGGGCAGTACAACATCAATGTGGATCTTTTCAGTTTCTGCCTTTGGGCATACTTTCACCTCAGAAAAAAATAATTACATCCTATTTTATTTTTTCTAAGTGTGGCCACTTGACTATTAAATAATTGCTAAATGCTAAAAAGGAACCCTGTTTTTAAAAATATCATATATATTATATAACAGCAAATTATCAATGTATTTTCTAGTCAAACAAATTGTACTTAATTTTATGAGTATTTACTTTTTAAAAATATACTAATTCTGCCATCTACTTTTATTTAACTTTATAATTCTATTTTGTAAATTGTTAGTGCAGTTGTGTCTGTATAAATTATTTCATACTTACTACTTACAATAATTTTGAACAATTCATGACTTTCCTTTTCAAATGCTGAAATAAGTTTGACTTTTTCATCAGCTTCTGTGTTGTACATTGATTTTAAGACTGTAATCTATTCAATAAAATCAATAAATATTTTTTAAAATTACGAAATTTATAAAAAAAAGTAATAAATGTATATAGGGACTACATATGAATTGCTCAATATACATACATAATATAATATACATAATATACATACATAATATATATATATATATATATATATATATATATATATATATATACATAGACCCTATTATTTTATTATATAGGCCTATACAATAAAGAGGCCTATAAAAACTTACTGTTGTATGGGCATCTCTCTACTATATGCACTGCCCTCAGAGGAAAAAAAACCAATTCCCCCTCCACAACCCCCCCCCCCCCCCCTCACAAAGAATGAAAAAATAAACATTTTTATAGACAATGTTATTTAATATTTATAAACATAAACGTCCACGCCCTGATGTTTCCACCTCCCCTTCTTTCCAAATCCGAGAAAAATCATTAGAAGTATCTTTAAACTGAAAATAACAATTAGGTTATAACAGATAATACAAAGTATAAATACATTTATAAATATAATTGAATTATAATTTATTTTTAGCTTTACCTCATCTGTTTGCTCTTCAATGTTGCTACCACCATTTAAATCATTATTAAAACTATTATTGTTATTTGAAATTTTAGTGACATCCATTTACTAATAAAAAGATCTAGTAATTGAAATAATTACATGAATATTGAATATCATTATCAATATATAGGATATTTTTATATTTCAATAAAAACCTTAGACCTGTAGTTATTAATAAAAATTAATAAATAATTAACAAACTATTAAAATATTGAAAAATCACGTATTATGAAAGAAACATTTAAACATTAGCAGTTATAAAAGTATAAAATAATGCGAGATATGTCTAACACTGTGGCAATATTTCAATTGATGTTGCAATAGGTTACTGCAGTATTATATCATTTTTTTTTAGAAAAATCTAAATATTTCAAAGTCTCTGTAAAAAAAAAAAATTACCATTACTAAGCAAATGTTACTAAAATTAGTTTCGCCAAAATATAACAAAAAATAGTCTCGTCTTTTTGTTAAAAGCAACAATTTATTTCGTACGTTGAAGAGCATATTTAATTTGTGTGTAGCCATGGTAACTGAAAACAATTTTTCAAAATATTTTATTGATTCTTTTAGACGGCTACTGGACAATACGCAACTACAGCACTAATACAGCAACTTAACAAGATTTATTTTCCACCAACTTCGCTGTGCATCCCTATTCCGTCCACCAAGAGAACGTACGTCGTACTCTTACAGTACACTAAATTTAACCAAATTAAATTAAATGACAACTTATATATATATATATATATATATATATATATATATATATATATATATATATATATATATATATATATATATATATAAAATATATATATATACTATATACTTACACCAGAGGCGTAGCAATGGGGCGGGGGGACACATATGTCCCCGGGCGCCGACCTTAGGGGGGCGCCAATATGGGGTGGAAAAAGTAATCAAAAGTTTGACGGGGGGGGGGGGGGTGCAAATCGAAAGTTTGAGGGGGGTGGTGCAAATTGAAAGTTTGTCCCCGGGCGCTGGAAAGGGTCGCTATGCCTCACTTGTACCTACTACATGATACTAAGTAATAATTACTAACTAATATGGTTTCCAGAAAAATGCACAACGGAAAAATGCACAAACAAAAAAAAAATTCGCAAATACTGACATACTAAAACATTTTATAAATTGTGTCATATTTTGTGGAAATGTTAGGCTATATTATTATATTATGCTAGTGTAATGTAGTCACTCTTTGTTAATGTATAAAATTGTTCGATGATTCCCTAATGTGAGTTGGATGGACTTAAGGAAATCCTACAAACTTGTGCCCATGATCTAAACTTGAAGCTGTTGGGTTAGGACTTTAGGAGTCATAAGTTGTTTTTAACTAAATTTTAAATTCTTACATTGTTCCCATTAATATTTTAGTTAATACCAGTAAAACATTTATGCTGTTTGTTAATATTTCCAACACAGTAAATCTAATAAAACTCAGAGACATCCTACAGTAACAAGTCCAAACTGTGATCCAAACAAGAGACCATTGGGCTGCAGCCAAATGCTCTACCATTTGACCAAGCTGTCTCCTAATAGAATTATGCTACCTTCTAATTATACATTTAAATGTACTTTCCTTTTGTTACTAGATCTAAATATTCTTTTTATTTGGCCAATAATGGCAGGAGATGGAATATCAGAGGCCAAGAACTCAACACCATCACCAGGAATTTGTATTTCTCAGACCATCATATTAACTGATGGTCCTTGCTTTGTATTTCCCAGTAGGCTTACTTCTTATGTTATGTGATGGTCTTTGCTCACCAATCACTTTTTTATTTTAAGCATTCTCTTTTGTGTTTTGGTACTCACAGAGAACCAGCCTTGATGAGCTGGAGGGCCATTCTAGCAGCTGGGTCAGACTGGTTAACAGCCTACATGATCATTTGTATGATTTGTATGGTTGGTGGGTTGGGCTAACAACCCAACAGAGTAAAAACATCAGTGCCACAAAACATTAACAGCACCCAGATTATGTCAGTTGTACCAAAAACATTTATAGCACCCAGACTATGTCAGTGCTACAAAGCGTTAACAGCACCCAGAACATTTTTGCCTCTCTCACAAAGAGGAGGTCCTATAAAAGTAACTATGAAGCTGATTGGTCAAACCTGGAAGGGTGCTGAACTGAAAACTTGTGTGAGATGTGGAAGGTTAATTGAGTAGCAGTGATGAGAAAATATAACATAAGTTAACTAAGAGGCAAGATGAATGCAATCAGGAAAAGTAAAATTAAATGCAGGTGAAAAATGTTTGTGTTTAGGTAGGAAGACATAGAGACGCAACATACAAGGGGTAGCAACAGTATTGTGATCACAAGCAGAACAGGCCCTTATAAAATGGGAACTAAGGGAATCAAGGATATTAGCTGTTACAGTTATGACACATAAGAATGGAATTGACTAATGTGATCCAGTGTTATGCTCCAAATAATGAACAATTTGCAGAAACAAAGTAAAATTTCTAGATAAGATTACAAACAGTCATGGATAAATTTAGGAACAAGGACATCACATTAGTGATGGAAGATTGATTGTACAGTGTAGAAAGCTGACAATCAACAAAGGAGTAGACTACAATCTTTATATAAATAGCTGCTTATGGCAAACATAAAATTTCAAGTATTTTGAAAACATACTTAACGCAACAGTATGGGAAAGGACAGGACAAATCCCAGGGAAGCAAGAAATTGGAAAAATAAGGTGGAGAAGGACAGGCCAAATTTTGAGAAAACCTGGAACTAGTAGGGCCTTGCGCTGGACAAGGCATATCATGGAATCCATAACTATTAACCAAGGATCTAGAAAAAGAAAAATGCCCAAAATACCTGGCATTAGAGAATTTTAAAAAGTCATGAGAATTATTGACAAGAGTTGGAAGAAATGGAAACCACAGCAAAAGACAGTATAGCATAGATGCTACCTGGAAAAGTTGAAAGAGTGAAGATGTGTTTAGGTAGAAATAATTAATGGTATGACTATGGTACAGAGTTCATTTTAGATTCAGTTAGTGGTAGCATTTTGTACTCCTTCACAGTCTGGTGTATAAATAAAATGTTTCTTTTAAGTTTATAATTAAAACATCACCTCTATGTTTATTTGTAATTAAAACATTACCTTTAGGTTTGTAATAAAACATTACCTGATTTCATTTTAATGTACTTTTAAGTGTGTGCAGCTTTTATTTCATTTTAATTTACTTTTTAGTGCGTGTAGATTCTTTCTCTATTGGGTCACCAAGTGAGAGAAACATCATACCATCATTTTTTTTCATGTTTTACTGTTAGCATTAAAAAAGGGTATGTCATAGAAAAATTTAAAAGAAAACCTTCTAGGGTTATTTTGGTGAATGGTGAATGATAAAAAATAAAAATTACATAGAGCTTGCCATAATGTTTGCCTTACATCTAAGATCTAAATAATGTCTTTTTAAATATCCTGCAAATCAAACACAATTCAAGTTTTATACAAATTTATTGTATAATAGTAAATGCCTGTATAATATAATTTAGTGTACAAAGAAAGACAATGAAAAAAAGTAGCATAATTATCACTATTCCAACATATAACAGATGAATGAATGAGTAAAAATGTTAAGAGTAATTAGAATAGTCAACAGAGATACAGCATTTATTGTCACAAAATGTGTAACATATCTATATGATTATCATAATGGTAGGTGTGAGCATAGACATTAAAGCTTAAAACATTTCATGAAATCATTAACTAAAACAATATTAACACTATTTATTTGTGCTTGATTAAAAGTCTACACATAAATCGCAGCAACCCTACATAAGTTTTGGCCTCCTCCATAAGCTTGATGTTATTTTAGGAATTGTTCTTTCCTTTTTTGTCTCGAGTTTCTTTGTTTTAGAATATTGGGGTATCAATTTAACTGTCCTTCGGCCATACCAACCTAAGGCCTGTCTAACAGTTTTAACCTGAGCATTGTGAAATGTCCTATCTTTTCTCACTTGCCCTAACAAACATTTACAACAAGATAAACATTAAGCTCTAATAAACAGCCTGTGCTAGGAGTGTTGAACACATGGCCCCATAAAATGGGCCATTATGGCACCCCTGATCAGCTGTTTACACAGAAAACAAAAGTTGCGCTTGCAGTTCCAGCACTTGATGTGGTTGTTGTGGTCAGTTTTCTTCAAGTTGACCTGTTTGCACCCAGGGCACAGGCACCTGTTGACTGCTAGGTCAGGGTTGACCTCGACCTGAGCCTGGATGCGCAAGATCTCCTGTAGACGCCAGGAAAAATAAAACAATTTAAGAAACTGATGGCGGCCCTGTCCCACATGGAGTAAAGGGAACTAAGTCAAGTTAGTCAATGCTGACGTTACACCTTGTTAAAAACATTATTTTTTAAAATTATCTCTACTCTAATGCTTCACAGATACTATAAATCAAAGAGTTTTTTGTTAGGTTTAGGATTGAGATTTTACTTCAAATATAGACAGGTAGGTCTACTAAACAAGTATACAAAAGTCTCAACTATGCTTTTAGTCGTTGTTACATATAAATTTATCATTGATTATTTGAGTATAAGTGAAATGTTTTTGACTACCAAACAGCACAGCAGACAGCACATTAAACAGCACACTACACAGCACATCAGACAGCAAACCAATTAGAACATGTTTGTACTAACACTGCAACTCACATCAGGTGGTATCCTCTTTGGTGTTTTAGGTGGAATTTGGTTCACAATCACTAAGGTGGCATTCAACAAACATCCAGCTTGCGTAAAATGTTCGTACCCATCAATTTCGTTACCACACACCCAACAGAAACTAATACCACATCTGCATGTCATCTTGTTGCACCTACAGAAATTTGTATTCATTGTGACATACGTCAGTATGAGAGGCTTCAGTAAATGACATAATTAGAGTGATCTCCCCTGTCTCTAGATACCACCACTGTATCCTCCCTAGTAATAGCAACTGGTTCTAAGCTTGATATAATGTGTACCTAAAATAGATATTTATGAAAACTTTTATCATCATTTCCCGTTTGTGCCCAAGACACATGGGGCAGATGAAGTAGAGTTCATCTGCATCAGAGACCTCAGCATATGAAGGGATAGTGTGGTCAGCACTATTCCTAGCTGCCTTTGTTTCCCTAACGTGTTAGGTACCCATCAGAGCTGGGTGGACTCAGGGACGTTCCACTTATTTGAACCAGGATTCAAACTCAAGAATCTTAGGTTAGCCATCTAGCTCTATAGTGCTAGGCCACGCAGTCCCATATAAAAATGTATTTAAATTACCTACTGAATAAGAGTAAGACAGTAGCCATATTCTTAAAAAAATCAAATTATATCTATAACCTAACAACACATGACAAAAAGTCTGAAATGGTATGAGAATTAAATAATTGATGAAACTAAAATAGGAACAAAATAATATAAATTATTAAATACCCATCAATTTTTTCAATACGTATTTTACAACTGGGACAACTTTGTGTTTCCTTCTGGACAATTACTTTATAGACAATTTCTTCTTGAAGTTTTCTCTTCATTTCAAGAAATTTTTCCTGCTCTGCCACACTGAGCCCTCCCCTTTTGATTTGCTTATCCAGATCATGCAGCAGTTCATCATCCGTTTGACATGGTCGTCCCTACAGTCATATAGACAATATATTTTTTAAAATCCTAAACAAACAACTTAGAAAAAAGATATATTAAAAGCATGAAATAAATAGTTGATTGAGCCTGATAAAATAAATAGCATTTCTGACTTTCTTTAGCAAAGAGAAAAAAATGTATCAAGCATTGAAGCTATTTTTTTAACAAAATAATGCCAGTAAAAATATGGCATACACAATTTTTTAGTTTAAAGAACAAAGCAATAAAAATTAAAAATAGAACATAAGGTGTAGTTAGTGCATATTTATCGAACACAGATTAAAAATGATATCTTAAATAGATTTAAATAATTATGTTTTTACAAGTATTTATTTAACTTGCTTCCTCTCTCTCTGTTGTCAGGCTGTCTGTCAACAGTATGTTTATTGAAATGCCCGAGCAAAATTTCAGGCACTTCTAACTGATAAGATTCAGTTCAAAGTTGGCACACGGGTCAAGACATGAAGACAACACAATCTAACATTAAATTTGACATAATTGGATGCATAATTAATTTTTATGAATTAATTAAAATTGAGTCAAAATTAGTAGGCAGTCTTATCCAACTATTCTGCACTATTATGTACGCATTACCACATTCATTAGGTGCGCAATAGTTTTTAGTCATGCAACTCTATTGTAGATAAAAAAAATTTCAAGTACGAAAAACAGTTCATAAAAATGTTTTAATAACAAGCTTTTATGTAATAATGCACTAAAAAGTCAAAAATAAATTATACACTAATATTTAAATAACTATTTTAAAAAAGCGTGGGTCTTTCCCTAAATATTAGTAAAGGTATCCAATAGATACTAAAGTGACCCACGCTTTTCTTTATAGTTATATAATTAGTGTATAATTTATTTTCTACTTTTTAGTGCATTATTATGTTATAAAAGCTTATTATTAAAACGTTTTTTATAAAAAAAAAACTTTTATAATCATTTTTTAAAAGCTTGATTATTTAGCTTAAAAGATAAAGAAAGTGGGAGACACTGAATTTTTTTTTTACTTTTACCTGATGCCAACATCTTCTGCACTCAGTACAAAAAGAAAACAGACAAACAGTGCAGTGAGCAAGATGGAGACTCTCTTCTGCTTCTGCTATGACCAAACTGTTGCATCGTGGGCAGTAGTCAGTATCAGCCATAGCATCCAGTGTTTTCTGGTGGGGGAGAGTTACAAAATAGGTTCAAATCAATAAGTTAGATTTTAAGCTTATTATAAGACAACTTATACATTAGCAATCCTAACCCTTACTGTTGTTATGTTATACAAATAAAGCCATCAAGAAAATAAATGGGAGCTCACACCCGCTTTATTATTTTTTAGTACAACACCTATTCAACCAATATTTAGAATATGACAGAACCTGCAACAACAACTTCTCCCATCTGTTGTAAGCTTCTGGTCCTAAAACAGCCTGGACAATAGATGGTGGTAGAATTGTGTTACATTTGATGTCTGGACACCTGGGAAATTAAAGGTAGATGGACACAAAAATCTAAAAAAGTTAAACTGTAAGAAGGTGCTATGAGAAATTGTGGCATGTAAACTCTTACTTCAAAGCCTCGACAGTGCCATCTCTAACATGCAAGTCACAAAACTCCCTCATACAATCTGTACAGAAGAAATGCTGACACTCCTGGAGTTTGTGGAAATGGATGCCAGGTTTCTCCATCAGACAGACAGGACACTCCTGCATTGACTGACAGAACTCAAGTCTCATCTGCTCTTGGTTGTACCTGTGCCAGAATCATAGGCATACACAATAAAGTTAAAAATAATCCTAAATTATTAGCAGAATTTTTAAAAATTATATGAGTTTTTTAAAGTTATTTTTTTAGTTGTATTTTTTTTCTCATTTTACAATATATAAATCTTGTAAAACCTTACAAGAGGTACATATTATATTTAGGTTGGACCTTGGTTTATTAAGGTCGTAGCTTGGTTTAGATCTGTTTAGGTTAGAGTAAAGGCTATATATTTTTTTATATTATAAAAATGTTTTATTCTTTTCATTTTTTCTGGCTATAGCTTACAGAGGGCACCAATACTATTTTTACCTCATGCAGTATGGGGGTTGTTTTTTTTTTTTAATTATTTTCTGACCTTATCATTTGAGCAATCCTTTCCCCTAGGTCATTACTTGCTGAATTCTTCTCGCCTCCATCATCAGGAAGTGTAGATGACAACAAATGCAAAACTAGATGATCAGTTATCCCCAAATGACTGTAATTTGAAAAAAAATTTTTTTAAAATGATTTGAATCCTAATACATTTACAATTTACGAAGAAAATTAATTCAGTTGTTTAAATTATGTTCTAATCAAACAGCCAAAAACTAAGTAGTTCAAATCCTGAAAAAAAAAAAAAAAACCCAAATATTAGAAGTTTCAAAGAAAAACAAAAAGACAAAGTTACCTGAGCAGGTTATTTTCCAGCCAATCAATCCAGGTGAATACAATAACCATTGGCTTCCCCTCTTGCCAAAGATTGTCCAGCATTTTACCAGTACATTCAAGCTGTGTGCTGGTCAGCCATGGACATGACAGCTGGTAAGATGGGGGGTCACTTGACGGGTAGGTGGGTGGGAAGGTGATGTCCAGGTACAGAGGAGATAAATACTTCACATCAAACGAGCCTGGCCATCTGTGACCTGATATATTTCCAGGGGAAATAATATATTTCTGTTTATGAGGTGAGACCTAAAAGTAAGGTGTATACAAATGAAGATGAGAAATTTGTGTTGTATCATTTATGGATAATAGTTAGTAATGTTTACATACAAATTTAAAATTACTTATATTTTTATTTTTAAGTTTATTTTTCAAATACATTTTTGAAACACTATCTAAAAAGATATACAATTTATTTTCAGGGAAAATGAAATAATTTTCAACAAGCGTAACCTGAGGTAGATCTGTTGAGTGGGAGGTTTTTCAAAGTGGTGGGTGGAGCTTCCCAACCAGCAGCTGTGGCTCCATATTGTGTTTCTTCCTCAATGGGCAGTACAACATCAATGTGGATCTTTTCAGTTTCTGCCTTTGGGCATACTTTCACCTCAGAAAAAAATAATTAATCCTATTTTATTTTTCTAAGTGTGGCCACTTGATTATGAAATAATTGCTAAATGCTAACAAAGTAACCCTGTTTTTTTAAAAATATTATTATTCATATATACCAGCAAAATATCAATGTATTTTTTAGTTGAACATATTTGTACTTAATTTTATGGGTATTTACTTTTTGAAAAATATACTACTTCTGCATCTACTTTTGTTTAACTTTATTATTCTATTTTGTAAAATGTTAGTGCAGTTGTGTCTGTATAAATTATTTCATACTTACAATAATTTTGAACAATTCATGACTTTCCTTTTCAAATGCTGAAATAAGTTTTACTTTTTCATCAGCTTCTGTGTTGTACATTGATTTTAAGACTGTAATCTATTCAATAAAATCAATAAATATTTTTAAAAATTATAAAATTTATAAAAAAATACATGTATATGCATATAAATTGGTATATATACATATATATATAATATTCTTATATATATATATATATATATATATATATATATATATATATATATATATATATATATATATATGTATGTATGTATGTATGTTTGTATGTATGTATGTATGTATGTATGTATATATATATATATATATATATATATATATATATATATATATATATATATATATATATATATATATATATATTTAGATATATTCATAATTACATAAATAAATAGACCCTATTATTCTATTATATATACAATGAAGAGGCTTATATATACTTACTGTTGTAGCCTATTGGAATCTCCCATGCATTGCCATTAGAGAAAAAAACCAATTCCCTCCCCGCCCTCCTCTCCCACACAAAGTATGAAAAAATATACATTTTTATAGGTAAATTAATATGTATAAACATAAGTCCACCAATTTTTCAGTTCCCCTTCTTCCCCAATCAGAGAAAAATCATTAATATTATCTTTAAACTGCAAATTACATACACTATTAGTATTAGATTAACAAATAATATACAGTAGGCCTATAGATACAGTTATAAATTTTACCTCATCTGTTTGCTCTTCAATGTTGCTATCACCATTTAAATCATTATTGAAATATTGCGTAGTCTTAATTAATATATTATTACTATTATTGTTACTTGAAATTTTAGTGACATCCATTTACTAAAAAAAAAGATGTAGTAATTGAAATAATTACAATATCATTATCAATAATGACGATATAATTATAAGCCTTAGGCCAGGACTGTAGTTATTAATAATAATAAAATAATAATTATTAACTAATTATTTACAAACTATTTCAATATTGAAAAATCACGTATTTATAAGTATTTTGAAAGAAACTTTTAAACATTAGTAGTAATAGTAGTTATAGTAGTTATAAAAGAATAAAATAATACGAGATATGCCTAACAAAACACTGTGGCAATATTTCAATTGATGTTGCAATAGGTTACTGCAGTATTAGATCTAGATTTCTATATCATTTTTTAGATAAATCTAAATTCTAGTCTCTTTAAAAAAAAAGTTACCATTACTAAGCAAATGTTACTAAAATTAGTTTCGCCAAAAAATAGAAAAAAAATAGTCTCGTCTTTTTGTTAAAAGCAACAATTTATTTCGTACGTTGAAGAGCATACTTCAGTTGTTTGTAGCCATGGTAATCGAAAACAATTTTTCAAAATATTTTATTGATTCCTTTTTAGTAAAAAGTTTTTACGGCTACTGGACAATACGCACATACAGCACTAATGCAGCAACTTAACAAGATTTCTTTTCCACCAACTTCGCTGTGCATTCCCCTTCCACTACAAAGAGAACGTACGTCGTACTCTTACACAAAATACTAATTTAAATTAAAATGAAAAAAATGCACTACGGCTCTACGGAAAATTGCGAAAACAGAAAAATGCACAAATAGGGCCTACAAACTTATAGTGATATAGTGTCATATTTCGTGGAAATATGTTTTATTATGCTAGTATATTTGTAGATCTAGGCCTAGTCACTCTTAGCTAATGAATAATAATATAGCCTAATATATAGGCCAAATAATAATATATTTAATAAAATAGATCTAGGCCTATAATAATAATATATGCTTTAACTACCAGTAACCAGTGTAATCGGCTAGGTCGGGTGTGGAACCTCATTGTGTCACCCCCAACTTTTTTTTCTCTGTAAATTTTACAGCCGGTGCCCCCCCCCCCCCCCAGGTAAAAGCTTTAAGAATTACTCTGACGTCTCTGACTGTAAACCTTGTCTTATTATCAGAATTGTTAATTACACAAAAGTTTTTCATCCTCTTTTCCCATTTGCACCAAAACACACTGGGTAGATAGAGTACGGTTCACCTGTTTTAATGATCTGGGTATGTGGGATATTATTGTGAACACTTTGTACAGCAGCCTTTGTTTCCCATTAGGGAGTCAGGTAGGCCTACTCATCAGAGTTGAGTGGACTCAGGAAAATCCTAAAAACTCCAAACTTGAAGCTTTTGGGTTAGGAGTCATAAGTTGTCTTTAACTAAATTTTAAATTCTTACAGTGTTCCCATTAATATTTTAGATACTACCACTAATATCTTTATGCTGTTTGTTAATATTTCCAATACAGCAAGTCTAATAAAACTATTCATTGCACAGATGAAGTAGAGTTCATGTTTCATGACCTCGCCACATGAAGTATGGAGCGGTCAGCACTTTGCCCATCCACCTTTTCTTTCCCATGTCAGTCAGGTACCCATCACATCAGAGCTGGGTGGACTCAGGGACATCCTGCAGTTACAAGTCCAAACTGTGATCCAAACAAGAGACCATTGGGCTGCAGCCAAATGCTCTATCATTTGACCAAGCTGTCTCTAATAGAATTATGGTACCTTATAATTATACATTTAAAAGTACTTTCCTTTTGTTACTAAATATTCTTTTTTATTTGGCCAATAACGGTAAGAGATGTACTTTCCTTTTGTTACTATGGAGTATCAACACCATCCCCAGGACTGTGTATCTCTCAGGCTTACCTCTCATATTATTATCTGATGGTCCTTGCCCGCCAATCACTATTATATTTTAAGCATACTGAGTCTCGTATGTGATCATTTGTATGATTGTTTTTCTTCATGTTTTACTGTTAGCATTAAAAAAGAGTAGTGATGACATTGAAAAAATAAATTAAAACCTGCATTGGGTTATTTAATGGTGAATGATAAAAAATTAAATTACTTAAATAAAAAAATACTTAGATCTTGCCATAATGTTTGCCTTACATCTAAGATCTAAATAATGTCTTTTTAAATATCCTGCAAGTCAAACACAACTCAAGTTTTATACAAATTTATTGTATAATGTTAATTGCGTGTGTAATATAATTTAGTGTACAAAGAGAGACAATGAAATAAAGTAGCATAATTATCACTATTCCTACATATAACATATTAATGAATGAGTAAAAATGTTAAGAGTAAATTAGAATAGTTAACATAGATACAGCATTTCTTGTCACAAAATGTGTAACAAATCTATATGAGTATCATAAAGGTAAGTGTGAGCATAGACATTAAAGCTTAAAACATTTCATGAAATCATTAACTAAAACAATATTAACATTATTTATTTGTGCTTGATTAAAAATCTACACATAAAGGGCAGCTACCCCATATAAGTTTTGGCCTCCTCCATAAGCTTGATGTTATTTTAAGAGCTCTTCTTCCCTTTTTCATTCTTTGTTTTAGCATACTGGGGTATCCACTTTTACTGCCCTTCGGCCATACCAACCTAAAGCCTGTCTGACAGTTTTAACCTGAACATTGTGAAATGTCCTATCTTTTCTCACTTGCCCTAACAAACATTTACAACAACATAAACATGCAGCTCTAGAGAACAGCCTGTGCTAGGAGTGTTGAACACATGGCCCCATAAAATGGGCCATTATGGCACCCCTGATCAGCTGTTTACATAGAAAACAAAAGTTGCTCTTGCAGTTCCAGCACTTGATGTGGTTGTTGTGGTCAGTTTTCTTCAAGTTGACCTGTTTGCACCCAGGGCACTGGCACCTGTTGGCTGCTAGGTCAGGGTTCAGTTCTAGCTGGGCCTGAATCTGGATCAACTCCTGGTGAGAGGACCCATCAAGTTTAAATTTGAACAAACAAATAACAAGTGATTGATGTTATAGCAGATATATTTAATTTAAAGCAAAAAGTTTGATTTTTGAAATTCACGGGCTGAACTGGAAATAATAAACTTAAAAATGTCTGTGGTCCAACTTCAGATGTGAAAACAGTAAACAAAACCTGGCTGATCATGCAATCGCTAGAACTTAATCTTGTTGTTTCCCCATTTATTATGAATATAGCAATCTTTAAGTTATTCTTAATGACTTATTTGATATAAAATTAGATTGAAAATTAGATATTCTTGCGTGTTGTTTAAAGATGATTGTATAAGGAAATATCAAGATGTGATCATTAACTTTCAGATGGAAATCATGATTTAATTAAAAGCTTGTACACTACTCATCACTGACTGCTTTTAATTGTTGAAATACATAAAGATTTCAACTCAAATTATGAAGTTTATATCAATTATCAGCAATCTTTAACAATACAGACTCAATTTATCATGAATTGATGAAGATTTTAACATTGAATTAAGGATGAAGTTAACTTACATCAGGTGGCAGTCTTCTCAATGGATGGAGGGGGGCATCATTGGGTGCAGGAGGAAATAAATAGCACTGTCCATCTTGGAAATGGTTGTAGCCTTTAATTTCTTTGGCACACAGCCAACAAAAAAAAAGTGCCACATTTGCATGTCATTTTATTGCACCTATTAAAAAAAGAGATTATTTAAGTTAACTATTTATTGAATTTTTATTCATAAGGGTTTAGAATTAATTTATTTGAAAAGAATTGATAAAATGGTGAAAAATTTACTTAAATATTCTTTAGCAATAGTAGATGACACATTTTCAAATAAGCATACTCCTTAATGAAAAAATAATATAGACAAAAATGTCAATATTTTCTCCCAGATGAAAATTAGCATAATAGAAGTGTTGCTAAGAATCCTGAACGTAGTGAAAGACAAACATGATAACATTAACATTTGATGTACCCCTTACCCTGCAGTTTTTTCAATAGCAATTTTACAACTAGGGCAGAACTGTGTTTTTGCCTTAACAAAGATTTTGTTGTCGATTTCTTCTTGAAGTTTTCTCTTCATTTCAACAAACTTTTCATGTTCAGCTGCACTCAGACCTTTCCTATTGACCTGCTCTTCTATAGCCCTCAGCTGTTCCTCATCAGATGTGCAGGGACGGCCCTGTGGGTCAAGCATTTTTAGGTGTAAAAGATATGTTGAAAAACAGACAGATTAAAAAACCTATATGGTTGGAAGAGACTTTCTTTTAAAAAAAAATTGCAATGTTTATTTTCCAAGTTCAAAACAACTACATCTATCTTAAAGCAGACTAGTTTTATTGTTTATAAACAACTACACTAAGCCTAGGCCTAATTTATGAATTAGATTGCTTAGCTGGGTAAAACTAAATAAAATCATATGCAGTAATATTAAAAACAATTTAGTTATAAAAACTTTATTGTAAGTTTTTTTCGGACTTTACTAAAGGATAGGTGTTTTTTATGTTCCTTTAATATCTTTGGTAACTAAATAAAAATTTAAAATACCTAAAACATTTAGTGTTTTTATAATTTTTTATTTTATCACTGAAAATGTAAATGAATATTGCATAATTAGTTCATGTGGTTTAAAAATATAAGTGTATTAAAAAAAATTTATTTGCAAAGTTTTGGGTACAAACGACTACAAAGTGGGGTTTTCAGAAGAACAATCTCAGAGTTTCTGTAGGCCTACTGCCAGTCGTTTGTGTTACGAAAGTGAAATTTTGGTTATAATTTGGGCTTGATGATAAATAGAAATGTAGCCTTAAGCACACAAAAATATTTTCAAGTTATCTGCATTAGCAACTTTTATAACATTGATTCTAAAATTATTAATTTTCTGAAATTACTTTTGGCTAAAGTTTTAAAAAAAATTCTTTTACAGCTAATAACATGTCCATGTCAAATATAATGTTGGAAGGCCTTTCATCAAACGTATGATGTACGTAAATTAAAGTTAAAACAGCACACACTGCTCATAGCTAACCTGATGCCAACATCTCCTGCACTCAGTACAAAAAGAAAACAGACAAACAGTGCAGTGAGCAAGATGGAGACTCTCTTCTGCTTCTGCTATGACCAAACTGTTGCAGCGTGGGCAGTAGTCAGTATCAGCCATAGCATCCAGTGTTTTCTGGTGGGGGAGAGTTACAAAATAGGTTCAAATCTATAAGTTAGATTTTAAGCTGATTATAAAACAACTTATACTGCTCAATGATAAAATTAGTTTTAATAAAAAATATTCTCTAATTTAATAAATTTATCAATAAATCCAAATTAAAATTAAGTATTAGTCCTCAAACAATTGTATGTGTACCACATATTCTAAATATTTATGTTAAATAGCTACGTTACTATAAAAAAAACAGCAGCCATGACAGTACCTGCAACAACAACTCCTCCCATCTGTTGTAAGCTTCTGGTCCTAAAACAGCCTGGACAATAGATGGTGGTAGAATTGTGTTACATTTGATGTCTGGACACCTGGGAAAGTAAAGGTAAATTAGGTCAAGATGGATGCAAAATTCTTACAAAAATTTAGCTGTAAAAAGGTGTTATGAGATATTGTGACAAGTAAACTTTTACTTAAAGTACTCTAAGTAAAATTTAAGCATAGCTTACTTCAAAGCCTCGACAGTGCCATCTCTAACATGCAAGTCACAAAACTCCCTCATACAATCTGTACAGAAGAAATGCTGACACTCCTGGAGTTTGTGGAAATGGATGCCAGGTTTCTCCATCAGGCAGACAGGACACTCCTGCATTGACTGACAGAACTCAAGTCTCATCTGCTCTTGGTTGTACCTGTGCCAGGATCATAGGAATACACAATAAAACCAGGAACAATTGAAAAAAAAAAACATCGCAAAACCAATGACGTTTGTAGTTAGTGTAAACAAAAATATTTTAAAAAGCAATAATTAATATTTTATGCATTTACGTTTTATTCTAATTATTACAATAACTTGATTAAGCCTTGTTTAATTTTATATTATGTTAATAATTAAGTTTATTAAGCCTTTTTCTATTTTATAACATGTAAATCAACATGAATGTATTGGTGTGCTAGTCTTGTAAAGCCTTAAACAGGAGTCTATTTTGTCTATTGTACTTAGTTTAGCAATACATTTTATAACTAGAGCAGTAGAGGCTAGTTATTTTCTCATATCATCATTATTGCCCATCCCCCTTGATTGGGTATGGATCACCAACCAAATATCTCCAGCTATTTTCTGACCTGATGATTTGAGCAATCACTTCCCCTAGGTCATCACTTGCTGAATTCTGCACCTCACAATCATCAGGAAGTGAAGACGACAAATGCAAAACTAGATTATCAGTGATCCCCAAATAACTGGAAAAAAAATTTAATTGATTAATGATTAATGAAAAATTGTCCAATTGTTTAAATTGTCTTTTAATCAAAAAGTAAGTAGACAAAGTTACCTGAGCATATTATTTTCCAGCCAATCAATCCATGTGAATACAATAACCATTGGCTTCCCCTCTTGCCAAAGATTGTCCAGCATTTGACCAGTACATTCAAGCTGTGTGCTGGTCAGCCATGGACATGACAGCTGGTAAGATGGGGGGTCACTTGATGGGTAGGTGGGTGGGAAGGTGATGTCCAGGTACAGAGGAGATAAATACTTCACATCAAACGAGCCTTGCCATCTGTGACCTGGTGTAGAACATAGAATTATTTTGATGGAAAATAACATGTTGGTTTTATGAGGTAAGGAGTAGTCTATACATGATGTTATGCATTTTGGGGGATAGGTAAATGATGTGAGATATTGAGGGTAAAGTGACATGTCTAATCTAATTTGAAGTTTTTATAACACCAACTAAAATAAAATAAAAATTATTTTGAAGGAGGATAAAGTGTAACCTGAGGTAGATCTGTTAAGTGGGAGGTTTTTCAATGTAGTGGGTGGAGCTTCCCAACCAGCAGCTGTGGCTCCATATTGTGTTTCTTCTTCAATGGGCAGTACAACATCAATGTGGATCTTTTCAGTTTCTGCCTTTGGGCATACTTTCACCTATGCAATAACATAGTGTTAACCTGTTCAACAAAGACAATGCCTTAGGCTACTTCTAAGTCTATAAATCAGTAAAACAACATTAAAGTATAAAGTAATTATTGATAAACCTTAATTTATGTCATGAATAACTAAAAGCGATATGAAAAGAGATTTATTAAGTTAAAATAAAAATAGATGGCAGAAGTAGTATATTTAAAAAAAATTAAACAGGGCTATAAAATATTGTTTCTGTGTACATTTTTTCTTACGTACAATAATTTTGAACAATCCAAGATTTTCCTTTTCCAATTCTGAAATAAGTTTGACTTTTTCATCTGCATCTGAGTTGTACACTGATTTTAATACTGTAATCTATACATTAAAATCAATTTAATATGAAATTTATAAAAAACAATAATCTGTAATTGTATATACTATTGTATAAAAATGTATGTATGTATGTATGTATATATATATATATATATATATATATATATATATATATATATATATATATATATATATATATATATATATATATATATATATATATATATATATATATATATATATATATATATATATATATATATATATATATATATATATATATATATATATATATATATATATATATATATATATATATATATATATATATATATATATATATATATATATATATATATATATATATATATATATATATATATATATAGGCCTATATATATATATATATATATATATATATATATATATATATATATATATATATATATATATATATATATATATATATATATATATATATATATATATAGGCCTATATATTTTATATATATATATAAGAGAAACACATACATATTATATAGGCTTACATATATATGCCTTACACATGCATATAGAATTTTATGTAGGCCTATTATATTTATGATATATATTATGAATTATTATGCCTATAATTAAGGGCCTATATTTAATATCAGCTTAGTGCTAAATTGGTTATGCTTACATTCACATTGCCATCAAAGAAAAAGCATTAACATATTACATTAGAATGATTAGATTGTATGGTAAAGTAGTGAAGTAGGATACTATTATAAAAATTATTAATTAATAATTAAAGTATAGGCCTAGTTTATATAATTATTAATTAGTTTTACCTCATCTGTCTGCTCTTCAATGTTGCTACTGCCTGAGTCATTATTGGAATATTGTTTAGCTGTGTTATCATTGTAACTTGTAATTTTATTGAGATCCATTTAGAAAACTACTAAAGGCTAATAAAAATGGAAGTAAAGACTAATTAATAATTAATATGCGTAGAGTCTAGATCTATACTAAAATAATTGATCTCATTAATATAATATAGAGTCGGTCGAAGGCCTATTAGTTAGATTTATTAATATTATTAATAATTTTATAATATTAATAGGCCTAGATCTAATTAATTATTAATAAACTATTAATAATTAAAATGTTGAAAATCACGGATTTTAAACTTCAATATTTACTTTTAGTTAGATAAAAAAAACCCGAAGTAAATGAAGATAGACCTTACATTATAGCCAACTTTGGCATTATTTTAATTGATGTTGCAATAATCGGCAACCTCAGCATGATTGATAGATCTAGTATTAGTATGAATGAATGATCCGTTTGTATAAAGAAAAACCCATTACTAAGCAAATGTTACTAAAATTAGTTCGCCTAAAAAAGTTTCGTCTTTTTTGTAATAAGCTCAATTTATTTCGTATTTTGAAGAGTGTAGCCATAGTAACTGAAAACAATTGTTCAACGTTATAACGAGCTGACCCGCGACGTAGCATACGCCGCTATTTAGTTTTAAACCTATTTTTAGTAATTCATATTTTTTTAAATTCGATAATATTTTGCTTTAAAACACTATCAGTAGCTAGTGAAGGACGATTATCCTCACCCTCGCTTTCCACTCCTCTGCAAAGCAGCCGTCTGTGACTTCAGTTTACAGACGACAATGAAAAGAGCAAGCAGAACTTCTTACCTCTCCTTAGTTTGAAATTGTTTAAAAGCTAAATTATCTGCCCCCAATAGCCGTCACTACGATTGTAAACAGCTCAACAGACTGGCGGGGGTGGTAGCGATATGGTCTGTTGAGCTTACGTCTTGGTGGTGTCTCGCATGGTCCCCACATAGAGATTTATATATATCGTTATAGATTAACGTATTTGTTCTTTCGGCTAGATCTACATAACATGCCATTTGCGATGTTGACAATGCATTTTCCAGTAACATTGTTAACAGTTAGAGGCCAAGGGCAGTTTAGTTTTAGTCAGTCATCTCCCCGCCTTCAAAAATAAAATTAAATGGTATATGGGCCATGGTATTATAATCATAGGCCTATTTGATATATAGGCCTACTAAGATATGGCATATGGACCCAAATAATTATATATATATAGGCCTATACATATATAAATAAATATATAATATAAATATATATATAGGCAAATATTTATTTTATATAGCCTAGTATTAATATTTTCAATTAAATAGGCTATATAAAATAGACTCGATACATTGCTATCTCGACATATGAGTCATGTTTTGCTATAAATATGAGCAAATTTTGTGATACGAGGAGCCAGATTAGCGAGTTTCACAGTTCGTAGACAAGAAACACCCTGAGCAATTTGTAGCTGGTCAGGCATCTAATCTATTTTTAAATTTAGAGACCAAGAAACAAACATTTTTGGACAGTTATTTTTTGCACAGTAGGATTTAAGTTCTATGATGTTGAGTGAAGTTTAGTTTTTTTAATAAAGCTGAAGAATAAAGTGTATCATTAAGAGCAGAGTTTCTTCCAGGCAAAAAAATTTACCGCCCCCCCCCCCCAAAACGAAATTAAATTTATATAATTTATATAGAAAATATATACTTTCAACAGTGTCCGCCCCGCCCCCCCCCCCCCCCCCCCCCCCCCCCCCCGGAGAAAAAAGTCTGGAAGAAACACTGATTAAGAGTGTAACGAGGCTTCAAATTTAAGTAACCAAAAGAGTTTGTATTAACAGTGTAGTAAGTATGTGAACAAAGTCAAGTTTCCTCCATCATCTTCAGTAAGCTCAAGTCATCTGATTTACAAGGAAAATACACTTTATAAAAGTTTATTTCTTCACACTATTTTTAATTGTTTTACACAATATTTGGCATTAATATTATTTACATTATTTATAACACAATTTTCTTATAACAGGATAAGTGGGAGGTAATTTGGGGCCTGGAACAGATTAATGGCACTTAAATTCATTCCAAAATGGGAAATTTTTTAAAAAGATTATAAGAGCAATTAATTTGATGTATGCACAAATAAGATTACAGAACAATTAAATTAGTATCTACAGGCAGCACTGTTTATAATAAAAACACCCACATATTTAATTTTGCTTTTACATGTGCAGTTTCTCTATTTTTGAGTCTCCAACATGGGTAAACCAGCATGTCATTTTGTTTCTTTCTGTATTACTGTTCGGATTATAAAAAAGGTACTGATACAATAAAAAAATATAAACTTCCTTAGGGCTAATATGGTGAATGCAGTTTGATGCGAAATTAAAATTAAATAGAGCTTGCATTAATTTTTGCCTTAAGTTTCAACTAATTTAATTTCTCTTAAATATCTTGCAAATCAGACACAAATTCACTTTTATATCAATTTAATGTATAAAGTCCTTATACTATAATTTATAATTTAATGTGTTAAGAAAAACAATGCCATAAAGCAGCAAAGTTATCACTATTCCTACATATTACAAATCAATAAATAATGTAAACATTAAGAATAAATTAGAAATGTCAACATAAATTACTAAATATTCTCACAAAATGTGTGTTACACATATCTAAATGAGTATCATAAAGGCAGTAAAGAAATAAAAAAGTAAACATTCCATGAAATCATGAACAATAATCAATATCAACATTGTTTATTGGACCACATATAAAGGGCTGCAACTTCACATTTTTGCCCTAGGCTGGATTTATAATATTCAAGCAATGTTCATCTGGTCTTCTTGTATGTTTCCTTAGATTAACTTTTATTTGCATTTCTATCTGGATCCCATCTGACAATATCAAGCTAGGGTCTTATCCATGCTCACTTGCCCAAATAATACAATTACAACAGCGTAATTGTTAGTCTCTAGAGAACAGCATGTGCTAGGAGTGTTGAACACATGGCCCCAAAAAATGGGCCATTATGGCACCCCTGATCAGCTGTTTACACAGAAAACAAAAGTTGCTCTTGCAGTTCCAGCACTTGATGTGGTTGTTGTGGTCAGTTTTCTTCAAGTTGAGCTGTTTGCACTTAGGACATTGGCACTTGTTGGCTGAAAGATGTGGTTTGACTGGGAACCATGCCTGGACCTGTTTAAACTGTGGGAGACACAAAGTTAAAATCTGATCAAACAACTTACAGGTCAATGATTTTATAGCAGATCTATTTATGGCAAAACTATTTTGGTGACCAAAACTTTTTAATAAAGAAAGAGTGTCTTATTTTAGTGAATTTAAAAGCTTTTCTTATAACGTTTTTAAAATTTAGTTTTGTTTCTTTTACAACTTATTTTTTAAAAGTAATCAGACGGCCTACTATATTCATTTTTTCCATTCTGTTAATTCATTCTGAAGTTGACAACCCAGGGGTCGGCAACCTTTTGAAGCGGAAGAGCCAAAAGTTTCAATTTTCAAAATTTCCCTGGTTTTAAAGAGCCACTAACATTTTTTTATTTCAAATATTTTATTTTTTTATTAAGATTATTAGTATTTGTTCAAGGAGCTGGAGAGCCGCATCTTGATATCAAAAGAGCCGCATGCGGATCGCGAGCCGCAGGTTGCCGACCCCTGTGACAACCCAATGATATATTTGCTTTAAAATTAAAACCCAATCACTTGCTTGGGCAATTATCTGCCCCCTTTTAACATTTGTTAGAGCTTATGATCCTGTGCTTAAGTCTATAGAAAGTCCCAAAGTCCACTCAGGTCTGATGGGTACTTGACTCATGTTAGGGAAAAAATGGCGGCTGGTCATAGTGCTGACCATACTAATCCTCATGTGTCTTGGGCGTGCAGGGGAAAAAGTTGATGAATACGATTTGCAGTTGAATCTCAGACATGAGACCCCCCCCCCCCCCCTAGTGCTAGTACTTAATCCTGTTATCTCCCCTCTTGTTACTTAATATAGTGCTACTCTTTTAATTAATATTTAATGACTTATATATAATATCTAATTTGATTGAAAATTATCTAATTTTGTGTTGTTATTAGTAATTAATTTTTAGCAAAATAAGAACATAATTTTTATATTTTATAATTAAGTTAAAGGATTTGACCACAAAACCTGATCAAACTTGTAAAACAGTTGTAAAACACATCATGTATCACTGACTGATTTTTAACTCTTGAATAACCAAAATCCATCCCGCCCAGGTTAAAGGGTTAAATCCAAGTTCTTACAAAATGTGTTCCATTGTGACATGGCATGCTATAACAATACAGTCCCAATTATTATGAATTTATTGAGTCAGTACAATTTGGACAAATTGAATAAAGGATGAAGTTAACTTACATCATATGGTTTTCTCAATGGACTGTTAGTGTCATCTTTAGGTGCATGAATAAATAACCTGCAACTTCCTCTGTGGTATGCAAGCTCTTCAGCACACAGCCAACAAAAGGAAGTGCCACATTTGCAAAGCATATGATTGCACCTATTAAAAGAAGAGATTATTAAAGTTCATTATTTATTCAACAAAACCCATTAGACTTAATTTATTAACTTATCAACAAAAATTGATAGAAATTGTAAATAAGTTATCCAAACATCATTTATTAATCGCATCCATGAAGCTAAACATTAAAAAATAATTGTTTGATTCACCCTTACCCTTCATTTTTTTCTATAGCAATTTTACATCCAGGACAGAATTGTGTATTTGCTCTAAGAAAATTTTCATTTTCCATTTTTTCTTGAATTTTTTTCTTCAGTTTAACCAACTTTTCATATTTCGTGGCCCTAAGAAATTTTCTGTTGAACCGCTCTTCTAAAATCTTCAACTTCTCTTCATCAGATGTAGGCCTACAAGGACTGCCCTGCAGGAAAAAGCATTGTTAGGTTGAAGAAAATGTGCATTGAAATGTCCAGTAAAAACATGATCTTCAGGCTCAAGACAAACACAGCATGTCACAAGCTTGACAACAGCAATCTATAGGTAAGCTTCTGACGGCCTACTATATTTATTTTTTCCATTCTGTTAATTCTTTCTGAAGTCAACAACCCGCATGATATGTTTGCTTTAAAACCCAATCACTTGCTTGGGCAATTATCTGCCCCCTTTTAACATTTGTTAGAGCTTAAATGAAGATGTTGGAAAGTAGACAGCTGAATAAACCTAATTGTGTGATTTTTAATAAAAATCTTGTTAGACAGCAATGTTTAGTTTTCGAATATACAACTACACCTAGCTGAACGTAGGCCAATTTTATCTATAGATAAAAAAGAATGTATAATTTTCTGTCTTTTATGCCTTTCCACAGCGATCATCCAATTGCAGTGAAACTGTGCAAGATATTGAGAAGGTTTCTACCACAATTCATTTTATTATCAGAGTATGCAGTTGGATGCCCCAAGTTCCCCCATGACTACCTCAGCACCTGGGGGTCCACTGATTGGGCGTCCAGTACAGGGGACTAGGAACACTACTCAATGGTCAAACTGCACCATGGGCGTCCTCTGGTCTCCTATGGTCCGAAGCACCCTGGGCTGCTACATGAACAATAGGATGCCTAGATTTGTTTTAAAGTGCACCCTACACTAAAAATACAGTGGGCTACTCCCATCAATGACTAAACCAACCAGGAGTGGTTCAAAAGAGCCCCCTGAATTGCCTGACACCTAGGCGGTCACCAACAGTTGTTCTACCTCACTCTGAGGGTAAACAACATACACTCTAAGTCTTCATACAGTTGTTCGACCTGACTCTGAGGGTAAACAACATACACTCTAAGTCTTCATACAGTTGTTCTACCTCACTCTGAGGGTAAACAACATACACTCTAAGTCTTCATACAGTTGTTCTACCTCACTCTGAGGGTAAACAACATACACTCTAAGTCTTCATACAGTTGTTCGACCTCACTCTGAGGGTAAACAACATACACTCTAAGTCTTCATACAGCTGTTCTACCTCACTCTGAGGGTAAACAACATACACTCTAAGTCTTCATACAGTTGTTCTACCTCACTCTGAGGGTAAACAACATACACTCTAAGTCTTCATACAGTTGTTCGACCTCACTCTGAGGGTAAACAACATACACTCTAAGTCTTCATACAGTTGTTCTACCTCACTCTGAGGGTAAACAACATACACTCTAAGTCTTCATACAGTTGTTCTACCTCACTCTGAGGGTAAACAACATACACTCTAAGTCTTCATACAGTTGTTCTACCTCACTCTGAGGGTAAACAACATACACTCTAAGTCTTCATACAGCATACCCTGACATCTGGGCAGTAGTGTGGGCATACTCAAGCTCCAAAACTAGGATTAAAGAAATGTAGTGCTTTTATTGTTTACATTTAAATAACCTCAGTTCTATCAACCAAAAATGATAAATTTGGCATCTAGGAATAGCTGATATGCTCCATGCTGATACTTTAATGTTTCTCACAAAGAGTGTGGTTTAATTTTAGTCTTTGTAAATTACTTGATGATATTCAGCTAATGCATTGTTTTGTGATTGAACACATATTAAATTCAATTCCTTTCTCCTTAGAACAATTCATGGCAGGCCAGCTAGATGTTTATAAACAACTACGCCCAGCCTAGTGTAACTCCCTTTTATTGATTAAATTGCTTCAGCTGGTTAAAATAATAAACTTATGAAATAGTTTGGTCCTTAACTAGGGCCTACCACAGACTGTTACACTTACCAAATACAAACATTTTAGCAATTTTGTTTCTAGCGCTAGAACTTTGGTTTTAGACAAGAATTTATCTTAGTATTTTAGTAAAGTCTATAGGTGTTATAAACATGCTAAAACGGCAGACACTGCTCATAGCTAACCTGATGCCAACATCTTCTGCACTCAGTACAAAAAGAAAACAGACAAACAGTGCAGTGAGCAAGATGGAGACTCTCTTCTGCTTCTGCTATGACCAAACTGTTGCATCGTGGGCAGTAGTCAGTATCAGCCATAGCATCCAGTGTTTTCTGGTGGGGGTAGAGTTACAAAATAGGTTCAAATCAATAAGTTAGATTTTAAGCTGATTATAAGACAACTTACTCAGTTCAATGATAAAATTAGTTTTAACAAAATGATCTTCTAAATTTAATTATCATTAAATCCAAACTAAAATAAAGTATTAGTCCTCAAACATTTCTACATGTAGAACATATTCTAAATATTAGTTGAATAGGTGTTGTACTAAAAAAAATAATAAAGCTGGAGTGAGTTCCCATATATTTCCTTGATAGCTTTATTTGTATATCATAACAGTAAGGGTTAGGACTGCATATTAAGTGGAATCTGGCTATAATAAAATAGTAGTTAATTTGTGACCAAACCACTAATTTTTTAGATAACACGTATAGCTGAAAAAAAAACAACTCTTAGAATATGCTGCTTAGCGAGAATATAATTTAAATAATATTTTCAAGGTTTTTGAGAAAATTGGGCAAAAAAGTAAACTCATAAGTGGTAAGTACCACTTCTGAGTTAGTAAAATCGCTCAAAAGTTGATAGAGACCTGCATTAATGATCAAATGGACCTACTTTAACTTGAAATTTTGTCTTTCTAACCAAAACAGTATGGAAGTTATTAAGGAAATGGAAATAAAGTACCAATCATATAAAGTGAAATAGCTCAAAAGTTGATACAAATCTATGTACAGGATCTCACTTTTGTAAGTAAAATTTCAGCTTAACAGAAATGTGGAGGGATGGAGTGGCCTAGTGGTAGGGAGCTAGACTGCTAACCTGCAAGTCTCGAGTTCAAAGACAGGTTCAATTCAGTTGAACATCTTTTAGTCCACCCAGCTCTGATGGGTACCTAACTTACATTAAAGAAAGTACAGATGGCTGGGCATATTACTGATCACAGTATCCCTTCATAAGCCTAGAAATAGGTGAATTATACTTCACTTGCCCCATAGACCATAAGGTTTGGAAGGTGAACTTTACTTTTCTGACAGAAATATTACTGAAGTTACAAAGTTTACACATAAACACACACACAAAGACAAGACAGCAAAACTGGAATTTCCAACTCATGGAGTATAGAATTGAGAATTGCAAAATCTCAATGACGATTTTTGCTCAATTACAACATTTCTCCTCTACTCTGTATTTAAGAAAGCAAACAGCGGCCATGACAGTACCTGCAACAACAACTTCTCCCATCTGTTGTAAGCTTCTGGTCCTAAAACAGCCTGGACAATAGATGGTGGTAGAATTGTGTTACATTTGATGTCTGGACACCTGGGAAATTAAAGGTGATTAGGTCACGGTGGACAGTTTGGATGCAAAATTCTAACAAAGATTTATCTGTAAAAAGGTTTTATGAGATATTGTGACAAGTAAACTTTTACTTAACGTACTCTAGGTAAAATTTAAGCATAGCTTACTTCAAAGCCTCGACAGTGCCATCTCTAACATGCAAGTCACAAAACTCCCTCATACAATCTGTACAGAAGAAATGCTGACACTCCTGGAGTTTATGGAAATGGATGCCAGGTTTCTCCATCAGGCATACAGGACACTCCTGCATTGACTGACAGAACTCAAGTCTCATCTGCTCTTGGTTGTACCTGTGCCAGGAGGGCAGAAAAACCGTTTTTTTTAATTTCATTAGTTTGTAATTTTTATATATTAATATTAGGCCTACTTAGTATTTCATTAAAAAAAACAACAAACAATCTAATTTTGTTTTATTTGCTTATTAAACAGAAAGAAAATTTCACCCTGTAAATATAATTTTAGCATGAATGAAAGTAAGCCAGTGTTTGCATAAGGGGTACTATTTAAAAATTTTAAAAAATTATTTAACTAAAACGAGTTATATCCCTTTTTTTATCAACATATTTGTTTGGAATTTCATTTGCTAAATTAATGTTCAATTTTTGCATCTTTTACGTAACTTGGAAATTTTAATGTACTAAATTTGAAATACACAAGAGACAAACGACTAACCTGATCATTTTGCCAATGACTTCTCCTATTATGTCAACAAGTGAACTTTGACCTTCACCATCATTAACAATTTGAGCCACATGTAGATAAACATGATCTGTAATCCCCAAAAACCTAAAAAACAAAAAGCCAAGTATTAATTGATTAGAACTTTCAGACATTAGCATAATAACATAATTTGATATTTCCAGCTAAATAAAATAGAGAACCTTTATTTTTTGCTTAGAGCAAATCAAGGTATTCTTTTAATTAATAACAACTTATTATCTATATGTATAATTCTCTTCTTGGAGACGTTAGAAAACAACAAGCTGAAAGCGCGCCTAGCAGTCCCCTTTCTTCCTCTCTAGGCATATCGCAACCACCCCCACATGATCTGGTGAGCTGTAGTTCACGCTAATTGTTTACAATCGTAGAGCCGGGTTTAGTGGCGCCTATTAGGCCTATTAGATAATTTTGTTTGAACTATTTTAAACTTAGGGGAGGTAACTAAGAGGAGGCTGCTTTCACAAGGGGGGGGGGGGGGAAAAGGAGGGCTTTAGTGTTTTAAAGCAAATATTTTCAGTGACAGCATTGGTGCTGTCGAATTCACAAACTGCAAACTGTAGTAGAAAATAAAACTAAATAGCGGCGTGTCAGTTGGTTACCATAATTGCTTTTCTCTTATATTGTGGCTGTACAGGAAAATACCCACAATTTTACCTGAGCAGATTATTTTCCAGCCAATAAATCCAGGTGAATACAATAACCATTGGCTTCCCCTCTTGCCAAAGATTGTCCAGCATTTGACCAGTACATTCAAGCTGTGTGCTGGTCAGCCATGGACATGACAGCTGGTAAGATGGGGGGTCACTTGATGGGTAGGTGGGTGGGAAGGTGATGTCCAGGTACAGAGGAGATAAATACTTCACATCAAACGAGCCTGGCCATCTGTGGTCTGACATATAAAGTAGGTTTATCTCAGAGGAAAAATAAATATTTAGATATTGGCAAAACCTTAAGTTAACTTGAGGGATAGATGATCAATATTGTCATGGTGGATGGGGGAACTAAGGGGTAATTAATTACATTTTTCTTAAATTTTAAACACTAAAAAGAAAAAAATGCATCAAATATTTTGTGATGAGTACTACACCTACCCGAAGTTGAACTGTTGAGTGGGAGGTTTTTCAAGGTGGTGGGTGGAGTTTCCTGACCAGCAGCTGTGACTCCATATTGTGTTTCTTCTTCAATGGGCAGTACAACATCAATGTGGATCTTTTCAGTTTCTGGCTTTGGGCATATTTTCACCTGAAATGGGCAGTACAACATCAATGTGGATCTTTTCAGTTTCTGGCTTTGGGCATATTTTCACCTGAAATGGGCAGTACAACATCAATGTGGATCTTTTCACTTGCTACCTTTGGACACACTTTCACCTATGGCATTTTTCACATGGGTTAGCATAAGGTGAAACATAATTAGAAATATATTTTTTACTGGGCGGGTAAATAGATTGTATGTTATAAAATAAGTGAAAATGTTATGTACGAGACTTTACACCCAATCAGTTCCAATCTCACCATGCTCCATTAATTGAAAAACAACTTCAGATATCAATTACAAAAACATATGGGGTTATTATAACTATGTTGTCTTTTGTGAAGATATTAAACTTTTAAAAAACATTTTGACTTACACAAAATTTAAATAATCCATTCTTTTCATTATCACCTGCTGAAGTAAGCTGTACTTTTTCGTTATCATCTGTGTTATAAATTGATGTTAGGGCTGTAACCTACAAAACATTGGGAAAAAAACATGTAGTGAATCAGAAAATTGATAATCATAAACCCGTTAATTAACCACTTAAAAAATTGGTCATAGTTCTGATAGCAGGAGCTTTCTTTCTTCCAGAAAATCAAGTTAACATTTTAATTCTAGATAGTGACATATCTGATAATGAAAGGAAACTTTTAACCAAATAGGGAAAAATAATTAGGCCTGAATTATTTATAGAAAAATCAATTAGCTTTGAACAGATGAGTGACCAATAAGTAAATTATATCTAGACATGTATCTAACCTCGTCTCTCTGCTCCTCTAGGTTCTTGTCATACAAGTCACAATTGTAGGAAGTTGAGCACATTGTAGGGCCTACTCACATAGGTAAACTAGACGTTTCATTAATACATTATTAGTTTATTTATAATCCTAAAAATATGATTTATTATTAATACATGTAAAAAGACATTATTATATCTCAATAGTTTTCTTTATTAAGTGATAGTTGGCTGTATTTATTATCACTATGACTTTAGTATTTTTCCTCTGATAACAAAATGATATAAAATGCTAGCTGGCTTTATAACAGGACATTTTGTACGAGGTGGTTAGCTTCAACAAACATTCAGACTTCTTTAATAGTGTTAAAATTTTAATTTTAGGAAATTTTGATTATTTATTGTATGATATCTATCAAATGAATTTTAAACTTAAAAAACAAGTTTAGCCCATAAGATCGACATTTAAACTTCTCCAAAAATGCCTTTAGTTTCTGTCTATGATCAATGGCCATCATACTATTCACTGTGGCAGCCATATTGTTTATTCTTAAGCTGATAAAGCAACTAAATGAGAATTTGTTTCCTGGTGGTCCAATCTACCCAGGTAGTAGCTTGTATTGATGGCTGAAGATTCAGATTGTGTTGGGTGGGGAATTATTACAAAAGTGAAACTGCAGGTTGTAATTAAGGCTTGACGTTCTCTGTATTTGCAACTTTTGTAGATTTAGATCTACCAAGATTCTTAACATTAACTTAAAATATTACATTTAAAAAAATATTTCAAGCCTTAAATGACGTCATGATTTTTTTGACATTTTTACCTCCAGCCACCCCTCTATCACACATTGTCTCAAAAAGCCAGACCCGGCTCCCCTAAAATGAAGTCACATCTCAGCCTACAACCCCCCTCAAAATAGCAATCTTACAATCTTGACTGTGTTGGTCAACATAGCATACATTATAGAGCATTTTAGTCAATTTCTATTACAATTTATTAAAACGTTATTTAAAACGTGAAAGTATTACTAAAATAATTTTCTAAATTTACTTTTTACTTTCTCGAATACGAAGTATAGAGAAAGTATTGTAATCGTGCAAAAAAAAAAATCAAGATTTTTGCAAATCTTGAGGTTTTACACCTCCCTGAGTCGTAAAAACATAGTTCTGCAATCTTGTCCGTATGTCTGTGTGTGTGTATGTGTGTGTGTATGTGTCTGTGAACACGATAACTCCAGTAGCGTTACAGCTAGGTTGATGAAATTTCAAATACAGGTATTATATCAAATTTGTAGTTCTGTATCAACTTTTCAGCGATTTCCGAGAACCGGAAGTGGAGCTTATTCTACTTTCAATTTTTCAAAAGCCTATAGCTTGAGTACTGTTTCAGATAGATAAATGAAATTTCACATGTAAGTAAAAGATCTAATTCTCTGCCTTCGGTCAAATTTTTAGCTATTACCGTTGACAAGAAGAAGTAATTTACGCTACATCAGATTTCTGAAAAAATGCATGTGAATTTATAAAGTACTAATAATATTCAGCAGTATCATACACATAGTGTTTGGCATTTACTTGGTGCGCAATTCTTTATCAACGAGATTCTATTCTATTTTTATAAGTTTTAAGTAATTAAAAATGGATATATTCCGAGTTGCCATCCCCTGTAGTTTTATATAAGAATATTCGAGAAAATTTAGGGAAGATCACTACCGGTTTATTTATAATGCAAAAGTCATAAAGTGTGAAGTCACTTTATCTGAACCCCTCCCTCCCTCCTCCTCTTCACACAATGTCATGAATTGTGGACCCCCTTCCCCTATGACAGCCTATGAGTGTGATTTTGTGTTTATGGACAACCCTTTAATAATATTAACAATAATTATTATTAAGTTAAGGCTTAATTATAATTAAGGGTAGGAGCCTTAGGCCCGCCCTTAGCCAAACAAGACATAACCGAAATGACGAATGTTACAGTACCTTAGTACAGGTCAGTTACTGAGTTAGTTAATCAATAATAACATTGTTTGTTGTTATGTAATATGTATGTTTGTATGTAATAAATAAATAATGTGTAAGTCTCAGTGAGTTCTCAGTTAAGTATTAAAAATAAAATATGTTATTGTGTAGATCTATAACTTATAAGTATAATAAGTAGACTAATAGTAGTTAAGTAGCCTTAAGCTTAATAAGTAAGTAAGTAGGCTTAGGCCTACTTACTTACTTACTAGATTCTAGACTACTTAGAGAATAAAAAATAAAATCCAACTTTTCATTACTTTACTTTTGTAAATTCATGGTTTTGTTAATGATTGTTTAATAAATGTTATTGTTACTGTTAGTCTTCCCGTAGCTAGTCTAGGTAGACTTTACTTCACTTTAGAGACTAGAGAGACTATTGTACTTGTAGACTGTAGACGTACATTTTTCTTGATGGCGCAATGGCAGGTAGAATCTAGCTAGATAATCTAGCCGCAATGATTCACCACTGATCTGTTCATCAGTTTGCTGGTACTGGTAGGCCCTAATTTAATTTTAGACTAAAATTTTTAGTTCACGTTTGAATTTGATGAGCAATGTTTACATTAGTGGTTTTAAGCTATTTCCTGGACAAAAGAGCTTTTAAAAAGGGTAGCCATAATTTAATAAATAATTCAGTGAGGAAAGTTACGACAAGCTGAGCTCAATTTGTAAAAAAATATTTTTTTTAAATAGCAGGATGTGTTCTACAAAAGAAAAAAAATAATGAGAAACAATAAGCATCCAGGATTTGCCTTTTGAGCAATAAGGAACAGTAACTCATTGGATTTTATTCAGAACCATTTTATTTATAAATCACGATTAATTTCCCTTGGCTGACCGAGGGAATATTTTTAACAACTAAATTTGAAAACAATGACATGAACTTTTGTACATGATATTAATAACATGAAATATATACACCAGCGAGTCAATCAACTCTAAATTGAAAAACTATCTTGAATTAATCACCAGGGGCTTCTGAGTCAACAACAATCACACCAGACTTTGTGACCATTATAGTACAAAGTTCATTGGTAACAAACCTAACAGCAATAGTAGCCTCCCCTATTAAGTAGGCAGTAGTTGTCGCTCTTTGCTGCTGGTGCCAACAACACAGTATTTGCTTCAACAAACAAATAAAAACTAGAAGCAAAACGATTCCAAGTGTACAGAATGTTTTGAATATCACAAACATATCTTTCTCATCACAACCAAGATCACATATTATGTTAGATGCAATAACTTCTCATGGTGTTGAACATAAAGCAGACATCATGATATTTTATATAACAAACATCATGATGTCAGCTGTAGTAAAGCATGAAGGGCGAAAGTTTGCCCTGTTGTGTCATTAACCAAAGGACTCTCAGTCCAGCCAAATTTATATTCAGCGTAGTTTGGTAGGCAGTCTCCCGTTTGGCCAATGCTGTATTCGGTGTAGTTGAAATGACAGTTCCTAGTTTAGCCTATTCTGTATTCGGCGTAGTTGAATGGACAATTCCTAGTTTAGACAAATTTGTATTCGGCGTAGATGAAATGACAGTTCCTAGTTTAGCCAATTCTATATTCGGCGTAGTTTCCAAGAGTTTCTAGTTTAGACAACTTTGTATTCGGCTTAGATAAATAAGCAGTTCCTAGTTAAGCCAAAAATGTATTCCAAGACAATTCCTAGTTTAGACAAATTTTTATTCGGCGTAGTTTCCAAGAGTTTCTAGTTTAGCCAAAAATGTATTGAACGTAGGCCTACTTAAGTTAAATAGCCAGTTCCTTGTCTAACCAACTCCCGCCTTAGCACTGTGTTAATTAAGTGCACCACTTGACCACATACCTTATGACTCTATCTGGTATTGTTTTATTTGTAGAACAATCAAGCCTCTACAATTAACGTTTGTACAATATGACGGGATATACCAAGTCTAGCAATGAGTCTGGTCCATTGCGACGCCGTGTTATGTTGTGTTATTATTGTGGGTAGCATTTAGATAGGTATGAAACCACCCATCTTGATTGTGTTATTATTGTGGGTAGCATTTAGATAGGTATGAAACCACCCATCTTGATTGTGTTATTATTGTGGGTAGCATTTAGATAGGTATGAAACCACCCATCTTGATTGTGTTATTATTGTGGGTAGCATTTAAATAGGTATGAAACCACCCATCTTGATTGTGTTATTATTGTGGGTAGCATTTAAATAGGTATGAAACCACCCATCTTGATTGTGTTATTATTGTGGGTAGCATTTAAATAGGTATGAAACCACCCATCTTGATTGTGTTATTATTGTGGGTAGCATTTAGATAGGTATGAAACCACCCATCTTGATTGTGTTATTATTGTGGGTAGCATTTAAATAGGTATGAAACCACCCATCTTGATTGTGTTATTATTGTGGGTAGCATTTAAATAGGTATGAAACCACCCATCTTGATTGTGTTATTATTGTGGGTAGCATTTAGATAGGTATGAAACCACCCATCTTGATTGTGTTATTATTGTGGGTAGCATTTAAATAGGTATGAAACCACCCATCTTGATTGAGAGCGACAGTGGCACAACGTTAACAAACCTAAGAAAACAACCGATACATTTGTTCGTGAGATTCTCTACGTGAAGCTGTTCAAATCACAGTGGACATCGTAACTGGAATGGTTAGTTGTGGCCTTGACGTTAGTTGTGGCCTTGACGACCCGCGTGTTCCGGAAGTGGAACAAGCCAATCAAATTTAAGAAGGTCTTTCGTCTCCCTCCTAGGGTAGATGGAACAAGCGAAACCATTCTAACAAGGCCATTCGTCTTCCTCCTCAGGTAGATCAGCATCTTTCACCTTACACCTGTAAGTCCTGGTCACACAGGCTGTGTTGGTGTCGTCGTCACCATGACAACAATCCACATCCTCCCCCTGTTTCCGCCTGATTTTGAGAACAAACTTGGGCGAGACGGTCACGTGAGCACATGCCCTGGCGTGGTTGAACAGGCCGCAGCCGAAGCAGCAGCAGCAGCAGACAAAACAGTGCAGGTGGCGTCAGGTGTCCGACTGACTGCTGCTGCCCTGACGCAGGCTGATCTTCGTGTGCACGGTGCCGTTGGTCGAGCGGGTGTCAAGTTCAAGGTCGGAGCCGGCGAGCAGGCGTTTCCCGAGATGGACGCTGGGGTGGGTTTTCCTGTAGACGTAAGCCTTGCAGGCCACCTTCATCCGGGTGCGGAAGTTCTTTGACATGATGGCGTAGATGATGGGGTTGATGCAGGAGTGGATGAAAGGGAGGCCGAAGATGGCAATCTGGGGGAGAGAAACTGATTTTTTATTTACTGATGTTTTGATGGAAATATAATTTTTATTGTATATATTTAGTTTTGATGGAAATACAATATGGAATTGTAAATTGTTACATCGATTTCTTTAATTGCAAGAACTGAAAGAATATTTTTTTTTAAAATAATGATGTTGCTTATTTCTGGATGATAATTTTAAAACATGTTTAATTTCTACTGTATAATATGTGATTGTTATAGAGAGCTGGGAAAATTGATGTGTTCATTAGAGTTCTATTGGCTAAGTTAGCCATCGCTCAGTGGGCTACTGGCGCACACGATATCCAGCTAGGACTTTGACTGTGGTCAAGTTGAAAGATAAACGCCCCAAGCAAAAGTACCAAGACGATGTTATGGCTAATCCCTTCCTACACAACCTCAATTTCTTCTTTTATCTTTTTATTGCCAGCTTTTTATTTAAAATTTAAAAAATTTCAAACTTAAAAGAGACCCAAAAAAATGCCTAAGTTATCAATTTAAAGAAAGTAAGTTGACAGAGAGCCAACTGGTGTTGGTCTTACCTTGGCAAAGAACACCGACTGGTGATAGACCCAGCTAAAGCCGATCTTCTGTAGCACTATAAACACCAACTTCGGGCCCCAGCACAACAGGAAAACTAGGATGATGGTAATCAGCATCTTGATGACCTGTGGGTCAACATCACAATGTCATAGCTGTGTATGTATGTTTGTATGATTGCATATATGTGTGGTAACTTTGTATGCTAATAGCATGTAGGACAGTAGTCACTCCTCCCCTCCCCCCCCCCCCCACACACACAGACATCATTACAAGCATACGAGTGGTCAAGATGTGTCACAGACAACAGTTTGGGGAATAGCCATCACAGAAAACAGTTTGGGGAATAGCCATTATAGACAACAGTTTGGGGAATAGCCATTACAGACAACAGTTTGGGGAATAGCCATTACAGACAACAGTTTGGGGAATAGCCATCATAGACAACAGTTTGGGGAATAGCCATCATAGACAACAGTTTGGGGAATAGCCATCACAGATAACAGTTTGGGGAATAGGCCACAAAGGCAAACCAACGTATAATGATTTTGTTATAACAATTAATAAAGGATATTAAAAACGACCAAGTGAAGACAGAAATATAAAAGTTCAGCTGCTATTTTTAAAAGTTCGTTAGAAAAAAGTCTATTGTATTCGGAATAGAAAAAAAATATTCTTGAATACAAGTAGCTAAGTTTGAAATACAACTTTTTAAAGATTGTCGGAAACATCAATTGAGTTTTTGACCAAGTTTAAAATATTAATTGATTACAAAAGTCTTTATCTCCCTCTAAAACCTTTCAGCAGTAGCCATACAAAGCGTAACAAAGGATGATTACAATGGATGCAATTCTTTGTGTTAATAATTGACTTCGTGATTGGAGAGTTCATCAATAATGCTTTCAAATAACAAATTACATGACAACATTAAAAAAAAATCTGTTTGATCTTTGCATGGTCGATAAACATCCGCCCATTCACAACACGTTCGAGAATTTAACCTTTAACAATTCCGAAAATTTAACTGTTAACAATTCTGTGAGTTTAACCAATCTCGCTTGTTGAGCTCAGCTAAATGACTGTTTGCTAGGAGAGCTGTGTAATTGTTCAGTGCAAATTGGCACACCAGCTTGTATTCGTGAGGTTCTACGTGCCAGATTTTTGTCCAGCAAGCGACCGAATAGTTCGAGGCTTACAGGTCAGATGCAATAAAAACAAGTACTGGCGAAAAGTCTACCGAATCGGCGGAGTTCCTCGTTTCGAGGAGGGAGGGGGTGGAAGTGAGGTGGAGTCGTGGGTGGGGGAAGGGGTGGATGGGAGAAACAAATAAATCCAGTGAAAAAAAAATTGTTGCCGTACGGATAGGGTTAAGAAAATGATTGGAAACGTGAGCGGAAAGAAATTGTTTGGGTCTGTAGGTGGTTAATATAAAAAACTGGATCGAAATAAAAAAAAACAATATATTTTTTAACCTCAGCATCGGGCAAGCTAGAAGTCACGTCCTTGGAACGTCTGCTTCTAAATGTCTCAATTTTAGTCGACATTTTAAAAGAGAAAACTAAAACTGTACCTAGTTAGACCAACTCACAATGTTATTTTTATTGTATTAGTGTTGTGTGTTTGAAGAATACAAATGCTATTTAAAGAACAACAAGGTTTATCTCCCGTGTAAACTATTCACTGCACATAAGGTATTGCTGTCGTTTAATCGTGTAAAGTTGTTGGGTTGCGTCCCTTGCGGTACAAGAATCTTACAAATTGGACACCTAAATCATAAACTGGAATTTTTATGACGTCATTGCCCGTCTTGGCTATTGATTTTTCGTTAGTTTTATGGCGGAAATTCTGGTGCCGTGTCATACTAACGTCTTACTCGAGTTTGATTTATGCTAATTTATTCATGGAAATCAGAGGGTTGAACTACGGAGGCTTAAGAGAAGAGACAAATAGTCCTTAATCAGGACCGGACAGGACAGTGAAAGGACTTCAAGCACAAGGACGTATTCAATTGTCTTTGTAGCTTTCGTCAAGTGCTGCTTCAGATTTTGAGCACAAAGTTGGTCAGAGTAATTTTATAGACATTTGTTAAGATAGATTGTGTGTGTGTGTGTATATATATGCGTGCGCGCGTGTGTGTGTGAGAGAGAGAGAGAGGGAGAGAATGATTTTTGAGCGATCGCTGAATCATCTCCTAATTTGCAAGGGTACCTAAAATGAGTCGACTCAGTTGAAATAAGTGCCCGGCATAATAACACGAGGTAAGTGTAGTTGGGGGTCTGAAATGCCAACACAGGAAGCTTTCTATCGGCTTTAGACATGCTTGCACGTGCTAGTTGCTGTTGACAGTGTCAAATGTCATGACGTGACACGTGCCAGTCGCTGTTGAAAGTGTCAAATGTCATGACGTCACACGTGCCAGTCGCTGTTGACAGTGTCAAATGTCATGAAGTGACACGCGTGACTAACTTTAATTTTTCAATCGTCAAAAAAAAGATTAGGAATTAAAAAAAAACCCAAGTTGTGGTAAATATTAAGAAATAGAATAGACTGGCATTTGTAGATAGACAAGAGAAACATGTTAGACAGAAAGGAGACAAAGACACATGTTAGACAGAAAAGAGACAGAGACACGAGAGAAAAGACACACATATTGGGCTTAGAAGAGACAAACAAACATGATGGAGTGCGTGTGGTCGAGACGGTGAGTGAAGGTTCGAGTCTACCGTAACCCAAGTGTCGGCAGACGAGTGTCAGGGTTGTCAGAAAAATCTGGACACATGAAAGGCGGGAAATGATCCGGGATCAACTTCTCAATGGGAAGTAGGTGGGGGGGGGGGGGGGAGGAAATTATAAGCGGTGGAATGAAATACGGTAGAGTTTCTTTCGGTTATCTTTTGTGTGTGTGGGGGGGGGGGGGCGAACGAAATAGAATTTATATTGAGAATATAAAATGTTTGCAGTGTTCGCACCTCCACACCGGAAATTAAGTCCGCTCCCCCCCCCTCTCCTCTCCCCCCCCCCCCCCGAAGTTTCAAGTGTCCGCATGAGAGAAACCATGGTAAGGAGTTGGGGCAGTAGTTTAAGGAGGGTAGAGGAGGTAGTGTGGGTGGGTAGGGATGGTAGTGTGAGGTGGGTAGGGACGGTAGCGTGAGGTAGTTAGGGACGGTAGCGTGAGGTAGTTAGGGACGGTAGCGTGAGGTAGTTAGGGACGGTAGCGTGAGGTAGTTAGGGACGGTAGCGTGAGGTAGTTAGGGACGGTAGTGTGAGGTAGTTAGGGACGGTAGCGTGAGGTAGTTAGGGACGGTAGTGTGATTGCTAATGTGCAGTAAATAGTATGTGGCAATGCGGTGATCGTATCTAGCTCAATGTCTTTGTTTCACATATCTTACACCTATCTATCTCACTCCTATCCACCCCAATCTCACCAATTATCTATCTCATCTTTATCTATCTCACTTTCACTCCAATCTCACCTCTATCTAAATCCTCTAGCTCACCTCTATCTCATTCCTATCTCACCCCTCTCTCACCCCTATCTCACCTCTCTTAGCTCTATCTCATCCTTATCTCACCCCTCTCTTACCTCTATCTCACCCTTATCTCACCCCTCTCTCACCTCTTTCTGACCTCTATCTCACCCCTATCTCACCCCTATCTCACCCTTATCTCACCCCTCTCTCACCCCTGTCTCACCTCTCTTACCTCTATCTCACCCTTATCTCACCCCTCTCTCACCTCTTTCTGACCTCTATCTCACCCCTATCTCACCCCTATCTCACCCTTATCTCACCCCTCTCTCACCCCTGTCTCACCTCTCTTACCTCTATCTCACCCTTATCTCACCCCTCTCTCACCTCTTTCTTACCTCTATCTCACCCCTCTCACCCCTATCTCACCCTTCTTACCCCAATCTCACCCCTATCTATCTCACCCCTATCTCACCCCTACCTCACACGTATCTCACCTGTTTTCTCGCACGAAACACCTCAGCACTGTGCTCCCGTGTGGCCTTGTTGAGCATGCTCCGCCTAGACCGGATGTGTGAGTGTCGCTGGGAGCAGGGGGACTGTCCGTGTGCGCCATCTGCTGTAGGGGGCGTGCACTGGCCGCCATCTTCGATCGTCGAAACTGTGTTGTAACCACTGAAACCAAGGGGGTTGACAAGGTGTTATTTATAGGTAACATACTCCAAAAGTGCAGTTTTTTTTCTATTTGTATATCTAATTTACCAAGCTGGGCTTTTTGCGAAGATGTTACGACCTTCCTTTCTCTCTTTATGGTCATCACCGGCTGAGGAGGTGTCTGCCATTAGCCAGGCAGGCCTCAACACGGCTAACTCCAACTAACTGGCTTGGATATCGGTTTGATTACTGTGTATCGGTCGCTCCAGGCTTATCGTCCGCCTCACTGAATGCAAGGCAAACTCTACCCCACCGTCCAGTACCTCTAGCTCATGCTTGTTTACCTACAACTCTTACAACCTAGTAGCGTATTTTCCCCCTCCCCCCTCCCCCAAGATTTGAAATCTCTGACCCCACGTGGCAGGACTCACCTGTCGTGTGACGTCATCTGCATCAACTTCCGGGAAGACAGCCACAGGGCGTGTATGACGAAGAAGTAGCAGAAGAAGAGAACGACGACGGGGAGGACGAACATGATGAGCAGCTGGTAGACGGAGTAGATCAGGCGGTGGTTGTCGGGGACGCCGACATCAGCACACAGCACCAGCACCACCTGCGTGCGGTTGTTGTACCACAGGTTCTTCTCGGTGTCCTGCCGCAGGTGGAGGAGACACGTCATCAAATACGTCATCAAACACGTCACCAAATACGTCATCAAACACATCATAAAACACGCCATCAAGCATATGGTTAAACAATTGACTTAACCCGTCACCCAAAATGTATATCATCAATCACGTCACTAAATATGTCACCACACACGTCACCCAACATGTCAAACATGTCATCTATGACGTCACCAAATTTGAAATATCCCACAAAAACACGCCACTCTTACTGTTACATTCTTTCATATAATAATAATGTAGGGATAAAAATTGTTGAGTCGTGTTAAATATTTGACGTCAATTAACTTAAAAACTCTAGTGCTTTAATTGGCCATGGGTTCACTGTTAGGATGTTGATAATGATGAGTTAATTATACATTAGTTATGAGTTAATGAACTGTTGAAAATTGGTTATAAAGTGTTAGAGATGGATTATGACGAATTAGAGATAATTAATGTCACAAATAAGACATCTGAAAGAAGATGCTAAACTGTCACAAATTATGATTGTTATAATTATTTTAAAAAACATGACTCAACATTTAATGTGATTTTACGAACTTCACGTTAAAGAACATATAACAATAACTTTTATCTATTGTCTGGGAAATATGGAGTGGGGGGGGGGGGGGGCGCTGATGTAATGAAGTGGCGTCGTGTAGGTCCGTCAATCTTTAATCCTAGACATCAAAGGATTGTCTTATCTTAGACTTAGACATCAAATGGTTTTCTAGGGCGTCTACATCCCTTGAAGTTTTCATTCTTTAATTTATAGAGTATCGTTTCAATTAATTTTGACATAGACACTTACATTAAACCCAATTCAAATTAAAACCAATTCAAATTAAAACTAATTTAAAGTAAAACCAATTCTACTAAAATCCTATGAAGTTAAACCCAGTTACGTTAGAACCAGTCACGTTAAACCTAACCACGTTTAACAAATTTGTTGAGTGAATGCTTTGATCATCTGGCTGAAACAATGTCAATTCATTCATTGATCAAACAAAAAATTGTCCTAACAAATTTGTTGAGTAAATGCTTTGATCATCTGGCTGAAACAATGTCAATTCATTCATTGATCAAACAAAAAATTGTCCTAACAAATTTGTTGAGTGAATGCTTTGATCATCTGGCTGAAACAATGTCAATTCATTCATTGATCAAACAAAAAATTGTCCTAACAAATTTGTTGAGTGAATGCTTTGATCATCTGGCTGAAACAATGTCAATTCATTCATTGATCAAACAAAAAATTGTCCTAACAAATTTGTTGAGTGAATGCTTTGAACATCTGGCCGAAACAATGTCAATTCATTCATTGATCAAACAAAAAATTGTCCTAACAAATTTGTTGAGTGAATGCTTTGATCATCTGGCTGAAACAATGTCAATTCATTCATTGATCAAACAAAAAATTGTCCTAACAAATTTGTTGAGTGAATGCTTTGATCATCTGGCTGAAACAATGTCAATTCATTCATTGATCAAATAAAAATTGTCCTAACAAATCAAGCACTCGACCATTTCCTTTAATGTCAGGTAGAAAAGACGCCATCTTTGACGAGGTCACACAAGTGGTTTCACCCCCTCCCCCCTCCCTCCCCATTGTTACATCGTGAGAAGTGGTTTAGCGACGGGAGAAATTGTACTTGATTAGGCCAATGATTTTAGTTTCAAGACAATGTAAAGTTTGTCAACAAAGTAAATGGAGGAATTTGCCAGTGAAGTGCGTCAATTTTTTATTCTACGACTCAATGAGATCAATGACGTCAGCTACGTTAAATAAAATAGCCGCCTTTATAGCAAGGTACCCAATTTAGCCTGAGTCGGTGGCCTTAGTTACTACAGACACGATCGGGATTCGATCTCTAGACCTCTCGGGGTAGCCTGGCGTGCTCTAGAACTAACACAAACCCAGTTAGAACCACACAGACTAAGAATAAACTAGGCACCGTTTGTCCTAGCCTAGCCAGGAAATTGGCGGGAAAATGTGTGCACGCTCCCAACAGACGATGATGGATGGCGACCTGAAGAAAGCAACCCGCTCCACGGAGCTAGGAATGTCAGCCATTTTCTTGACAAATCGGCCATTATCAATATCTACAGCCGCGCGTGCTAGGGTAACCTCAGAGCTTAAGGACGGCAGAAGCTTGACCTCAGAGCTTAACGATGGCAGGAGCTTGACCTAATTTAAGAATGTTTTTTTCAGTGAATGGAAGCCCTAAGCTAACCACCAACTGTGTAAAATATTTTCTATACTCACTGACTTCATAACCCGTGGAATTATTTCATTTCATTAAATATTTCATGTAAATATTTTGATATAAAAATAATAAAAAGGGCTGAATGCACTTGGGTTTTGTAGCCAATTAAAAATTTGATTAAAGACAGTTTTTAAAAATTGGGCTTGTAGCCAATTAAAATTTTGATTAAAGACAATTTAAAAAAAACTAAATAATTTAAATATAAACATTTTTTTTCCTATATGATAGTGGAAAACTATTACAGCTTTATATGTAAGACTCTAGGCCCTACTCGTAAATGTTTTAACAGAACTTTTTGTATTAAAATGTTTAATGTATATATATATATATATATATATATATATATATATATATATATATATATATATATATATATATATATATATATATATATATATATATATATATATATATATATATATATATATATATATATATATATATATATATATATATATATATATACATATATATATATATATATATATATATATATATATATATATATATATATATGTATGTATATATATATATATATATATATATATATATATATATTACGGTGTATCATGACGACAGTGCTGAGAATTTTCTCTAGCAGAAGAAGCTTTGTATATCATACATGTTTTATAAGCTCTGTATATCATACATGTGTCACAATGTCTTAATTTTTTATGATGCAGCAAGCGCCGTCTGTCCGGGAGGAATCGTTTAAAGGCCATAAGTCTATCCAAGTCTAAGGGCCACTTTAAGCAACAATTGGCCCGTCTGAGTGATGGCCTCGAGTGCACGTGGTGTCTGGCCTAGATTGTAATGCAAAACTCGTCTGAGCTGAGCTAAATAAAACGCTAAGCTCCCGGCAGTCTGGACACTGCTACTCGCAGCTTGTATGCAACCATCAGATGCCGTTGTGACCGACGCCTAGACACTGCTACTCGCAGCTTGTATGCAACCATCAGATGCCGTTGTGACCGACGCCTAGACACTGCTACTCGCAGCTTGTATGCAACCATCAGATGCCGTTGTGACCGACGCCTAGACACTGCTACTCGCAGCTTGTATGCAACCATCAGATGCCGTTGTGACCGACGCCTAGACACTGCTACTCGCAGCTTGTATGCAACCATCACATGCCGTTGTGACCGACGCCCTTCTATAATGCAGGAGAAATCTGCTTTAAAACTGTTGAGCGGGGCTTAGTGCCCCACCTAGGGGGTTTCTGTTGTGTAAAGTGTAGTTAAGATAAAAGCTTTAGTTACAAGAAAAGTGTACAATTTTAAAAGTGTATTTTTTCTGCAGAGTCGCTTGTCTATAGTGAATCGTGTTGAGTAGCTGATGTAGAGTGAATCGAATGTGTGAATGGTGTTATAGAGTGAATTGTGAAGTGTGATTTATGTAGAGTGGTTGATGTATAGTGAATTGAGAAGTGTGACTGATGTAGAGTGAATCTTGAAGTGTGACTGGTGTTATAGAGTGATTCGTGAAGTGTGACTGATGTAGAGTGAATTGTGAAGTGTGACTGGTGTTATAGAGTGAATTGTGAAGTGTGACAGGTGTAGAGTGATTCGTGAAGTGTGACTGGTGTTATAGAGTGAATCGTGCAGTGTGACTGGTGTAGAGTGTATTGTGAAGTGTGACTGATGTAAAGTGTACTCCCACAGTTAGGACTCTGCATTTCTCTCACTCCTCAAGGTGCGATCTACAGTTACAAGCTTTTAACTCTCTCGCTCTACCGCTAGACCATGCTGTTCCCCTAAGCATCCTCAATAAACGGAGCAGTTTACGAAGAAAAATTTGACACACACACACACACACACACGCACGCACGCACGCACGCACGCACGCACGCACACACACACACACACACACACAAACCTTTGACATCATGTGGTTTAAATTAGTGTAACATCACTTGAAAAATATAAAAATCGCTTTAGAATGAAGATTATTTTTTAAATTTCTGATTGTTTTTCTTTTTATTTCTGCGTTAAATGTATTTCTATCCCCCCCCCCCCTCTCAAAGTCTTCATAACAAGTAAAAACTCATTCATTTGCAAGAAACAGGGAAATAGTTTAATCAAAATTGTAAAAAAAAAAGGTTGAAAGCTACCAATTTTTATCTTTATTTAAAAACAAATTCTTCCAGCGTTGAGTTTTAATTACAAGTTTAATTAAATGCCGGGGGATTCAATCAATGAATCAATAAAAATAGTGGGTGGGATCGACAAGGAATGCCCTAACAGGTTTTTTTTAAAAAAACATGAACGAATAGATTGAACATGATTACTTAAGTTTCTGTCTACATTATTTTTACAATTTTATTAAACTACACAAGAGTTAGTCGACCCATGAACAACAACAGATGAAGGTCGAATAGTGTAAAACAACAGATGGGGATGGGGGGAGGGCGGTGATCTATTATGGCGTCCATCTATTTACGCCGATTCCCCCCCCCCCCCCCCCCTTTACACCCCCCCCCCCAACCAAAAAATCATAACAAAAAGCCAGAACCATTTCAACGCTTCTTTGTTCCTCAGGAATACAAAAAACAAAACAACAAAACAAAAGTACTTCAGACGGTTTTAAGCTCAGCTGATGTCGTCAGTATACAATAGTCCGAATCTCTCTCCCGCGCACCCCCCCCCCCCCATACACACACAAACACCTCCTCCAGGTGTTGGCATCGTTAGCAGACGACCTCAAGAGGTAGGTCAAGATGGAAATAGGTTAGGTCACACCGGAAATGGGAGTTTTATGGTCATATTTAAAGCAAATGTGAACATTGTTGAGACGCCGCGTAGCTGTGTTGTTTAAAGAGTTGATCTGTCTGCTATCACTTTTGTCAAGTTTGTTACTAGGTCTTCTTTTACTTATGTCAAGTTTGTTACTAGGTCTTCTTTTACTTTTGTCAAGTTTGTTACTAGGTCGGCTATCACTTTTGTCAAGTTTGTTAATAGGTTTTTTATCACTTTTGTCAATTTTGTTACAAGGTCTGCTACCATTTTTGTCAAGTTTGTTGCTAGGTCGGCTATAACGTTTGTCAAGTTTGTTACTAGAAAAGAAAGCTTGTCATTAATGTTGATTTAACGTTTCAAAATTCGTATCAGAGAAAGCATTCGTATCATTTATGTGAGATATGCATTTGAATAGGGGTAAGCCTCTGTTACTGAGGTTATGTTATGTAAGATAAATATGCTAAGACACAAAAAAGTTGAAGACTACAACAGAACTGTTGTCATTATCAAGCGGAAATAACTTAACAAAAATGTAGCCAAAATATTCTACCAAGGAAATTAAAAGATCGGGAAATAACTACAAAAAAAAAAGAATAAAACGTTCACTCAACAATTGATAATATAAATAAGAAAAAAATCATCCGAAAAATAAAAACTAAAATGGACAAAAAAATCTGTTCCAAACTTTTGACATAAAACTCCGTTGAGCGGCTCCAGGATTGGCAAACAGGAAATGGCTTTGTACAGTAAAAAGTAGCCAGGGAAAAATTCATACAGAAATGTCGCTCCATGCAAAAAGTCATCAATTTTTCTTTTGATTGAATTCATACGAGTCTCGGCCAAACCGACTGATCAATTCGATCGTGTTTTCATCCAAATAATGACAATTTCTGATGGGAAATATCACAATAAGGGCATTATATAACGCCCATCATAATATCACAAGAGGCATTATATAGTGCCCTATTCTTAGATCGTGAATGAATGATGGTCTGTAATTTGTTAATCAAGAATTTAAATATTTGTGTGGTTTGAACAGCTACAAATTAGAGAACATTGTATTTCTTGTGAGGATGGATGTCATACATTTGATGTTTGAAATATTGATGATATCGTAAAATTGATGTCTATTTGACAATTCAGATATTGATATGTCAATTGATGTGTGTGTGTGTGTGTGGGGGGGGGTGTTGGAATAACATTGTGTAAAAAGTTTTTAGCCGTAAAGTCCTCAGGTGAGAATTGTAAAGTTTAGTGTAAGAATAAATTTACTTCAGTGTAAGAGTATATTTACTTCACAATCATGACAAAATTAAATCGCACCAATATTTGAAAGAGTTGTAAACAGATTTTCTTCCAGGCATCTCTTTGGAGGGGGTCGGTGACCCCCCCCCCCACCCCAAGAAAGTCTACCCCCCTCCCCACCCCAAGAAAGTCTACCCCCCCTCCCCCGAAAAAAGTGGAATTTATATAGAAAACATGGATTAACAAGCGTCCGCCCCCCCCCCCCGCGTAAAGTTTATTCCACTTTCCTCGACAATATCAAGTGCCCCCCCCCCCCCCCCGTCGGAGGAAAAGTCTGGAAGAAACACTAGTTATAAATAATTTAATTACATACCTGATTGACACCATTTATTAAAAAAAAACTATCAGACAGTTTCTTATATTGTTATGTCGATTGTATAGCTTCCAGCTTTGTCAAATGAACCAGAGATGACCTGAGCTTTTAAATTATAACTTACAGAAATAAAACCAAATCTAAACGAAAACTCTAATTTAACTGATTTTTGTTTAACTTTTATAGGGGTACCTGCCAAACACTCCATGCAATTTAATTATAGTTTCATGTCGCCCCAACCAATTTACTAATTAGACAACACTTTTTTTTACATTTTGCATGTAGGCCGAATGTGATAAAAAGAACGTTAAGAAAAAAAAAGTTTCTGTTAAATTTGTTTTAAATCTTTTTAGACAGACAGATGTGTAAACTAGTCGGTGACGTGATAATGGGGAATTTTCAGATCTTGACTTTCTAGTTTTTTCTGCTGATTCACCCAAATTGTTATTTGTTAATACTTATGCTGTTGTATGATTGTAATCGTCCTTCAACTTATTCCCTTTCAGCATCAATCATGATTGAAATATAACGTCGTATGATTGAGATATAACGTCGAGTGATTGCATGTACATTGAAAATGGCTGTTTGGTTTCGGACATATTTTTGTGGAACGATCGATGTAAGAGGTAGATGTTTGTCTGATTTATGACGCCGCTGATCGATGTAAGAGGTCGATGTTTGTCTGATTTATGACGCCGCTGATCAATTTTAAATAAGCGATCTATGCCTGACAAGGGTTCTATGTCGTCTGACAGATTTCTGCTCACTGCCTCTTCGTCAAACGGTGGCCTTGACACAGCCATGACGTCTGCTATACACACGCTAAACTTCCATTATCAACGCTGTGAGGTTCCTTCATCAAGAAATATCGAACAAGAATGTAGGTCAAGATTTGGAGTTCAACTCTTTGCGCAATATGTTTTCTAAAAGCCAGTTATTTCCTGAAATAACGTCACGAAGTCTATGATTAGACAGAGTTGCGATGTAGCATTAAAGACTTCACGGGAAACATAAAAAAAAAATATATATAACCATATTACTTCTAAAATTTAATTTAAAAAGTCATTTCGAAAGTCCGCCCGGAAGCTAGTAATTCTCTACAGAACTTTCAAAGAAATGTTTTAATTAGCCGACCGGGGTATAATTACAGTCATTTGAGTGCGACCTACTGTCATACTTTTACTTATATAAGTCGATATACTGCTATAATTAAAATTACATCGATACTTTAAAGTGAGCCTTATTAGTTTTCTCCTAAATACTAAACTAAATTGTAGGTCTATTAAATGAAATAGGGAATGGGGTTTGTTTCTCAAGCGGGCCACGATTACGGCAAAACAAATTTATTGACTCGTTTTTGGATTCGCCTTTTTAAAGTACAGCTTATACATAATCTTTTTATTTGTTTCGTTTTCTTTTCACGATCCAAGTTTTAGATGATAGACCCGCGAGTTAGGGGTGTGGGTTTGTCAATGACTGATTGACGGGGGTACCAGGGGAAGTAAGCCTCCATTGGACCACTTTATTATGGCCATCAATCGGAGACGCGACCGGTAGCTGATAGTGTACTACACCATTCAAACCAGACGACTCCCCGGGTTTCTCTATCGGCCCGTGGACGGGGAACAACGTGAATAAACTAATATGGCGGCCGTCACGTGTCAGATTAGATGAGCAAGATATCGGTCGTGTGGGTGTGTGGGGGTGGGGGATGTGTGGGTGTGGGGGACGTGTACTTTCTGTGGATGGCCATGGTCACAGTGCTTATATCACCCATATAAGCGCCCAAAAGGGATGCCTTGCCAGTTCGGGCGTTTAGACCCAACCTTATCTGTTACATAAGGAACGATCAATTCACCAACCATTTTAATAGAAAAGTAGTGACGGGCAAGGTTATGTAAATAAATGTCTCAGATTGCGGTTAATCTTAGTTTTTACAGTACGTCCAGTCTGGGGTGGTCATTATTTCAAGAAAGGTCAAAGACCTCCAGAACTCTCTTGTGTCGCCCCCCCCCCCTTCCCCCAAATAGGAACAAAAAAATAATAAGACAGTAATTGTCGAGAGTGGAATTATTTTCACTGTCTCGTCCGCGTTAAGCTGCCAATTTTGTGGCCCGTGACTAAACAATTTGGTTGAGTCTCGCGCTTAACGGTAGCGTTGTTTCATTGCCGGCAGTGACGTCACGATTGACGTCATGTTAAGTATTTTGACGTCATGTCAAAAACAAAAATTCAAGAAAATTGAGACAAGACCTACATTGTTAGAAGACATTGAAACAATACCTACAGAGCAAGAAGACCTAAGACACAAGACCTACAGTGCCAGAAGACCTTAAAACAATACCTATATTGTTAGAAGACCTTGAGACACAAGACCTATATTGTTAGAAGACCTTGAGACACAAGACCTGCAGAGCTAGAAGACCTTGAGACACAAGACCTACATTGGTAGAAGACCTTGAGACACAAGACCTGCAGAGCTAGAAGACCTTGAGACACAAGACCTGCAGAGCTAGAAGACCTTGAGACACAAGACCTGCAGAGCTAGAAGACCTTGAGACACAAGACCTGCAGAGCTAGAAGACCTTGAGACACAAGACCTACATTGGTAGAAGACCTTGAGACACAAGACCTGCAGAGCTAGAAGACCTTGAGACACAAGACCTGCAGAGCTAGAAGACCTTGAGACACAAGACCTACATTGGTAGAAGACCTTGAGACACAAGACCTGCAGAGCTAGAAGACCTTGAGACACAAGACCTACATTGTAAGAAGACCTTGAGACTAGACTTACAGTGCTAGAAGATCATGAGACACAAGACCTATAGAGTAAGAAGACCTTGAAACAATACCCACAGAGAAGACCTTGAGACACAAGACCTGCAGAGCTAGAAGACCTTGAGACAAGACCTCCAATGGTACTCACCCATACGTAGAGTGTCGGTGAAGACAGGACAAGGGCGACCACCCACACACAGGGCAACATCGTCTTCGTGTTCTCCACAGTACACCAGGATCTGGCCTTCATAGGGTGGACGATGACGATATACCTGGGGATAGAGGTCACGTGATTATGTGGGGCGGACGATGACGATATATCTGGGGAGAGAGGGGTAGAGGTCATGTGACTAAATGGGGTGGACAATGACGATATACCTGGGGATAGAGGGGTAGAGGTCACTATAAGGGGTGGACAATAACGATATACCTGGGGAGAGAGGGGTAGAGGTCACTATATGGGGTGGACGATGACGATATACCTGGGGATAGAGGGGTAGAGGTCATGTGACTAAATGGGGTGGACAATGACGATATACCTGGGGATAGAGGGGTAGAGGTCACTATAAGGGGTGGACAATAACGATATACCTGGGGAGAGAGGGGTAGAGGTCACTATATGGGGTGGACGATGACGATATACCTGGGGATAGAGGGGTAGAGGTCATGTGACTAAATGGGGTGGACAATGACGATATACCTGGGGATAGAGGGGTAGAGGTCACTATAAGGGGTGGACAATAACGATATACCTGGGGAGAGAGGGGTAGAGGTCACGTGATTATATGGGGTGGACGATGACGATATACCTGGAGATAGAGGTCACGTGATTATAGGGTGGACGATGACGATATACCTGGGGATAGAGTGGGAGAGGTCACGTGACTATAGGGTGGACGATATATTAGGCTTTAAGGTATTACTATTGGCAGTGTCGATAGCTACATAGGATGTACTTGAGTAGTTTATAAACAATGGTGTAAGCTTTAGAAGATCTGTGTAATAAACCAGAAGTCTTTTTAAATCTAAGCTACTTTTAAAAACCGCACATTTAATATATGTGCATCAGTGGCGTAGCGAGGTCGGGTGTCACCCGGTGCGGCACTTAATGGTGTCACCCCCCCAGAGGCATAGAGACCCTTCCCAGGGACAAACTTTCAAATTTTCGATTTGCACCCCCCTCAAACTTTCGATTTGCACCCCCCCCCCCCCTCAAACTTTCGATTTGCACCCCCCCTCGAGTTTTTCTCTATATATTTTGCTATTTTTTGCCTTGGTGTCACCCCGCTAAATGGTGTCACCCGGTGCGGTCCGCACCCCCCGCCCCCCCCCCCCCCCCGCTACGCCCCTGATGTGCATTCAAAGATTGGCCAAATTCTATCATGTACAAAATCAATATATGTTCAGTCAGTTTATTCCTCACTGAAACGGATTGAAAACATGTTTCAAATTTGATGTACAGATTAGGAATATGATCACCGTTTTCTATTCAAATTACATTTCCGACATGTGACGTACTAGTACGAGGCGCATGCGCGGATCAACCGGGTGAACAAGTAAAACTTCGGTCTCAGCAAATGATATACAAGTATAAGTATATCAAATATCAAGTTCAGTCTTCCTTACATAATAAAATAAATTGCCCTCTCTAAAACATTTTTTAAACTGATTAAACTTGAGGTGGAGTTCCAAGGGAAATAAAAAAACTGGGGGAAGTAATTTGGTCTATCTTTGAAGTGTAAATATTTGTTGCTATTAAATAAAGGGCGAGAAGTCTGTACCACTCTACCCACGAGTCGCAGGAAGTAATCAACAGGCCGCATACGTCACGAGGGTTTCTGGCCGCCATCTTGAGCCGGTCAGACTCACGGCGGGCTTCGCTGCTGCAGGGGCCGCACACTTAAGTGGTTTACTGTCACGGCTAGCTGGCCAATCTGGGCTTGCCGGCAATTTCCGGCACCCGGCCTGCACCCTGCTGTTTGTGTACGTTGTGAACTTTGAGTAGAATGCCGGAATGGTTACGTCACTGGAGGTCAAGAGGGTTCATTCAATGTCAAGACATCATGTCCAAGATTATATGTCCAGACATCATGTCCAAGATTCATTCAATGTCCAGACATCATGTCCAAAATTGATCAAGCCACAATGTCCAAGATTTATTCAATGTACAGCCACCATGTCCAAGATTCATTTAATGTCAAGACATTACGTCCTAGATTCATTCAATGTCCAGACATCATGTCCAAGATTCATTCAATGTCCAGACATGTTTGTACTGGTCTAAAATACAAACCTGGCGTTTCTTCCAATAGCATATTTATTGTTTCCATAGAATATTCATATTTTAATTAGTATTTGAAATCAAGCGGGAATGAGCTACCCTACACTGTCTCGTGTAATGTTATATTCTAGTAAGGGTTGGGATTGCACTTCCAGTGGGCTATAGAAATGTGGCGGGGTGAGGTGGGGGTGGGGGTGTAATTGTTTGACAAAACCGCTCGTGTGTCCAGTAAACCCAATGGGGCTAAATGGTCTTAGAATATTTTATGAGAGTATGATATAAAAGTATACAATTCTTAGGGTATTTGAGAAAACGGAAATATCGTTAAATACCACTTCCGATTACCGGAAATATATCAAACATTGACAGAAACCTATGTCTATGATCCATTCAAGTTGAACCAACAAAATCCATTTACAGTAGCCACGATACACGGCCGAACACCTTATGGTGGTAGAGACGAGGTGAGCAAATCTGTTGCTGACCTCACGTGCAGATGGACATTCAGCGTGGGAGTCAGGTCACGCTGACCTACCACTACATTAGTTCAGTCGAATTAACTGTTGCTAATATACATTAGCATACACTAAACGATGGAAAAATACCACGGAAAATATGGAAGTAATTTTTAAAAAAAAAGTAATTTTGTTTTTCAGACGAATTTTTCACATCGTTCTAACAAATCCAATCTTGTCCACACATCCCCGCACACCAGTCCCGCACATGCCCACAATTCCCACAAGACTGCAGCTAGACGGTGTGGAGTCAAAGCCCAATCATGGCGCGCAAATAAACAAAGTCACAGAGTATGTGCTAGCATCGTCAGCAGAGGTAGGGCCAGACGGAGTTGTCTGTTCTTGGTAGCTAGACTAGGTTGTCTGTTGTTGGTGGCTAGACTAGGTTGTCTGTTCTTGGTGGCTAGACTAGGTTGTCTGTTGTTGGTGGCTAGACTAGGTTGTCTGTTCTTGGTGGCTAGATTAGGTTGTCTGTTCGTGGTGGCTAGACTAGGTTGTCTGTTCTTGGTGGTGTCTGTTCTTGGTGGCTAGACTAGATTGTCTGTTCTTGGTGGCTAGACTAGGTTGTCTGTTCTTGGTGGTGTCTGTTCTTGGTGGCTAGACTAGATTGTCTGTTCTTGGTGGCTAGTCTATGATGGCCACACTATGATAGCGCGACAATGATGGCCTTACTGTGATGGCCAGACTATGATGGTAATACCGCGATGGCCCCTACACGTCAACAACTGACAGTCCCTAAGCACCCTCCCCCCCCCCCCCCCCCACTCCCTGTCTACCATACCACCACGCAACAACATTTAAAAAATTAAAGTACAAATGTTCCAATAACAGGACAACCAGATAGGCGGGGCTAACACAGATTGGCCATTTTGTTTACGACATTTCTGTCTAAAAATAGCGCCCAATCAATTGAGCCGATGGTTTGAACAACTAAGATATTAATTAGCCACATCTAATGCTCTTTGATTATTTTTCTTCCTAGACGGTATTGATTGTGTTTTTCATTAAGAAACGTATTTATAGGGTGTGGGATAATTAATGAATGAACAGTACGATATAATGACAAAAATAAATAATAACGTATAATATAATAAACATATTTTAAATTTTATGACAAATATAATTTTTATTTTTCCGACGAGGATGCCTATTCTAATTAAAAAAATATTTTCAATTAAATTTTTGAACGTTGTGTGAAAAAATATGCGAACATTGCAATAAACAATTTGTATTTTTAATGTATTTTTTTTAATTAAAGTTTTTGTAAATCGATTTGTTTTAATTGAATTGTTTATTTCAGAATTTGACAAACACTACTTGTGGTCCGATGCTGTGGGTTACAAAATGAGTTGGTCTTTATAAGACTTTATCAAGCTGTCCCACAAAATGACCAAGTATTTAAAGACTCTATCAAGCTGTTCACAAAATGACCAAGTATTTAAAGACTCTGTCAAGCTGTTCACAAAATGACAAAGTGTTTAAAGACTCTATCAAGCTGTTCACACAATGACCAAGTGTTTAAAGACTCTGTCAAGCTGTTCACACAATGACCAAGTGTTTAAAGACTCTGTCAAGCTGTTCACAAAATGACCAAGTGTTTAAAGACTCTATCAAGCTGTTCACACAATGACCAAGTGTTTAAAGACTCTATCAAGCTGTTCACACAATGACCAAGTGTTTAAAGACTCTATCAAGCTGTTCACACAATGACCAAGTGTTTAAAGACTCTATCAAGCTGTTCACACAATGACCAAGTGTTTAAAGACTCTATCAAGCTGTTCACACAATGACCAAGTGTTTAAAGACTCTATCAAGCTGTTCACAAAATGACCAAGTGTTTAAAGACCCTATCAAGCTGTTTCACAAAATGACCAAGTGTTTAAAGACTCTATCAAGCTGGTTCACAAAATGACCAAGTGTTTAAAGACTCTATCAAGCTGTTTCATAAAATGACCAAGTGTTTAAAGACCCTATCAAGTTGTTCCACAAAATGACCAAGTATATAAAGACTATCAAGCTGTTCACAAAATGACCTATCACTATCTCCTACCCAAACCCAAATCCTAATCCTACTCGTTACCACAGCCCTCAACTTAGCCCTCAGTTAAACTGGACCTAACAACGAAACCGGAAGAGCAAACACGCTGCTGTTCCTACAGTTCTCCACCCTCCCCCTTCACCACCTTCACAATATGCCTAAATAGTCTCTTTCATAAAATACAGGAATCTTCTATCTTCTACCCACGCATCAAGCCCACCACAGACAATTCCATGAAAATGTGGAATCTATTTTCGTTTTATTTCACCCACGTCACAAACAAACGAACTGATAGGTCACAGTGATCTTCACGGTCCATTAACATTCAAAGTGCAGCAATTAAAAACGTGACCACATTTGTTAAAAGATTTATATCAGGCTTCTTTCTGTTTTTCTTAATTACATAAGATAATTAGCTCATTAAAACTAAATCATGCT